CCATGTCACCCTGTATATAAACCTGCAAGCTGTAGCCGTTATCTCATGAATAAAAATTTTCAAAATTGATAAACAATTTTCAAAACCATATTTCTAGATGCATTTTTACATAGAATTCAAATACGACATCACTTTGACTGAATTTTGAATATTTAATGACGTAAATCAAGATTATTTCTGCAACTCGCATCTAGTCTATTGTTGCCAGCCAGAGTTTGATGTATACGGTATATCGCTAAATGTGTTTCTTCATTTTTGCTGTTCATGATCAAGGTCTATAAGGATAAAACAAATTATCTGTTGTCTGAAAAGATTGGTAATTTCTTGTAATGTATGCTTTGTTTTCCTGAAATCTGTAAATTATAGCAAGGGCACTGCTGATTAAAAAGCACATTGATTACAGGCTTCACGCCGGAATAGCCTGACTACGGTAAAGTCAGATACCGTTGTCACAAATGGCGGACATACCCGTCGCTTCAACTGTTTAATCACTTGATCCTCATTTCATGGGATTTTATCGTCGCTAATTCTGTGCATGCATTAAGCTCTTGTGATGATGTATCATATGAAATCCCATTTTTGATCAAAACGGAATCTGAATTTGAGTAATTTAGAAAGACAACGGCATATGGTAATTACAGTGTCCGTTGTTCCGTATCTCATTTTGATCGGTTATATTAAAGACTTTATTTCGATGGTAGAACATTATATGATTGATTGTTGTTCCAAAGGAATTTAGTCTAGGTGCTCTATTAAACATACAGTTCATGAAAATCTAATTGAAGCGACGGTTATGTCCGCCATTTGTGACAACGGTATCTGACTTTACCGTTGTCAGGCTATTCCGGGGTGAGGTTTGTTCTTTGCAAATTTAAAGTAAAGTTTAAATATTTAGCAAAAGCATCGCAGATAAAATGTCAAAATTATCACTAAATTGACATAATGGTGTTTCGACCGGGTGTTACGATAACGAAAACATTAAAGATCAACAGAGCATCATAATTGGAGAAATTATGGCCTTCTATTACCTCTTTGGTGAAAAAGAGAATGATGTGATGAGTATCAGAATGAAAAAGTATAGGAACGAGTGAGAATTCGAAATATTCACACTTTTACAATAATTTTTTGCTAACACAACTCCACGTAATGGCCCACTCAAAAAGGATTTGACGTTTTTCAACATTTAAATCGTGAATATAGGTCGAAGGGAATTAGCCATACTGACGGTATGCTATGTCCCCTAACCCGGTTGTTTTTTGATCAGCGTGGATTTCTCAATTTTAGTTGCAAAAATCTCATACAAAACGTTGTGGTCTGAACTACACCCTGAATAAAGAGGAGGGAAAACCTAGGGTTCCAAGATGACCTCAACTAATCATTACACTGGTAAAATAACCGTAGCTTATTGAGGCATCCGTGCTTCAATCTTTGCGTTGTATCAATCCCCATGTGCTGCCCTAGGATTGAAAATGCTGGTGAAAGTAGACCTACTTAGATTATTTTCAATTTAGATTTGGTAGTGGAGAGGAGTATGACGGACGAGCTCTAGCAATGCATGGTGACGTGATTGTCGTCACAATTAACTACAGACTCGGCATACTCGGTAATAAGGCATTTAAACCTTATTATACAAATAGTGACAGCCATTGAGAGCAATAGTGTAAATTCTTAAATAAGTGTTACATATTAGGTCTATAATAATAGTTTATATACAGGGTGGGCCAAAATATTTTGCAACTTTTTTAAAAGGCTAGAAAAGTATCAAAACATAAGGGTATTGCCATAAAAAATTATTTACAGAAACTTAAAGATAGGCATATTTTACCAGTCAAATGCTAAAGCTAAAACTGGCTTCAAATTTTTTTGCCAGATATATATTTTTTGAATATCAATGGTCAATTGTTCATGTGTCCGAGATTTACCATTTTTCCTAGAAAATGTGACTTTCTATGATTTTATGTGATCAACAATAACACATCCATAATGTTCACTAAATCTGCTACAATCTTGGATAACTGTTTAAAGTCCCCGTCTAAAGTTTGAAAATATTTTTTTATCATTCATTTACTATTTGTCAGGACTTAAAAAGTGATTTTAGAGATTTTTGAACAAAAAAAAAATTTTGAAAAAAAAGTTGTGAGCATTTCATTTCTCAAATATTCAAATTTCCCGCCATTTTTCAAAAAAAGTTGAAATTTCTTAATCATCAAATATTTCTTAATGCATTTCAAAAAAGATTATCTTTTTAACACCAATGCAAAGGTTGAACAAAGGACACACTATTTCAATAATAAAATGCCATATTTAATGGGCCACTTCAATGTTTTAACATATCAAAAATATTTTGAAACATTAGTGATGTCACTAAGGTACCAAAAACTTTTTGAAAAAAATTGAAATTTTTTTTTCGATGTCAATCTTTTCTAAATATGTTAGACTTTCATAAAAAAACAATGTTGATTGTCTAACCAGGTTAAAAGGAAGAATAAATTATGTTTTAGATATCATTGTACCATTGGTTTCTATGAGAACTAAAATTTTGAAATGCATTTTTCTCAGAACCATTTTCATGCACTGATAAGTTCATTTCTCGCTTATTTATGAACCGATTTTCTTAATTTTTTCGGCAAAAAACATGGGAGGATGAATGCTATGCATTGGTATGAATTGTGGCTAATTAGAAGATATGAGTGACCTCTAAAAGTTGGTTTTAATTAAATTCACAAATTTTGGAACAAAAAGTCTATTAAAAACCACTTTTTGAAATTTAAAAAAAAAGTTTCACATATCACACTTTGATAACATTGGGTAAGACTACAATATAAGCCAAAGTGGTTTAAACTTTATATGGGGCCTTTAAACAATTTCTACCTTAATGTTTAGTTTATATCAGTATCTAGTCACTATGGTATTATGTTATATTGTGTTTATTAATTAACTATTAAACAAATGTTCTATGCATCCCCCTTTCACCTTCCCTATCGATCCCAGCCATCGGGCAAAAGTCACTTTGGAATATCTGGAGGAGAATAAGCCTTAATTCATTAGTCCTGATGAATGGCTGCCAAATACCCCAGATGCCAATTCCTGTGACTATCACCATTGGGGGCACTTGGAGCAGCTTATTGCAGTTAATGGTAATCCCCCACAAACTATACTATTATATTGTTAAACTAAAAGAAGTTCTGCAGGAAAAGTGGAGAGAACTACCACAAGAATATCTGGATCGCACCATTCACCAGTTCTGCCCATGTCTCCTTGACATGTAGAGAAGGTGAAAGGTTGATGCATAAAATTTGTTTAATAAATAATCAATAGATACATAATATCATAGTGACTAGATACTGATATAAACTGTCTTAGACATTGGTTGAACAGTTATCCAAGATTGTAACAGATTTAGTGAACATAATGAATGTGTTATTGTTGATCACATAAATGAAACATTTTCTAGGAAAAACGGTAAATCCCGGACACATGAACAATAGACCATTGATATTCAAAGATCTGATAAAAAAAATTGAAGTCCAGTTTAGTTTTAGTATTTAAATGGTAAAATATGCCTATCCTTAAGTTTCTGTAAATAATGTTTTATGGCAATACCCTTGATACGACGTCAGATACTGTACATCGCGGCATTTTACTGCATTTTTAATGCGTACTTACTTTTAAAACCGCAATATCTCGACAGCAAAATCATATTTTTCTACAATTTTTCGTCATCAGTTGAACACGTATGTCCATGAAATATTTTGCCTATCTGAATTCCAAATAACTGATTTGGGACTTTTTAAATGAGAATCACGCAAGCCGTATTATGCGACTTCCTATGCTAAAACCGGGTGTCGACTGTAACATTTTGAAGAAAAGTGATTTTAATTTTAAACGAAAAATGAAGATAACTTTTTCATTTCCCAACGGATCTTTCTCAAATTTTCACAATATTTAAATTCACCATTTTTGGAAAAGACAAACAGATTCTGTGTGATGACGTCATAACATAACAATGCTAACTTAACGCTTATATTTATGCAAAAAAGTGTCGACAGGCAGAATTTCGCGCAGGGGCGAAAAGCGCGACAAAGAAGAAAACGGGTAGGGTTTGAAATGTCTACTTTCTGGTGATTCTAATTCTGTATATCGTGACACAACCTTTTTGAATATAGAATTGTATTGAAGCGCACATTAATCTGAACAAAACTTGAAGTTTTTAAGAAGATTCCACGAATATTAAAACGTTTGCAATTACTTGGAGGAGCATTGCGCATATTTATCGCGTAAATCTTTGCATTTTGTCGGTAAAATGAACAATTACACTGTTACGCCGTGATGTACAGTATCTGACGTCATATCCTTATGTTTTGATACTTTTCTAGCCTTTTAAAAAAGTTGCAAATTTTTTTGGCCCACCCTGTAGTAGTTTATAGTGTACGTATCAGTAAAATGGAAAATGGAAGCTTTATATTGTGAAAGCACGTGGTTTTTAATATTCAATATAATCCAATATTCAGGTGGCATTTCAGTAGGAAATACTAGTTTGGAAGAGGGGGATATTCCCATCCTCCAAGCGGAGGGTGAAATATCATAAAATTCATGGGTGAATGAATCTATCTCTCTGTGTAAAGACGAACCTTCAGATATGCATCCTTAATACGTTTTTAACTTTAAGTTTATACTTTAGTAAAATTGAAAACAGTACACAAATACACACAATATTCCGTACTAATATAATTGATTTTTAAGGGATATGAATTATCTTGGGAGGAAATGATGAGTATATGACATATCAGTAATTAAATCATGTCCGATATCATATACAATTATAGACGTTTGACATATCTATAAAAAACTTAAGTGAAAATTTGCGTGTTAGTTAATCATTTGGCATTTGGATTTTTTCTCGGTATTTATTTAAAAGCTTCGTCTCATGTTAGTCTAATGGATTCTAATGGAAAATGTCATCGGGGTTTATGTAACCTCTGTTACCACATATATAGTCCATGTTTTCTGAAGGGTTCCTTTCGAGTGATGACGACATAGCACCTGGGAACTATGGTCTTTTAGACCAGATACAAGCCATGAAGTGGGTCAAACACAACATCCAGGTCTTTGGTGGAGATCCTGACAGGGTCACCATATTTGGAGAATCTGCAGGAGGTGGAAGTGTGGGACTTCATCTGTTTTCCAATCTCTCCAGAGGTAGTTTATGTAATACAGTAAAAAGTTCACAATGTCAAATGCACTTGCAATCGTTTAAAATGAAGGATCCTAAAAGACACGCCTAACCATCGACAACGTCGTACAGAGACAAAATAGTTGTCGTACACTTTAGATGTACGGTGTCACTATTAACTGATTTGAAGCGAGAACTATAATGTAGGTTTGTAGGTTTGTATGTTTAATTTTGTGTGTATTTGCTAGCGAAGTCTTTTAGCTTTCTGATTATGACAAAAGATTTTCGAAAAAATAATCGACACTCTTAGGCAAAAACCAACATTTTTCAACCAATCAATTTTGTGGGTAGATTTACTCCGAAAAAATCGAGCACTGCTGAAATTTTAACATAATCAGATTTAGCTAAAAGTCTTTCCTTGCGAATACACACGGAATCAAACGTGAAATCCATTGACACTGTATTCCTCAGATTATTATTTTTAAACCTACATCAAACCCTATATACATCATAATTTTCCCTTCAAATCAGTTAATAGCGACACCATACATCTAAAGTGTACGACGGTATATTTTGTCACTGTACGTTGTCGATGGATAGGCGTGCCTACTAGACTTCAACAAACGCGGTCCCCAGTTCCGATCTCGCTATCCTCGTACCTTTCCCCAAACCACGCTCTCACAGCACAAATATCGGTTCTGTAGTCGCGAACACAAGTGTAGAAATAGGTTCGGGAGAAACTGCATGGTGGTTCGCGGCTACTTCAACTCAGTATTCTTGGAGTTCTATCCCAGTTTCATAGTAGCGGTACCCTTTGCATTAATTGAAAGATATGAGACCTAATCACGCCCGGTGATCGTACAAAATGGATGGAGGGGGGGGGGGTAGACGATTTCTGCAAGAGAACTCAACAAATGGAAGATTTATTTTTTAAAGAGAAAATTTACAACTGAATTGCCAAATGGATAGGCGCAGTACATGGCAAAATATGTTAGGTCTTCTAGTATTTTTTGAACTGATACGCTTCTAAGATATGAGATCTATTAAAAAAGGTGCACCATCACCAACGAGCAAAAGTTAACGTGTGTATAAGACATGATAAGACAAGCTACTTGAATTTATTCTTATAACTTCAAATTTTTCCATTTTTCATTCTCCAGAGATATAATATCCAGTTTCTTACTGGAGTACTGAGCTTAGTTTTTTTAAATACACGAGTTCTTGTGAATTTGTTCCATCGTAAAGACATATAACTCCCTCCTCCATCCACTCCCACCCTCCATCCAATATTAATTTATTTCGATTATTTTTTGTATAACGCATGGGAACTAACTTTAAAAAGTGAACAATTAGTGTTGTGATAATAACGTCCCTTATACCTATTTATTACAGGTTGTGTAGACCATTGTTGCCTGATTTATAGCAAAAACATTGTACGTTGGTGATGATGCGCCTTTTTTAATAGATCTCATATGGCAATTCAGTTGTAAATTTTCTCTTGAAAACGCCGGGCGTACTAATAATCCATACAAATATGTAAAATCATACCATTATGTCTCATAAAATCCCTCCGAGTGCACGCTCAAACTTTCATTCTGACGTGACGATGTGTTTTGAGAGCAACCATTTTTTCAATTTGCGATTGATCAATATCTGTCACAGAAGGGAGGGGTCAACATTGTGAGGATTAGAATCCGCCTCATCTGAGCCTCAATAATTTAGAATAGGCCTTATTAAAATGTCCCAGATCTATTTTGAAAATGAGCCTCGATTGTTACAACATATAGGCTCCTTTCGGAAAGGTGGTCAATTTCCTTGATAAAGATGATATTATTTGTTCTTGGCTTCCAAATTATTAGAGTTTCAAGATTGATCAATCCTTTTTCTTTATAGTAACTACTTAATTTTTTCAGTGCAAACACCTCATTAGTTAACATTTTGCATAGGTTTATTCAAGAATGCTATTCCTCAGAGTGGAATCTCTACATCTCCCTGGGCGATATATCGGCCCCCGTACACGACTAGAGACGCTATAGTAGCCAAAGCCATCCAACTGAATTGTAGCACAGCGTCCTCTTCTGAGATGATTGCCTGTCTCCGAACTATGTCTCCCAGGGAATTAGTTGAGAAAAAACCATTGGTAAATATTATGATTACCGCTTCATATGCAGCTGTTCATATAGATCATAATAACAGATTGCCAAAATTGTCAATAAAAATGTTCTCCAATCACGCATGGATTAGTAAGTAGGCTACTTATCTTAATTCACGGTGGTGTTATTTGCTAAAAATGAAAAAGATGCATATGGTTACAGCTACTTAACTGGCTATTTCCCTTCAGTCAAAATCTTGTTAGCACAAAAATTACCAAACATATTGCGTATATTTCCACCCATATATGAACATATGTTATAAATATATGGATTTTGTATTTGTTTATTCCTTCTAAATCCTAAAAATTGTGTAAAAACTTGTGTCTGGAGCACGTCCCGGGGAGCACGTGCACTTTCTGGACCGCTTCACTATTACTCGGGGTGGAAGGTGTGAGAATTGTGCAAAAAATGACTTTGTGAGCTGGATGGAGTTTCTCTGTATTTTTCATTCTATTAGGGTTTCCTGCATAAGGGATTTCGCCTGCGAAGCATATAACTCTTGCGAACATATCTAAATATTGGTCCGAAGAAGACATACCTTGAATTTTTTAGAAAAAATAGGCTAAAAATGGAAACTACAAAAAGTCAAAATGTTCAACTCAAACAAAACTCTAGCTATTTAATATTAACACTATGTATTATTTAATGTTTTTCAGAGGTTTAAGGACCTTCATTAGTGTATTAGTGTCTAGAAATAAGAAAATTAAGGACAAAATTTGGCATTTTTGATCATTTTCGCTTTCAGCAGCAACATATAGTTCCTTATATCTTGAGTTTAATGTTGACTGGTGTTGCAATTTTGATCAAATCTGTTCTTGTACATGTCTTCTTCCATTACAGATACAAAAATGTATATTGAACCACCCATGGTCATATTAGAGCTTTCAGATCTCCCCTACCCCATTTATTATGAAAAATTACTGAAACATATGAAAATGTAAAATAACTTGAATTTATAAACTTTAACAATGTTGTAGCTATTCTATATCAATATTATGTATCATTTAATGTTTTTCAGATATTTCAGAACCTTATTTGGTATACTAGTGCCTAGAAATGAGACATTTAAGGATAAAACTTGGCATTTTTTAAAATCATTTTAGCTTTCATCAGTAACATATAGTTCCTCATATATTGAGTTTCATTCTTACTGGTTGTTGCAATTTTAATCAAATCTGTTTTTGTAGATGTCTTCTTCCATTTAAGGTATAGAAAATGTATAGTGGACCACCAATGGTCATATTAGAGCTTTCAGATCTCCCCTACCCCATTTATAATGAAAAATTATAAGAAAAATATGAAAATATAAAATAACTTGAAGCTATAAACTTTAATAAAGTTGTAGCTATTCTATATCAATATTATGTGTTATTTGTTGTTTTTAAGATATTTCAGAACCTTTATTGGTAAACTAGTGCCTAGAAATGAGACATTTAAGGACAAAACATGGCTTTTTTACCATTTTCGCTTTCAGCAATAACATATAGGTCCTTATATCTTGAGTTTAATGCTGACTGGTTGGTGCATTCTTAGTCAAATTTGTTCTTGTAGATGTCTTCTTTCATTTAAGATATAAAAAATGTATAGTGGATGACCAATGTTCATAGTAGAGCTTTCAGATCTCCCCTACCCCATTTATTAGGAAAAATGACCGGAAAATATTAATAAAAAGTAAAATAACTTCAAATTATGAACTTTTACAAAGTTGTACCTATTCTATGTCAATACTATGTACAGGGTGGTCAAAGAAACTGGAAACCCTTACACCGTTTTCCTAATATCTTTGTCATTTTAAGAAATAACTTTACACATTTGTACATCATTCAATTTCCTACCGGCCTACTATATTTCATGACCATCAGATTGATAGTCACAGTGTTACAGCACTTTAAATAACATTCCCGGTGGCCACTTTTGTGGTGTAGTGAAACCTGCACACGTCGTCCAAAATGTCCCTACCTATGGGGATATGGCAGAGAAAGAGTGTATAAGAATGACCTCAAGGACAATTGCAGACCTCAAAAGTGAGATCATCTGTATCATTCAGGCCATACCTGCTGAGGAATGCATTTGGGTCATTGACAACTGTGCAGGTTTGCCTACAACGTGATAATGGCCAAACCTGAAGCATGTTGTTCAAAGTGCTGTAAAATTGTGACTATCAGTATGATGGTCATGAAATATGGTAGGGTAATAGGAAAATGAATGATTTACAAATGTGTGAAATTTCAGGGAGTAATTTCTTAAAATGACAAAGATATGAGAAAAATGCAGGGTTTCCATTTTTTCACCACCCTGTATTGTTTAATCTTTTCTGATGTTTCAGGACCCTCATTAGTATTCTTATGCCTAGAAATGAGATATTTAAGGAGAAAACTATACTAGTATCTTGAATTTTATGCTGACTGCTTGGTGCATTCTTGGTCAGATCTGTTCTTGTACATGTCTTCTTCCATTTAGGATATAAAAAATGTATATTTGACAACCAATGTTGATATTAGAGCGTTCATGACTCCCCTGCCCCATTTATAATGTAAATGAAAAATCATAAACTTTAACAACATTGTAGCTATTCTCTATCAATACTATGTATTATTTAATGTAACCTTCATTTAATTACATGTGTCTAAAATTTGGCATTTTTAGCATTCTGCATTTAGCAGTAGCATATGATTTTCCACAATTATAATTCTTTGATGATAGATTCATATATTTAATCTGTCTTCTTTGATTTAAGTTAAAGAAAATGTATGTAAGACAACGAATGTTTTTATTAGAGGTCTAAGATCTGCCCTCCACCATTTAATAAGAAAACCAACACAAATGATATTATTTAATGTTAATATTCTTAAACTTTTCAAAAGTTTAGCACATTTATTAGCACACTAAAATCAAAAAATGACACATAAATGGGCAAAATGACCAATTTTTCACTTTCAGCAATAGTTGTTTATATTTTTAGTTGAATGGTGATTAGTTGACATATTTTAGATCATATATATTCAATTATGTGTCTTGTTATCTTCAAAGCATAGACAATGTGTTTTAAACACAAATATACATATTAGAGATAAAATTACTACACTACTATATTTTTAAAAGATTACTCAAAAATAGAATAGTGCGAAATAATTTTGTAATTTCACAGTTTACTCTCATATGAATCAAAGGATATGTCTATATATAAACATGATTGTTCACAACTCTCGAACTTAATCCAGCAACAGCCTGATTTTTCAAATCTCCCTGGTTCTATGTTAGAGCTGCATTTAAGTCATTTTAAAGGTCTAAGTTGCTCATGACACCACAAGCTTTATATTCAGATATGTAAGATCTCTAAATAATTTTTATAGTTCTGAGAAACTCATCCTAAAATATTTTCCAACGATGTGCACTATGTTGTTTATTGCCACATGGACAAGTAGCAATACACCCTTGACTAGAAACTTTGTATTTGCAATTTTCTCTGCCTTTTGCCATTTTACATTTGCGAATTGCCAAGGACATATGTTTCTTGTGTTGCTACGAAGGTTTGTTTGTGAGCACTGGTACAAGACACCCATCTTTGATATACATGTATCTTCAAATAGGTATTGCACTTTGAGATTCATATAGTAATTTAGAATGCTACCTTGAAGGACATAAGAAACTTTAAGAGCTCTCTTGAACTCTCATCCTTCTTTGCAAGCAACATTCTGTATTATCAGACTGAATACAAATTCTCTCAACATTGAATTCCTTTGTCTTGTCTGCAGCACTGTAATAGACATGGGCCATAAGGAGAGTGTCAACTTCTTCATGATCAGTATTTGATAGATTGTCTATAAGTTGCAACTATCAGTTTTGCAAAGTTCAATAGCAGCTCTGCCATAAGTGAAATTCATCCCATTTTAGAGATACAGTAACATTGCTTCACAAACCAAAGACAGCTTACCATTTAGTAATCCTTTCCAAAATCATCTTGTTGGCTGTTCTTCATTTCACAATGTTTGCATTTACTAAAATATCCCCAAGCCCAATATCCATCATGAACTTCCTAATTACACCACCCTTAGTAATATGGAAGTCACCAAGCCTTTGACACCATTGCAATTGATATGAGGAAATTCAACCAATATGGCTTGATCACTGGTTATAATTATCACAGTACTCTACCCCATTACTTTTAAATATATAGGTACGAAAAATTTTGAACGGAATGCGTGACATATACATAATTCGCGTGAAAAGTCCTTACGAAATGCGTACGTTTTTTTTAGACGAACTTTTTTAGAAATTTTTCTACAGAAATATTTTTGCTTGACAATTACCGGATAAAATGCGTATTTGCGTGACATTTTCTATCACGCAAAAATAACTGGCATGACTTCAAATTCTTCAGCAAATGCGTGACAAATACGCAAATTGCGGGACAGTTGACAGGCCTGTATACATTGCATAGATTCTTGAGCAGTTTGCAACATATTATAACCAGCCCAATGGACAAAGATAGAGAATACCCGCCCCATTTGCAACTCAACTTTAAATGTCTAATTTTTAGACTTGTATACTCATGAAGTTCCTGACACATCTAAAAAATATCAAATAATTAGTATCTAGAATAGCAAGGAGGATTGGCTCCCAGAATCGAAGTCGATATTTTTCAACAATGAAAACGCCGGAATGTCGTTATTTTCTGAAATTAAAACCGATTATAAATTCAAAATAAACAGTTCAAAATATTCGAACCAATATCTCGATCATTTCTTGTGAGTTTTGGAATTTTTCGTTAGGAAATAAGACCAAAATTCACGATTCAAATGTTGAAGTGAACCAAATGGCGGTCGTTGGAATTCAAATTTTGTAGCACGACATGCCCATATATGGGGCAGAATATCGATGTTGCACTCTGGGAGCCAATCCTCCTTGTAGAATAGCGATTGTTAAAGTCTATACTTTGAAATTGTTTGGTTTTTATATTTCTGGTTATTTTTTCAAAATAAATGGGGTAGGGAAGATATGTAAGCTCTAATATAATGACAGGGTTTCCAATATACATTTTTAAATACCTTAAATCAAAGTAGGCAGGCAAAAGAACAGATTTGATCAAGAATCCATCAACCAATCAGCATAAAACTCAAGATATAAGGAACTATATGTTATTGCTAAAAGTGGAAATGATGGAAAATTGATGAAAAATGACAAATTTTGTTCTTAAATGTCTAATTTCTCGACACTAGTATACTAATGAAGGTCCTGAAACATTATTTATAGCAATCAATAACACATAAAGAATAGCTACATCTTTGTTAAAGTTTATAATGGTAGTTTGAAGTTATTTTTCATATTTTCTGGTCATATCTTCCCTAATAAATGGGGTAGGGGAGATCTGAAAGCTCTAATATGAACATTGTTTGTCCACTATACATTTTCAGTACCTTAAATGGAATAAGACATGTACAAGAACAGATTTAATCAAAAATGCATCAACCAGTCAGCATAAAGCTGAAGATATGAGGATCTATATGTTACTGCTAAAAGCAGCATTGATTAAAAAATGCCAAGTTTGTCCTTAAATGTCTCATTTCTAGCCACTTGAATACCAATAACAGTTCTGAAAAATCTTAAAAACATTAAATAACACATAATATTGATATAGAATAGCTACAACTTTATGAAAGTCTATAATTTCAAGTTATTTTATTTTTTCATATTTCTCGTTTATTTTCCATAATTGATGGGGTAGGGGAGATCTGAAAGCTCTAATATGAACATTCTTTGTCTACTAAACATTTTTTATACCTTAAAGGGAAGAAGACATGCACAAGAACAGATTTGATTGAAAATGCAACAATCAGACAGCATAAAACTCAAGATATGAGGAACTATATATTACTGCTGAAAGCGAAAATGATAAAAAAAATGCCAGGTTTTGTCCTTAAATGTCTCATTTCTAGCCACGTGTATACCGATATAGGTTCTGAAATATCTTAAAAACATTAAATAACATATAATATTGACATAGAATAGCTACAACTTTGATAAAGTTTATAATTTCAAGTTATTTTATTTTTTCATATTTTTCGGTAATTTTCTATTATAAATGGGGTAGGGGAGATCTGAAAGCTCTCATACTAGCATTGGTTGTCCACTATACATTTTCTATACCTTAAATGGAAGAACACATGTACAAGCACAGATTTAATCAAAAATTCAACAACCAGTCAGCATTAAACTCGAGATATAAGGAACTATATGTTAATGCTGAAAGCGAAAATGATTAAAAATGCCAAATTTTGTCCTTAAATGTCACATTTCTAGACACAAGTATACTAATGAAGGTCTTGAAACATCTCAGAAACCTTACATAACACAAAATATTGCTATAGAATAGCTACGACTTTGTTTGAGTTGAACATATTGACTTCTTGTAGTTTCCATTTTTAGCCAATTTTTTTCTAAAAAATTCAAGGTATGTCTTCTTCAGACCAGTATCTAGATATGTTCGCAAGAGTTATATGCTTCGCAGGCGAAATCCTTTATGCAGGACACCCTAATAGAATAAAAAATACACAGAAATTCCATCCAGCTCACAAAGTCATTTTTTCCTTAACGGAGCCTCTTAGAAAATTTTCCACCCCGAGTATATTGGTGACGCTGGTCCAAGTAAAGAGTGGTTATAATTAGTATGCATTATAATGATGAGGCGATATGACAAAATTGATGGTGCAGTATGTTTCCTTTAATCAAGTCAGTCCTCGAAGAAAATGTAACACATTAATATCTGTCAGCAGGTTGGATCTCTGTATATTCGGAGGAATTACTTTCGGGAGATTATTAATCAAGATAACTCTGTACACCGGAGAAATTTTGACTCATGTACAGGGTGACCGAAAAAAGGAGACCATTGAAGTAGGCAATATCTCCCAAACTAGACAAGTGACATTGATTAAATTTTGCACATACCAGAACAGTTCTATGGAAATTTGTTCCCGAAAGTTTCAATATAACCAGTCAACTGGTTCAGAAAGGAGATCTGCCTAATTCAATGGTTTCCTTTTTTCCGTTCATCCTGTACCTAAAGTCCTAAACACTCCGTTGAATTTCAAAAAAACTGTGATGTCCACGTTTTCAAAATGTTCTCAGATAACAGGAATCGTTAAAATAAGTAAAAAGCGGAGAAAATAGGCATGACAGGGAAAATTGTGACAATATTTTCGAGATATTTACACTCAACTTGTCTAGTTTTTGTTACATACAAAATGGTAAAGACTGTCGACCGAATCTGTACTAAAGAAGATGTCTACTTCAAACTACTTAAAATCATGATAATTCATTCAATTATCATGTTAGTATGTGCCATTCCAGGGTCCCCCGATGATCTCTGTCTGGGCCCCACGAGTAGATGGTCACGTGATAGCTGCAACACCAGAGGAGATGATGCAACAAGGGAGTTTTTTCCCCGTTCCCATGATGACTGGCACAACACGAAATGAAGACGCTGGCGCTGCAAGTATGTCCATTACACTTAAAAAGCATTTTGTATTTTTTAATTAAGAATATTAGTAGTCATCAGGAGTCAAATTAGATATAGCCTTTATTGTTTAAATGTCCATTTTCCAGTAATGCTCTCGGGCGTTTTGAAAACGTATTAAAATTGATATTAAAATTTGAAATAGAATATGTAAAAAATGAAGGCATGTCGAGTTTTCATTCTTAAAAACTTGAAAGCAACCAATTTTGTTCAATTAATGTCGACGGCATGGGCGAATAAATGGTAAAAATGGTTCATTCGAAAACATTTTTGAATGGTTTTGCCCTAAAAATCTCAAAATGGCAAACATATCATATGACTGCAAATGGCTGCCGAGTAAGGTTGATGGAATCAGTGTTTCAATTTTTTAAATATCAATGTTAAACAGATCCACTTATGTGCTTGATACTTAACCCTTGTGAATATTATATGGTGCATCTAGGGAGCAGGGTGGGTATTTCTGTATCTATCTACTTTCATCAGATTCGGAGGTAGTTGCAACATATCTCCTGCAGAGGCCGGTGTCAGGTGGAATAACCGTATTTCCTTTATAAATAAATATATTTTCCTTGTTATATGACGTAACGTATTTTAATCATAGGTGGTATACCCAACGTGGAGAAAGGATTTAACAAAAGTTACTATGACAGCCTCGTGTATGGATGGAGTAGACGATTTGGTAACTATAGCAACGTTGTGGAGAACGCCATCAAATGTGAATATCCTCCTTCAGACGACCCGACCAAAAACAGAGAATCGTTTATTGCCGTAAGAAAAACTACAGTGGCAGAATTTGTCTCTATAATAGTTCTTTCTTTTTGTGTTAAGAAACGTGAACCAAACTGCATAAAATTCATAAACAATGCACAATGGCCATTAATGAGACGTGCTTCCTATTCAGCTCGATAAACCATGCATCATGACGTCTCATTTCTTGTCATTCTTGACACGAAAATTATTTACAGATGTGACGAGTATCAGAACTTCATCTCTCCTTGTATCTATTTTTATTGCATTTGGTTCGCCTCTAAATGTCCAACATCCAATTATTAGACATCAATATTAATTGCTTCATCAAGCTTCGGACTTGATGAAGCCATTATCCAAAAATAGACAAAATAAAAACAAATAAATATTACACCTCAATGAGACCTTGTTCTCACCGTTATAGTTGAATTTGTCAGTCTCGCCTGCCCCATAGCATTTCCCCTGTATTGGATCGCTATCTACATTTTCCTTCACTTATTTTCTCCATCTCCCAAAGATTAGGTTTTTCAGTTTGTTGATGAATTTACATTCTATTATCTTTCAGTTTAAGAGTCACTACGGGTACACGTCACCTCATCAGATATATGCCAAAGTACATACAGATAAGCAGCCCAATGTTTGGATGTATCTCTTTGACTATGTTGGGAAAAACGACCCCGAACCGAAATGGAAAGGTGACCATCATATATGTTCATATATTCAGCTTAACTCTCGAAAATAAAATCGGCATGGCCATGCATTGACAGGCAATAAACAGGGGGAGCAAGAGACTTATCAAATTTTACAGAAACTTTTTATTCAAATGTTTTTGATGGAAACTGTGAAAATGAAATCCCACGATTATTGCCCCGCCAGTTAAATTTTGCCTGGTCTATTTGACTTGCCCCCCTCCCTCTGGATCGGTTATTCTGTATTGTTCTATTGAATTTTGAGACCTTGACCTTTAATTGATTAGTCATTTATAAATCTCTACAGTTAGATCAACAATATGAAAAAGAATGACCTTTGTTCATGGTGAACCTGTGTGAATAGATCGTGATCTGTTGCAAAAAGAATGACCTCTATATATTACCTAAATTAGCTTGATGCACCTTGGCTACAAATTCAATAAGGAGGCCTCATTAATATTTTTATATTACGTGAAGCACTTTCCAATTTCGAGTAATGCAGATATAATCATGAAAAACATGTCCTTTCATTTATTCTAAGTTTTGAGACAATGTGACTAATGAAACTAGAAAGACGTAATACTCGTTACGTTACGTTACGAATGTCTGCTTTCAAGACAGGGGGGATAGCCCAGGGTTCAAAGCGAAGACATATGTCTATCATGTAAATCTGTATCGAGAAAACATATCGTCCTGATTGGTCAAATCGACAGACAAACAAGGGCGGTTTCAAAATTTTCGAAACGCGCTTAGAATAATATTATGCTAATTTCTAGTTGTTGATTAATATTTTAGCTTGTTATTTTGCATTAAGATAAAGAAAAGTGTACTGAATAATGCTAAACATCGATTAAAGCATCACAACGACGTACGTGTTATTCTCGAAAGCTAACTGTCGAGAAGTTGCGCAAACGAAGGTGGTGCAAGAGACTCTCTTCCCTCCTCTTCTTCACGGTGACTATCCAGACCCCGTATATCGCGAGCAAGTTTCCGCTGATATCGCGAGCTACGAGCTGCAATTGAAATATAGCAATTGTACTATGCAATAATGTTGTAAATTTCACTTAGGATGGCGCTAAATTCAAACATTCTGAGTGGATGTTGAGGGATATCATTTTATTTTATTTAACGGAGATCTAGAGGAAATGATTCTCCATAAAAGTACCTTTAATCAGTCAGAATCATCCCACGGTTTTATATTGCTAATGAGGTTTCAATTATAAAATGAGATCTTCGTTTATTTGTCAGGCACAAATAAAATCAAATTGGAATTACGAAATAAAGTTCATTTAACTTGTTGGGATATAATTCTTCGAAATTGACAAAAATAGTAATTTTGAAAGACATGAAATAAATATTGGAACAGACATTTTACTTTCATGTTTACCATGTAGAGTAATTTACAGGGGCGTATCATGGAATAGAGATGATGTACATGTTTGGGGCACCTTTTTGGGAGTCGATCCCATGCCCTTACACAGAAGACAGGTGCCTGAGCAACTGGGGAAAAAAACAAGAATGGAACGACGAGGACCGTAGAATAAGTCTACTGACCATGCGATTCTGGTCTAATATGGCAAAATATAGGTATATGAGATGCAGAATGCTAAAATGAGATGTGAACTCCACAGTTCATTACATCGGTTGTGTACTTGTGTTGATATACACGTATAATAATCAAAATGGTAATACAAGCTTCATTTCACCCACGTATTACCCAATGAATTAATTCTTTATATTTACTGCAGAGCATCAAATAAGTGCTCTGTGAGGTTCTATGTTTAACATTTGTTATTAATTACCAGCTCGAGGAGACCTTGTATAATGGCTTCCAATGATAAATTATATCAACTCTTTGCTAATCGTCAGAAAATAATTAATAAAAATCGTTGCAAACGCATTATGCCTTATTTCTTTTTATTATAAGCGTATAGCATTAAAGTAAAAAAGTAATTCATCATTCCTTGTAGTTTCTAGTTTCTCTTAAAATATTTTTCGCTGACAACTAATATCCGGTTTTGTCGACGAATGTCTAAATAAGGCTATAATTACCTGGACCCTACTTATGTTTGATATTTTGAAAGAAATGGCTCGGTTTTCAAAGAATTCCAGGTATAAGTGAGCATTTTCACAATAATTAGGATCCAAGAGATTTAAGTCATTCGCTATAAAACATACATACCGTGTCATAATAAGAACATTTTAGCTACTTTTGAAGCATGCAAGGAATTACCTCTCCATACAGAGAATAGGCCCAATGCATACTGTACTCCCACGACTGATATCCGACGCCATTATATTTGGCGTTTTTGTGATTTTGAAATTTCGTGGCTAACAATTTTGGCGATTCCTCAGAAAACATCATTACCACATAAATACGCATGCTGCTTTGCTATCGATCATCTGAGCTCTTTCACCGTGTTCTTTTAGATCTTTTGTCGTTTTACTTAGTCTCAGCAGGATATCAGCCATGCTTTATAATTTACCGAATGGAATAAATAAAAAAACTCCCTGTATCGGCCAGCACTAAGCGATTAAATACCGTCAAGACTTAGCGCAATGAATTCCCAGGAATTTCGCAAATTCGAGAACTGTTGGTATTCTGTGCATATTTTACCAGGGAATACAGAGTAGAATGCATATTGGCATCTAGGCCAGATAATCTCAATAAAAATTATTTTATCTATTAGATATAAACATCAATTTTACCTTTTCCAGTGACCCAAGGGATGGTGACACAAAATGGGATCGATTTGATAAAACGAAGGAAAGATATCTTGAAATTACCAGTAAGATGTCAATTAAAGAACATTACCTTCCTGAGAAGATGAAGTTTTGGAAAGATACGATGCCAAAGATGCTGAGGGGTGAAATGAAAGTACATCCTCGGTGCGCAGCTGCATCAGATACAAATACATTAATTGTCTCAAGCTTTTTGTTTCCTCTGAGTATACTTGTAATCTGTCAGACTACTGTAGAAATGGGAATATTCACGTTTTTTTAATTTCCCTATTACCGCCGAACATAATTTTCAGTGAAACATTATGGCTACATTCATTGAAATACTAGCTATTTTAAAACTGATCATTTTGGTGAATCAGGAACATGTGAAATTTATGCAACATAACGTTTGATTACGGAATCGCATTTGAGAGTTGGTCTCTAACAATGACCATCTAGAGATATAGAATAATATTTAATTTGTGTATTAAAAATGATACCCTGCGCGCAGAGTCTAGTTATAAACTAAGAAGAAGCTCTCGTTTAAGAAGTGAAATCGAACGAGTGCAAAGGGTATAAAAATGACTGAGTATTTATTAAATCCCAAAGAGTGTTTACATAAGCAAATATCACATGTCTGTCTTTGATTTCATGTTTGTTTATAAAAACATGTTGAGAATAAACATATTTATTTATTCATTTAAGTGTCACGTAAAATAGCGAGCCATACCTTGGCTTATGAGATACATTTTACATTAATAGTTACATTTTCCAATACGAATATAAAATTAGTGCAATTCAGTTCAACATCATTTTGATTTTGATTTTTAAACAAATAAATTATTATAAAAATACTTATAAAAGGTTATTTACATCTCAATAAATGGCATTTAAAACACTTCATCCATTGTTTATCTCTCAGTAATCAACAACCACCTACCTCGGATATGTGTGTTTAATTACATACTGCAAATCTAAGAAAGTAGATTTTCAATTAAGTTTTACATTTTTAAACTTCTACACATTTAATTTCACTTTTTTCTAAAATAAAAAAACACAAAAATATCTAACGGAATATTTTCTTGATTTGAAGTTTTACTTATATATCCACTTGACTAGACACATAGACAGTGATTTTGCATGGCACAATTTTACAGTTTTTCTCCAAGGTGGTTAAAAATTGTTCAAATATCAAATCATTTTTTAAATGATTAATAAATGCATAAGTTAAATTGAATTATTATTATGTTACATGATATTTCATAATCTCTGCAAAACCGGTGCAAAACACAGATACAAATGTAACCACAAATTGAACCACTCTGTAAATACAACCTGTAGATCAATTTTTATGATCGGCTTTTATTGTTCGCTACACCAGCATTTGGCACCAAAATTGAGGCATTGTTTCAGCATCAATTTATCGATGAATCTGTATCAATTTTTGACATCGTTTAACTGACAAAAAAATAACAAGCAAAAACATTTGACGTCATTTCTACGTCGAACTTTGGATCGGCATCAAAATGTGTCCTTGTTTCTACGTCAAATTAGTTTTGAATCTACCCTGGATGTTATTGACTGTATAGAGGCTCTATATCAGACAACAGTCCTAATACTGCTTGGGTAATGTTTTATACGGATTTAATATACCATTGGGGTCCATTAGCTGCTTCATCTGAGTCATCAAATCAAAAGCTCCTTCAGATTTACTGTATCTCATATAGTTTTTCTTCATAAAGCCCATACCATGCTCTGCACTAATGCTTCCCTTGTGCTGGGCAGTCCATTCAAAGATAAAGGGCTCTATTTGACCATATAGGTCCTTATTAAACTCTCTAGATGTTGTGTTGTAGTGAAGGTTACCTATAAATACATATGAGAAAACTGTGACCAAAGCAGATCAGAGGAAAAGGATCTTACATGTACATGCTCGGGAAATATATATTTCAAATCTTCTTTTGAAGGTAGTTACTGATAGTTACTTAGTATCATTAATTTAGGCTTGCTGTCATTATTTGCGACTTATACAGCGTATGCTTCATGAAATAGTCTTTAATTATGGCGGGTTAAGGTGAGCAGGAGGAGATTTAGTTTGATTCCATAAGCCACTGTCTTACTGCTACCCCTGCAAAGACTGGACTTAATTAGAACTTTTTTTATACATGTGGCAATTGAAACTTGAGAAAATCTATAAAAACATCTATGATAAGACATCAAATAACTATTAAATTATAAAATAATAGGTTGTTAACTTACCATCACCAAGGTGTCCGTATCCTACACTCCGAACAGCAGTTTTTTCGAGTCTGTTTCTCATCACCTCAACCAAGTCGTATATCTTGTTGATAGGTAAAGAGATGTCATACTTATAACAGTAGCCATCATGAAGCAACGCCTCTGCTATTCTCTCCCTCAGGCCCCATATTGCCTGTAGTAAAATGAGTACTGGTAAGTATGAAATCAAATATGCAATGTAAAATTTGAAACAATCTATTTACTTCATTAAAACTAACAGACAGAATTTTATCAATAGATTTTATGTTATCAAATCATCAATTATTTGCTTCATTTGTCGAATTTTAATTATACTGCTATGGGTAACCATGGCAATTTGTGTAACCATGGCAACTGGGGAGGGGGTGTGGAAGCAAATGGGAAATGAACAAGAAAACTATGTTCAAACAATTCTTTTTTAATCAAAAAAAATTGCATAACTCATCAGCATGACACAAAATGGTTCAAACATTACAAATTGGTCTTTTAAAGTGACTTTCACAGACTTCTGGGACTGAAATTGGGGATTTCAAGTAATACTTTTCAAGAAAATAGTCTAACCTTTCTATTAGGATGGGTTCAGGTGCCAAAAATAGCTGATCCATGAATATATATCGTTTTGAAAATTGGAAGCAAAAATTTGGTTTTGGAGGCCATGTTTCTTGACAGTCATGACAGGAAATAGATTCTCAAAATGAAAACTGGATTAACAGCATTTAAAATTCTGAATTTGGCTCAGAATATTTACTCAGATATGCATTCTAATATTATTAGCATGATTATTGACAACTATTTAATAATTGTGGTGTCCAATTATCTCGATGAAGTATTCATATAATCCCAACCACAAATTAGTATCTGTCTAATAAAAAATAATTTAGATTCAGTTTTAATCTCTCATTGAAAGCACATTATTAGCTGTCTTGTAATAGAATACTACAGTATGATGTATCAAGATTTACTTTACCATCTAGGCCTATTGTTTTTTACTTGGGGGAAAGGGGACCAATTTATTGATGAGAACATGTCCTACTATATTTACAGTAAAACCTGTATAAGTGGAATGGTTTGATACTTGTACCTCTTCAAATACAGAGGTTCATTTTACATGAAGTTAAAGGGCAACAACTGTAATTCTCATCGTAATAACCCTAAATTATTAATTCATACTGAACAAGGTGCGAGTATTTTTTCAATTAGAACTTATCACTGGGCATACTGATCGGGCTGAAGATTATTTTCAAGCTTTGATATTTTCAGACAAGTCATTTACATGCAAAATGTCACCGCATGCCATTTGTTACAGATGTTGATTGCCAGAGACTGACCGACATCACAAAAAATTGAAACCATAACAATATGTCACCACTTTTGTCATGACATAAAAAGCTTTGGCCTTAAATTAATTGGTTAATTAGTTAATTTGCCTTTTAATGGGTAAAATGACTTGGAAGTGTTTCACTTTACAGGTTTTTCTTGACACCTTGACTGTTATTGTCCTAAAACCCACCTTTATTTTGGTCATATCAGTAGCGACAGTGCCATCCTGTACTGTTCCCTTGGACATGACTGATTCAAGGAACTGATTAAGTTTCTCCTCATCATGTTCAGCATTTGATCCTGACGTCTCAATGAGAACATAGAATGGGTAATCAGTCTCTAGTGGACTCTTAACACCATCAAGATGCTGTTCTACAACCTCTATACACTGAAACATATTTCATCATTATAATTCTTAGCGAACATTTACATTAAATCATGTAACTTTGCAATCAACATCTTTAGGATGGTCAACAGCTGAAGAATTCAATCAATTTATTTTTTTATATGAAAATTTCCTGAGATGAATCCCAGTGTATAATAACCAAAACCTTTTGATATTGAATTTTCGAGCAAACAACTAATATTGGATAGCTGTGGTGAACAACACTAATAAGTGTCATGTTGAGAGTCCTTTCCTCCATTGAAAACTGTATTGGGTATATTCACAAACGCACACACTGTTAATCATTCTTTATTAATTCTTAATTAGGCTACACAATGATGCATCTGATCTCAATCAGCCCAGAACGTTCCTCTTGAAATTATAATTTTGAGAAATGGGATGATGTGTGTATCAATTTAACTTTACCTGATGATCCAAAAATTCAAAAGCTGAGAGTATTTCTCCTAGCATACCCTTGGCAGATTTGAATGTGGAAAGAACATCTGCGAAGTTAGTGCAGCCTGGAATACAAGATGGTGTCTCTTTTATGATTTATTAAACGTTAAGCATATAGCATGAGATGAGCCTTAAGGTGTGCTTAGCACATGTTTCATGTTTTTTATCTAACCCATATAGTTATCTCAAAATATAAGTTTTGGAGGCTGTTACATCTTTTCTCAATAATATCATGAGAACAACGAAAAGGAACTGATACAATCATGAAATGATTATAATATGCCTATAATCTCCTGCTTTGTGTTCTTCTCACCTGGAATGGCTAAAATATACAACAGCATAGAAATATAAGACGTGTGTCTCATTCACTTAATAAACATTTCCCATACATAACTTACCCAGAAAGGCCACATTGCATGCCTTGGGTCTAGTTGGGCATAGAACAGATACAGCAGTGACCATTCCTAAAGTGCCCTCTGATCCTATAAACATTTGCTTCATGTCATAGCCAGTGTTGTCTTTACGCAGTGTGGACAGACAGTCTATCACTCTACCATCTGCTAACACCTGCAACAGAATACACAGGGTTAAATATTTTAATATGTAAAATGTCAGAAACTTTTAAGTAACAACAGTTATGCTGAACACAATGGATAAAATGAGTTAAATCATACACTAAGTCCACCCGTGTAGCTCAGCGGTAGCGCATGTACCTCTTACGCAATAGGTCCCGGATTCGATCCCTGGTTCAGGCAAGACTAAATTTGCTTGTATGCGTGAAGTACTTCAGGGTGTTTGACTGAGTGGTCCGCAACTCGTACAAAAGGCTGTGGCGTGTACTTGTATGTCTATGTATAAGTGCACATAAAAGAACACAGGGCTCCTTCAAGGAGGGGTTTCTGGGTCTATCTTCAAGGTTAATTACGTAAATTACGACCGTATATATACGGGATATACCCAAGAGGTATTGCTCACCTTCATTGGTGGTAAACAAAATACAACAACTACATGTATATGGGCAGTGATAATAACTACTTTACATCTTAAGTTTTAACTTTTTCCTTTTAATTTTAAGTATATGTATTAATATGACTGAGTGTTTTCACTAAATTAACAGAAAATAGACACAATGCAAGATATGTTCATCTAAAATTTATTACAATACAAATTTGACTAAAAATTCCCAGACTGGCTGTAAAAGGAAACAAATGAACCAGCCAATATTCAATTATTTTATTCATTTTATTGACAAAATAAAATCACAATGAAATGTGAGGATGAAAGCAATATTTCCGAATAATATGGAACAAGATATTACTGAAAACATTAGACTGCACATTTAAGACCCTCTTTAATGTGTATTTTGCCTCAAGTAGAGGACGTCTAGGCATCAGCCAATGTATTCTATTAAGTGGGATACCCAAATTAATTGGCCATGAGTTCTATACTTCAGGCAATTCAGATCATTTTAGCAAATATAAGCTTGCCTTGAAAGTTCTTACATGGGAATTTAAAAACAAGGGAAGATGTGTATAAAATGAATTCCCAAGGTTCCATTTAAGTAGACTCCAAGTGCTAAGTGCACTTGTTTAGTGTCATTTTATGATGTATTAATGAAACATGATACAGTAAAACCTGTCTCGGTGAACACCTCTCTCAAGTGAACACCTGTGTTTAGTGAACACCACTTCAAGATACATTGCACATCGACTCCTGCATAAATTCCCTCTTTATAGTGAGCACCTACCTAGAGTGAACACTTTTTTGTGGCTCCATAGGTGTTCACATCACTATATACAGGTTTTACTGTGTAATGAACTTGCTTATTTTTACATTTTATGGATCATAGACGAAGATAAGACTTACAGCTTCTACACCCAGCACAGATCCATGCAGAGAGCCATATCTGAGTAGCCTGAGACCTCCTGCATTGGTGGAGACATTTCCTCCAATATGGCAACTGCCCTTTGCACCCAAGTCAAGGGGGAAGATGAACCCTTTTTCGCTTACATAGTTATCTAGGCTCTCTAGAACACACCCTGACTGGCAAACTAAAGTACCTGGAAACAAGAATGAACATGCGAGTAATTATGTATAGAAAAGGGTAAAACAAGTAAAACATGACAAAATTTCATCACCAGTTATTGCAAGTTGTAAGAATTTGTCACAGATGCTGAACCAAAACACTGAACACTGTCCACAAAAATGTTGGAGACTATAACAATGTCACATCTTCTGGTGGTGACATAACAATATGAAATGGATGGCTGTCTAGTACTGCTCAGGACTTTGTCTTGAGATCATTAATGTAAATTGTTGTGAGTGCTACATATATTGTTTAGTACTTGATACTATGTACATGTAGCTACTAGCTATAGCTTGTAAAGTTATTACCTGATAGATCATCCAGTGATATGATGTTATTCATAAGTTGCGTAGATATGATGATCTCATCAAACACAGGTACACTACCTCCAACCAGACCTATAGAGGAAAAATATTGTAATTATCACTAAAAAGTGTTTCATTAAAGAAGTTTTAGAGAATTATTTCTTTGAAAACTGAAAGAAATCTGTTTACAAATATATGTTTATCAATAACAATTATCGCTGAAAAGGACCCTTTTCTGACCGATTTTCTATGATGATGATGCTCTGTATTTGATTGGTTACCAACCTGTGTTTCCTCCCTGAGGCACCACAGCAAGGTGCCTGTTATTGCAATGCTTCAGTATGGCAGAGACCTCTTTGGTTGTCTTTGGTTTCAACAGCACTTGGCTAGCCCCTGGAGCAGAATATAGATCATAAGATAGGAAAATCTTATAGCTTTACCTGATCATGAAAGAACAGGAAATAACACAGAAGAACATAAGGACATACAGGGTGGGCCAAAAAAAACCAATACCCAACTTTAAATCAGAATAAAAATAGCTATGTTCAATATGATACATTGATTTATATATCATTTTAAAGGTAATCCATTTTCGAACAATTTGGTATATAACACTATGTCATGAAATCAATATTAAAGTTTTGTTATGCTTATTTGGGAGGTCGGGTCGGTTTTTAAGGTATCCAGATTTTAGGGAGAAAATAGTAAATCTGCGGAATATTGTTAATTTTTTATTCATAGAATATCATTTTGTTAGGTGAATACTTGCTTGTATATTTGCATAGTTGTGTGACTAAACTTATTGTTTATGAATTTTAGTGTTGTTTATTATCAATAAGTACTCAAAGGGGGTCTGTTTAAAGACATTAAACGTATATGTGACGAGGATTTAATTTTCCAACAAGACATTGCCTCGTACCATAGATCAAAGGAGACATTGGCATTTCTTTGCAAACAAGGTGTCAATTTGATTGATCTCGATGCTTGGCCACCCAACAGCCCCGATGCTAATGTGTTTGATTACCATACATGGAGCCATCTCGAGGAAATGGTACAATCAAAGGCATCCAATAAACAGCATTGATGAATTGAAACAAAATCCTAAAGTGCTGAAAGGAATTGCAACAGAAATCTCTCAATAAGGCTGCTATGATGCGCTACCACTTGAAGCTTATTGTTGATGCAGAGGGGGGGGGGGGGGGGGGGGGGGGTATATTGAGCAATTGTTAAAATTGTTTAAATAAATAAAGTGTAAAATGTTATTAAACAACACTGAAATTCATAAACAATAAATTTAGTCACACAGTGATGCAAATATCAATATCCAAGCATGCATTCACCTAACAAAAGAATGATATTCTATAAATAAAAAATTAACATAATTCCTTAGATTTACTATTTTCTCCCTAAAATCTAGAGACCCCAAATAGCAACCCGGCCTCCCAAATAAGTATAATAAAACTTTACTATTGATTTCATGACATAGTGTTATATACCAAATTGTTTGAAAATGTATAACCTTTAAAATGATATGTAAATCAATGTACCATATAGAATGTAACTATTTTTATCCTCATTTGAAGTTGGGTATTGGTTTTTTTTGGCCCACCCTGTATAACTGACTAGATCCATATAGAGTTTATTAGACAATGTTCAGTTCAGTTCAGTTCTGGGTTATACAACTTTAACTACAATGTATTTTAGGGGGATTTTTAGGGGGTAATTCATTCAGAACACTAGCATGGGGGAGTAATTCCAAACATTTAACTCTACTTCATTGTTTTACTTGTTAGATTGATGGTATATCATTATATGGTACCCTGAACTAATGATACTGGATTCTGACACCCCTGCATATCAATAACCCCAAATATAATTGATTTATAAGTGACATCTATTTATTTAAAGGCATGGGTTTGTGTGGGTAATTCCAAACACTGGCATGGGGGTAATTCCGAACACCTAAATCATCATAATTGATTATTTTATCGTTAGAGTGTTGGTATATATCATTATATGGTATCTTTCAGGATATAAATATTATATAGAGGTAGTAGAGGAACTATTATTCAATTCAATGATTTGCTTGCCATTGTTTGCAACCCGTTCGGGTTTACCCCCCTGTTTGGATTTAGACGTATTGACTCTAGTTAATGAGCATGCATATAGCAGGTGTACCTTCCAGCTCGCTGATTTGTTGAGGAAAGATCAGCATGGTAGGTTTGAAATGATTTATGACTCGAGCTGTCATGGGCATATGTAGTGGGGGCAGGGTTACTGAACTCTAATACAGACTAACTACTAGGCAGAGTGTAGTTTATAACTAGAGTGCGTGGAGGGTAACCATTCAATTCAAATGATATTACCTTTAACAATACGGAGCCAGTCTGTATTATACCCGGCTATTTCATCAGCATCTGTAACTAGCCGGTTTGGCACAATCTTTGCAAATTCAGCAATATCAGCTTCAGTAACTTTGGAATAGTTGCCCCTCTCTACATTGTACCTTACACTTGTCAGTTCTAGATCTTTTGATCCACAGCATGTAGAGGTACTAAATGACACACCTGGTTGTTTATATGAAGGATACAGCCATTCTGTTGTGAGTGATTGTCTTTGGAAACATTTATAGTTTTTCAGGGACACGCCCCCTTTTCCCAATTTTGAAATGACACCTCGGATCATACTTTCTGAGTTATGATTTTGCTTTTGAACATTGATTACATATAATTCTGTTTATATCTTCGTTGAATTATCCGTCAAACAAAACAGTTTTGTACACAGGTTTAAATATTTCTGCTTTTAGTAAAATATTTTGAAAAAGTTTTCATTTTCAAGGAGGCTGACATCTTGAATCACGAATCGTAAGTGCTTATATAAACTAATCGCGGGTTCTCATTTCTGTTCATCATTATTATAAAATCTCAGTTATAAAACATGAATCTAAATCAATACCATATGTAATGATGTTACATTTCATTATCAAACTGTACTAATAATCTTTAGAAAATACTTCAAAATGTTAGATTCTAGCATGAGCAATAGTAACTTCATGAATTTGATAAATAAGGAGGTGCTGCCCTCTTTCAAACTGTATATGTATTATATTCTTAAACCAGTCAAATATGTTGAATGAGTATTTTCCTGGAGTCAATACAAAATGACCATAGAGGAGAAACGTCATATTCGTCAATCAAAAGCATAACCAAAAAACACAACAAAAGAACTCAGATCTTACAGTCATACTCTGGTCATTAAAATTATTTTTCTTTTACATTCTTCAAAATTCTTTGTGAGGCTATTATTGGGACTATTTTCTAGGGGGGGGGGGGGGGCTTTCTATAAACTCTATGTTAGCATTAGCATGGATTATTATGAATTTGTTAGGATGAGACTAATATGTTTGTATATGTTTCCCTTTGTCACCTAACACTGTCCACATATAATTTGGGTCTTATTATCATAAAAAACCCAAACAATTAGATGTGCTACGTTCAGAATCTATTTTCTGTAAATGTCAAATGAAGTCTACTTGTTTGTTTAAAATATTTCATTTACTCCAGCCTACTTATAGGTGTCCAAAATATAAACAACCATCTCTTCAGGTGATATACTAGTATACTGATCAGTATTGTGAATGTTGTCCAAAGTTACATTAAAATTTTGAACAACCATGACTTAGTTCCTCATTCATATAATTCTACGTAGATATGACCATAGAGGGGTGTTTACATTGTGAATAACCTGTATACACTGTAAATTTTTTAAAGTTTCTAATAAATGAGAAACATTGTATTGAGTTTTATAAATTTTATTTAATCATATAATGTTATTACAGATATTTTGTTTAACACATACAGGGTGTAACATTATGTTTGAGTATATTGTACATAATTATAATCATATTGCACATTTTCTAAGACACCTCATAATCCACTAAGGTGTACAAAGTACTGCAACAGTATGCATCTATGTACAGGATGGGTCAAATTATTCTAAATAGATAGAAATTAAAATTCCTTACATTAAGATAATCTTATTTCAAAAGAAAAATAATATATAACAAGTTCATTTCATTTTTTTCAAAATAAATAACTTTATCATGTGAAATTCAACTTACCCAACTTTTTTGTCCCATCTAGTATTTGCCCAAGATAATACAAGTATGTTTTATCATTCAAGTTTAACAATTCAATCTCCAGAGGAAAGAACTACGTTACAGGCAGTGAAACAATTTATGCATTTCCATTCACTTTTTCTTTTTTGGAATAATGCTTCAGAAATTATTACACAAAATTATCACTGTCTTCATCAAAACACATTTTCCAATTTCTTCCCATGTTTCATCATTAAAATGATAAATCTCCAAATAATGCACATATAAGGTGTGCAATATCAGAATGTCTTGGGCTGAACTTCCCCTAATTGACTTCCGTACTAGATCAGGATGCTGTTGCTGCTTTTCCAATAGGCTGAAACATTGAGGAATTTCACAATTACAAGTCATTATAAACGTTGAGCAGGATAAAGATATTCTAGTTTAGTCAAAATTGCAATTTGAAGTCTATTTAGTGAACAATGAGAAAATTCCACTCCCCAAAATATTCCGAATAATATTAATTAACTACAATTCGAAGAAGCTAATAAATTGTTTGAACATTCATCAAATGAAGGCTAGGAGACTGCAAACATTGATGAATGAAGGGAGCATTAAGTTTTAATTTACCTTAATAAATATATGAGAAGGGAGCATAGATTGTATGATATCCTTCATGGTACCAGGATATCGCAGCATGTTCAGTTGCAGCTTTGGAAGTGTCACATAACCTGCTACTAAAGGGTACATGTTGTACTCTAACTTGTAGCTACTGCTTGGTAGAATCCTCAAGTGCATCTAGTATAATAAATAAGTACAATGTAACATATCAAATAAAGTAGATTAATAATTTAATACATCATATATTGAAACAGATGGCCACGTTGTCCAAAAATATCTCAAACTATGCATGATAACCCTTTTAACCAGGCAAGCTTGCAAAAGTTTTTAGAATATATATTTTAGACTAAAATTTCTTAAATTGTAAAAATGATCTTAAGTGAAAGTTAATTAAATATCTAATATGGCTTAAAGTTTTGCATTGCCTATTTAAACTTGTCTTGCCTATTTTTGGATCCTGGCTATACTTTTATTCAAAAATTGGAAAATAGAAGGCATTAGCATGCAAAATGTCATGTCACCACCTGCCATTTATAACAGACGCTGAATGCCAAACTCAGAATGCCAAACACCAACTGCTGTCCATAAAAAATTTAGGCTATAACAATACAGTATGTCACCTCAAAACATGTTGTATACCATCACATGACTAACCTGTTTATGCCCACTAAACATAAAGGCTTCACTGGTATCCATGGTGAGATGCAGCTCCTGAGCATATGCAGTCTTATTATATAATGTATAGGTGACAGGGAGACAAGTCCTCACTGTTCCATATGCCTCTATGTCTGCCTTGATCAGAATAGGAATGTGTTCAACAGCTACATTGCCCAGCTCAATACTGGTCTCTACATACGGGATTGTGTCACTTGTGGACTTTCTGAAATATAAAGATATACATCTTAAAACTGACTACAATGTCATTTAATTACGAAAAGAACAGACATTCAAATGTAAGTTAGTATATTTAGTATCACTAAATTGAAACAGTTTACTACTTACTGTAACTTAGCCCACTATCATACTAAGATATCATGAAACAAGCCATTAACATGATAAAATGTCATCACCAGTTAGAAGTTGCAAGAATTTGTTGCAGATACCAAACAATTTGTAACAGATGCCGAACCCCGAATGCTGGACACTGTCCACAAAAAAAGTTGTAGACAATAATAAATTAATAATACTAATGTTTGAATAGAAAAATGCTTGAGATTACTTTCATATCTTTTTACCTTTTCCAATTTACTGTATATGTTCCCATGGCAACTGTGGGTTGCATGGATGGTGGCGCCACCAAGCAGCAGCATTCGGAAGCTTGTTCATCCTTCTTCAAAGACACTAAAAGTAGATGAAATAGAACACTGGACTTGCTTCAATTAAAAATTTTTTTCTGAATTTATCAAAAAGCTTATACAGAATACATACATTATTATCTTCATGTATTTAAGCTCACTATAAATAACTGAATAGGATTACAGTATTATGGACTTTGTTCCAAAACAATTTTGATTTGTACCATTTTCTCTTACCTCCTTTTAATTGAGTATCTGGCTGGTCTCCTTCAAAACTAAGAAAAGGGCTCTAAAAAGAAATAGTTCATGATCAACTGTTTGTTTGTTTGTTTGTTTATTTCCTTTTTTAAATTCACACAAATATACAATGCATGAGTGGGCCATGGGTGACACTTTAAAAAGAGTATATTCCCAACTGTGCACGTTAACTCCAACTTTTAATAAAAGAAAATTAAATACTTGTGTAATATAAGGAGACATTGTTTGAACAGTGAAATAGATTACGAAAGCTGCCTACACATTGAATTGCAATGGTAACAGGATGACAATATCATATTACATTACAGAAAGTCATAAGTTTAATTAATTTCCCAAAACACCTGAAAGAACAGAATGCGGTTTTAAAATTGCTTTTTTATAATAACAAAATGATGTTATATCACAAAACAGGATATCATTTTTCAAAATTAAATAATTCTTAAAAACATCTGTATGTTGGAATGCAATAATTTATTTTCTTTTAACATATTCAAAAGAAAATCAATATGCAGCTCGAATACTGTAGATTGGGTTAATTTGGCGCCCGCTTTAATTTGGCGAATTTGGCGAAATTGAAAAATTCGCCAATATAAATCTTCGCCAAAATTTAGAATGAATCCCCGAGAATTATCTAGGGTATTTCGTCGAGTGTATTTAGGTCACTTCCGGTTCAGTTTTTTCCAAAAATATGAAAAAATGTCTCTCATAAATTGGCTCAGAACTGGTCAGTCACTCATTAATACTCAGGGAAAAACTAGAAAGGAAAAGTGCAGTATAGTAGCAGCATCAATCGAGGTGCAAAATGTAAAGGATGATCTCACAAAAATGTACAAACGTGGTGAATATTGCCAGTGGTCCTCAAAAGAAAAAATTAACATAAAATTCGCAAACAACGCGTAAGTTAATTAAATTTTTTTTGCATATCCGCCAAATTAAATAGCCGCCAATATGCCAAAAATGGCAAAATCGCCAAATTAAGTAGCGCCAAATTAACCCAATCTACAGTATAATAATAATAATCAGCAAGTCTGTTTTACTTACCAGTTGTAAGGTGCTGCCCTCTATAGTAATGGGCCAGGGGGAAGAACTAGTCAGTGTTGGTATCAGCAGGAAAGGGGCATCTGCATGAACACTTGTGATTTTATCGAACTGAAATACAATGAAGCTTTGCTGAGTTTGGTTTTACAGCTCTTGTTATGATCCAAAATCCTCTTATCATTTGATTATTGTTTCATCAAGAGTATGATGTATGGAGTTCATTATTGTGTTAAATCATATTAATACATGTTCATATAGTCTCATGGTATATACCTACACATATACAGTATTTGTAATTTTAATTATGATGAGCATTTTCCATGCACATGTTTGCTGCATCCAATATATAACACTCAATATGCAGGGTGATATAACTTAAACTTATTTAATGTTTTAAGATTCATTATTTACCTTCATAGATGCAAGATTGACCGCAATGTTGAATGGCTCTACAACATTTAGGTCGAGAGTGACATCTTTACAGCATGAACAGGAGAGACTGGCACCTTCAGTCGAGACATCTACACAATACGACACCTAGCATGGGAGACAAATATATTTAATACCTGTTGAAATCCATTTGCATTCAGTATAACCAGACAGGTAATCATCTACAGACAGGTACTCTCTACTTATCTCTTAGATACTAATCAATTATAAGATTAAACCTAAAAATGATATTTCTCAGTGGTTCTTTTTGAAAACTTCTGACATAGGCCTATACAAAAATGTGATATACAGTAAAACCTGTCCGATGGAATACCTCTCTGTAGGGAAAACCTATGAACAAGGAATGCTTTTCAAAAGAACCGAATATTTTTCCATTGACTTACATGTTAATGGACCCTCTCTGTAGGGAAAACCTGTGAACAGGGAATAAGGAACACTATTTTGGGGCAAATTATGAAAATTCACCTGTGAACAAGGAATATGGAATATTGGTGACACTGTATATTCCATTATTTTTCAGAGGTGTGAAAGTCTTAAGCCAATATCTGAATGTATTACATACCTAGCGAAGCATTTGTATGGAAGTCAATGGAGCGGAAGGTCGGCTATATATTCCTGTATAGCCGCCAGAGTTTATTACCATGACAATTTTATGACGTCATAACATACAGACAAAGTTATTTTGACTGGAATCGTGTAAAACTTTGGTCTTTTTTCGCGCATTTCTACATATTATCTTCATGAAATGTTATGTAAATGTACTTTAGGTATGTAATACAACAATTATGTCCGTATCATAGAATATATGCCTTCGGTCTGTCATAATATAGCCCTCGCAAGCTCGGGCTATATTGATGACAGACCTCAGGCATATATTCAATGATAGGGACATAACTGCTAAATAAAAAGCTTGGATTAATATGATTGAGATTAAGATAAGCCAATTGTTTACAAGATGTAGTATCCCACCCACTGTTAATTACCCTGATTTATTTTAAAACTAATACTAATCTGTTTGTTATTTATTATCATTACACCAATTCTTCCTTTCAAAAACCTAATTACATCAAATCAGTTGTGATAATCTAGGGACTGACACAATCGTTTTATGGAGATAACAGATAGTAAGTACATGGTCATGTTGAGCCAAATCTCTTTAAATCTTTTACTGATCCAACTTCTAGATTATCATGATATAAAATAGGGTTGATGAAACTTGAAATTCAGTTCTTAGCAATATATCTCTACACATCATATCAATGATTACATCAACTAGACATCATCAGATGCTAGAAGCAGCTAAAATCAACAAGGGGAGAACGTAACCAAGTATGGAGTCGGCATTTGTACAATCAATCAATATATATACAAATATGCTTATTCGGCAATTTTGAGTTTGCTGAAAATGCAGCCCCTCTCTGTAGGGAAAACCTCTGAACAAGGAAACTTTCCTCCAGTCCCAAGAGCATTCCCTGTTCGCAGGTTTTACTGTATTTTCATCAAGGCTGATGTATGTACCTTTACATCTATCTTCCTATTTCCAGCTTGTAGACACTTTATATAGACATCCTTGCAATGCTGAAATTATGTAATATAAATGCATCATGTAATATAAATCCAAATGAGCAGTATACATGTATATTTATCAATACCCAACATGGCTCCTCATAAAATAACTTTGAATTAAGGCTACCATTCTTTTCACATATTATAGAAATTAAAGAGTCAAGTTTTTCACTATTAGTAACTTCAAACTGATACAACAGACTTTTGTGGTTGGTGACAAAATGACTTATGATTATGATGTTAGTACATGTACCTTGTCTCCTGGTTTCAAAGGAGGGAGAGTGACATCTGTCCTACAGTTGACCACCTGACCATCAAACTCTGCACTCCCATCATTTACATGAGCTGAAATAGCATGACCATGTTTACATTTTGGGATAAAGCAACACAATCTCCTTACAACTTCACAAAACATGTATACATTTTTGGATAAAACAACACAATCTCCTTACAACTCCACAGAACATGTATACATTTTGGGATAAAACAACACAATCTCCTTACAACTCCACAGAACATGTATACATTTTGGGATAAAACAACACAATCTCCTTACAACTTCACAGAACATGTATACATTTTGGGATAAAACAACACAATCTCCTTACAACTTCACAGAACATGTATACATTTTGGGATAAAACAACACAATCTCCTTACAACTCCACAGAACATGTATACATTTTGGGATAAAACAACACAATCTCCTTACAACTTCACAGAACATGTATACATTTTGGGATAAAACAACACAATCTCCTTACAACTTCACAGAACATGTATACATTTTGGGATAAAACAACACAATCTCCTTACAACTTCACAGAACATGTATACATTTTGGGATAAAACAACACAATCTCCTTACAACTTCACAGAACATGTATACATTTTGGGATAAAACAACACAATCTCCTTACAACTTCACAGAACATGTATACATTTTGGGATAAAACAACACTATCTCCTTACAACTTCACAGAACATGTATACATTTTGGGATAAAGCAACACAATTTCCTTACAACTTCACAGAAAGATACATTGTACATATGGGTTATTTTCTGGAGGTTTCACATAACAGTTTACTCTAGAGAAAATATGTTCACCTCATAAGGGATTAAAGGGAACCTTGAAGAATCACATACATACTCTTCGGGATACACCTAAAATCAACCTTGCATAACAGACTTGACACAATGACACATGCCTTTGAATGTTCTCTTTTGCGGGGCACACATGTCATCTGACATTTTGAGCTATGAATATTAATTGACTTTGCTAAAATGGAGGTATGGAACCATTATAGATATTTCTATATTCTGATGCTTATCAAAATGCTTTTATTTTACAAACCTACTGTAAATATTAAAGCCAGAATTGCTTGCAGAGTAAGCAGAATGACAAGTTCCAATGTACTATGCTTTTATCTTTTTTATTTATTCTAAAATGAGAATAATTTACATGTACTATGTGAACTTTTACACAATATAATGAAATTCATATCAAAAACTATTGATGGTTCATATGGTACAGATAATTATGAATACTGCAGTAATTTGAGATCAGAACTATAGACTGGTCCTTTAAATCAAATGATTAGATGACATCAACCGCCTGCATTCCCTATCTTTTTACTTACTTGACTGTTCTGCAGCGCTGTCTTCCCCCTCTTGAAGCCCAACAGATACACTTATCTGATTTATAGGCTTCTCCTCATTGTTAGAGATATTAATCTTCATGTAGTAGAACTCATTAACTAGCACAGGAGCCTCATGTAGCACCTCAATATTAACCCTCGCAGGCCTTGTTTCAATCCTGAACAAAAATGAACAAATCGTATTTTAAAGTGTGCATAATATCTGAAATTTACACACATTTACTCTTTGTGTCCTTTCCTGTAGAAAGAAACATGAAAAATGAGATTTTTGGAATAATGAAATTAGTTCTCCCTAATCTGTTACAGTTAGGGGTGGGACGATGACCCGATTCCCCGCGGGTTGAGGCCTTCGGGTTGACCCGAATCGACTCCTCTAGTTGAGGAGTCGACTCGTTCGATTTGAAAATGATGATAACTTCCGGTTTATAATTCCAGGCAATTTTTGGTATCTAAACTGTAGATTTCAAGGCTTTCTTTCATGATCTAGCCCATCTATGTGTTTATATTAGATATTAGAAATGTCCAGAGTGCTATTAATGTAATAATATTACTTGTTTGTATGAAATGATTGGAATAAAATAGAAATTATAAACTTACATTAGACTTGTTTTGTTTTCTTTGTGGTGATTAATTTACGAACGAAAATAAAATGACGTTCGTTATTTTATATTTATTATTAATGTATGTTGATTCCCTGTGAGAAATTTTCTATGTTTTATGAGTAAACAATTGTTTATTATCCCCCCGAATACAAATATATGACAGGTAAAACGATAATAATGGGAACAAACTCCGACTTTTTAGTTCTGTTACGAAAGTTCTACACGTTCGATAAATGTCTAATATACGAACGACCACAGGCTTTTGTGTTCGGTATTTGTTTTTAGATCTTAAATAAAAGTTGTTGAAACTTGTGCTTTTTATCAGATTATATCCGAATTCTTTTCAACTCAAATACTTTAGAGTGTTTCTAGTATGAAAACTATGAGATAAATCACTGATTTATTGATAATCGTAAGTGTTGGGTGTGTTGTTGCAAATGTGCCGGTCGTTCGTACATATATGCCTGTTCAGCAAAAAGATCATATCCGTTTGGAAAAATAAATACAACGCAGAGATTTGCAAGCTAAAACATGTTTTATTCTCTATAAATAGTAAATACTATCAACAAGTAGTTATAATTCACCAAAAATCAGTCATGTACTCTTTAAAGAAATATAATGTATATAACCCGACCCGAGTCGGAACTCGAATCGGATTTTTCTGGCCAGACCCGACCCGGACCCGAATCGTGCCATTTCGACCCGTCCCACCCCACAGTATTAATAAACTTACTTTGTGGAAGAAAGAATAGTTAGGTTGTCCCATTCAGGATTAGATTCTATGTGACCCCTTATGACCCCTGGGTGGTGATGAAGTTGCCCCGGGGTAGATGACACTGCATCGCCTCCTCCCCCTACCCAGTGAAGCACAGCGCACCTTGTTGTTTGAGACCCTAGAGATAATGCTACACCATTCATCTGAAAAAACGTTTTTAAGTTTTATGAATCTTAAACCTCAATTTGCATCAGTGGTTCAATGTTACGCTTTTGATGATATAAATAAACTTTTAGAATCCAAATTTAAAGATATCAAGCATTAAGTCTAGTCCTAGTTTTTCAAAACTTCAAATGGCATTAAAAAATGGGAGTGGGGTGTTTATAACTTGTTATGGTAAACCTACCTCAATGGATTTACCAACATCTTCCTTTTGCACAAGGAATGAGAAAGTGTAACATCTAATTTGATTGGGTACAAGATAGAGGTCACCTGCATCAGCCTCAATTTCATCTCCAGAATTAATTGGCTGACCATCAGTTACTTTGCAATGTACATTGTAGTCCTACAACGTGAACAATATCAATATTATGTCTGCACTCTGAAGAAATGGAAAACTGAGAGGAAAATTATTTGTAAACAGTATGCGGTAATCACTATATGCAGTATGTCCCTGACCTTAACCCTGCATCAATGTAATTCAAATTTTAATCTCCAATTGCACGTACCTAAATTCAGAAAATTAAGGAAGAAATCTGGAGTCTCATGCAAGAAGCTTGTTATTATAAATTGTACCCGGTGTGGTTTTAAATTCTCATTTAAGCGTTTACATACCTGTTCATTCAGTAATACAGCTAGGCTAGAAAATCTGATTGGGAATGGACAACTAGTTCTGAAACATATATATTAAAATATAATAGAAATAATGACTTTTGTTGATATTAAAACGCAACTAAGTAATCTAAAGAATCATAAAATTCAAGATGAGTTGAGGTTATGGACAGAAAACCCCTTTGCTCTCCCGGTGAGCTCACGTTCTGATGGATTATCCTTTTAGGGCTATACTTCAATCATTTTTTTAAGATAGAGAGTAAGTTGGAAATAATACTATTCAATTCTTCAAAGCAGGCAAGAAGGGATCAATCCATGCATTTCCAAATTGCCATATAAACACTGATGAAACCAAAATATCAGGGCCTTTTGTAAAACCATGTGCTTACCTTAAATAAACTTTGATTACAATTGGACAGTCAGCTGTAAAGCTCGTCTCTGTGAACATAGCCTTGCATTCAACTGAAAATCAAAAACAATATTACATAATGAATACAGATCACTACATCCCAATCTGCACTCTGAAATCACGATACCATATGATGCATTAAGAGTTTGGTACCATATGGTACCGCTCGAATATTGTGCCGTACAGTGTTTACAGTACCATGTGGTACTGTTTCAGTCTAAGGTACCATACAGTACCACATTTTACTGTGGCCAAATTGGTACCGTATGGTACTGTTAGAAAGTGGCTGTGTAGAAAGGCATAATGTATATTTTTACACATTCTGGGGTGTTCAACACAATAATAATTTCAAAATACCAAAAGAGAAAATTAGGTATGTATTGTATAGCCAAATTTTTTGCAGTCAGTTCTAACAAAATAGTACAGGGCTCACCAAAAGGAACAATGTTCTGCATCTCTATGGTGAAGACACAAGGTTCATCTGGTGAATGGTTGACTTTCCAGAGAGGTTTGGCAGTCTCGACACACTCCATGTTGCATCCTGGCTCTGCCTCTGGAGGGTCACACTAAATGTAAACAGGAGCTAAATAAGGCTAAAAAAGTCATTTAGTGGCAGTTCCAACTTCCAAATAGGATGCAATGAAGAACAATAGCAAGAAATTACAAATCTAGATTTAACCAATGTTTTGTAATGAAAATGAAAAAAAACCGGATTTCCTTTTTTTGAGTTCCAGCATTCCACTTAGCAATGTGATGAGATAACAATACCAATATATTTGTTGTAAGGATATGTTAAACAATTAAGTGCTGGTGATATGAACAGCAATTGATGAATCTCTTACTAAACAGGGTTCAACATTAATAGAAGGTATGAAGCCCCTGCTTTAAGCGTAAAGTACAAGATAATCAGAGAACCCAGTAGACCACCTCCCAGGGTGCAACATAAGAATTAACATAACATATCAGTTTTGATACATCGGTAAGTTGATATTCTCAGCATAGTAAAATAACAGGACTTGATAGCTAAAAATAATACAGGAATGCACCCCAGTGGATCAGGTGTCCGTGTGACACATCCTCGTCCCTCCCCTCGTTGACCAATCATACTTACGGCCATTACTCTGACCAGATTCATCTGAATTCTCGTCTTCTCTTCGGGTGAACATTGGATATCTGACAGCAATAGTTAAGGTACAAATCATGCTCTCGATTTATTTGTTCTTATAATGGCTGATGAATATGTTGAGGGGCATTGTTTATAATACACAAAAATTTGTAGAAAATTTAGATTTAAACATTTTTTTCATTATCGTGAATTTATGCAATACTATTTCTTGTTATATATTGTAAGCATCGTTTCACATACAATAAGATCCAAAAATTCCAAAAGTATGTGTTCATATTGTTACAGGATACATTTTGTTGTTAGTTCCAGACAGACAGTGACATACTCCTGTATATTTCCCACAAGGTAAGCACAGCGTAGCAATGTAGACAGTATAGATGTCAGCAGTGACCACCAGCGTTCAGCTCTGTAGTCCCATGTAACACGACTCAGCAATCTTTGAAGACAATAACAACTTTAGGGTAATGAACTGGTTTTACAACTAACAATAAGAGTCACATGGCGCAACCCATGACATTTCATAAGGCATGAACATCCATTACATCATCACATTGTGCAACAGAAACACGTTGGTATATTGAATTACTTGATTGTACACATTCATTAATAACACAATATTTTATGTAAGTGGTTGATGCTTACATATACATAATAACAAAATGACATTTTGCACGTAAAGAAATATTGAAGTCACAGTCCTAAGGGGACAAAGTACATATACAAGGGTTGATCCAAAAGTTCTGCACCATTTGCTCTAAAAATCTTAATTCTTTATGAATATTGTTCGTATTTGGCTTCAACCACCCCGTACATAGTAGTTTCATTTTGTGTAAAAATAAGTAATAGATTTGACCAGTAATATAGGTGTCTGGTTACCATAGTAACATGGCAACAGGGTATGTGGAGCAATAGCATGACACATTGTATAGCAAGCAAAAAGTTGACTCTTAAAAAGTGTTACAGGGTACCGAATTTCAATTGTGTCAGTCATGCTTGTTAATCGATTATTTTTTCGATCCATATTATTGTTTGTGATCAAAACTGTTACTCTCATGGCTAAAAAATTTATAAAAATATGTACGTGTGCATCATGATAAACCATGACATCTCAAATCTTCTCAGCCCTGAGATGCCATGATATAATGGGCTTGATTTGGCGATCCAGGAGAGCCCAAAATTGAGGATTTTTGAGATCTTTCATCCCAGCTCATATTTCATTTAATTGGGGTCATTAAACTTATGTACGCGTGCCTGTGCTAATATCTGCTGTTCAATACAATGCCTTTTATGTAATGTATTGACATTAGGTAAATGATTACATGATAACTATCACACTTATTGACAGCTATAACTCTTCCCATCTGATGTGCTCAGATCACAGAATATGCATCATAATATCAGAGCATGTTTCAGTGAAACAGAAAGATGCTATGAGTATCAGAATGGTACAGAATGCCATATATGATTCATTAAAATGTCAAATAATAAGAGGCAGAAAGGTGAATGTGAGCGTGACATTCCTCTTATTACTTAACACAAAGTGTAATCTAATATGCCTATTATTTCATATTTCGAATGACATAATTCATAAACTTACGTAAGAGCTTTATTGTAGTCCTTGGCATGATAGTATTCCTCACCCATTTGCACCACTACAACAATAGCAAACACAATTGAACATTTTCTACTTACTTTTACATCCATACAGTTGCCGAAGCCAAATGTTAAGCAGAGATAACTAAGTAATAATTCTGGTTAAAAATCACAAATATAGCTATAATCTCAAATATAAACAAGACCCCCTTTATATTAGTACATGCCTATTTAATAAAATAATAAATTTATACAATACTATTGTATTTCTTGTTGTTTTAATATCTAAAGTATATAGATATAATATTCTGAAATTACAATGAATTGAAACAAATCGGTTAATTTAGTCAATGTAGCATACTTACTAAGGTAACGTTTCATTCTTGGGGATTTGTATTTCTTGAACTGTGCCACTGCACTCGACAGCAATGGGATGATGAGCCACTAAAACATATATGGAAAAACTGAATTGGATGCAACTTTCAAGTACATAAAAGTGCACTGTAGTGAGTTTGAGTTTGTACTACCCCGAGAGGAGAATGTCCAGAGGTAAATCATTTAATGTAATTTATTGAAAATTTCAATATAAAGAGGTGATCTAGAAGGCTATTAACCTTAAGACATACCACAAAACTCCATTGTCATCATGGTTTGCAAAGGTTTTGAAAACTGGCACCAAATTACAGACAAGGCATTGAGATGACAAAATGTCACCACATTGTAAGTTGCAAATTGTAAGATGCCAAAATCAAAATGCAAAATGCTGAACGCCGAACACCATCCACAAAAAAGTTTGTAACAGTTGTCACCAATATTGACAATATTTCTACATACCGAATGGTCAACCTTGAGTTCTACTTGCTGCAGAGCTTGTATTCCATCCCTTTCCCTCAGAATATCAGGAGGTTCAACACCTTTAAATGAGAACTCAGTTTAGGTTGGTCATGAATGAGCAAGTTGTGGACGTTTCACACAACGGGTTATAGCTTAAATGTATCCACAACCTCATCTTGTATGAATTGAAATGTTAAGCCTGAATCTGGTGAATGTGTTACATATTTTAGATATGTTGGGCTAAAAATGTTGCGTGAAACCTCTATATTAGATTCATTTGCAAAGTTTATTACATTCTCCCTTACTTTTATAGCATGATTTTCATGGTTAATGCAGGATGAAAATGAAAAGTTGAGCCACTTATAATGATTATTTAGAATATATCATACTGCCATTATATAACCATACTTCAGTAGTTCAGGAAAGCACCAAAGGCATGCATGCAGAAAATGGTATTTTCAACAAGATTGTAGGTGTCACTGTCAAACTCAACATCCTGAATTTTAGAGTTTCAGATTTCCAATGCATTTACTGAGTAATGGTAATCAGCATTACAATGAATAACATTGAAATAATATTTGCTATTTCTAGACCTATCATTATCTACTGTTGACTATATGGGAAGAAATGAATATACATGTACAAAGTGTCCCAAAAGCAACAAAAGTGTATTTCTTGTCAAATATCATGAACCACATTTGACAGACTAAATTTATACAATTCTGAAACTGCTATGTTGGAATCTTTTCCTGTTACTGTCATCATATCACTAACTAACCATAACTTTAACAATAGTCTCAAAAATGTTCTCAAACTATTCATAATTCCATCATGATCAATGCAGTATTTAATTGATGTAGTATCACTTCTTTTACTACTTTTGGGACACTCTGTAATGACATTCTTGGGTATCAATCAGTACATTATCTACATATTAATTATAAGATTATATACAGGGGGTAGCTAGTTGGATGTTGCTATACTATTTCTTATACAAGGTTCTATCACAAAGCACTTTCTCGTTTTTGCCTTACTCAGAGCATTTGGATTTTGTTTTTCTGAAACACAATTGTATCATTTATACTGATTGTATCATCAACCGTGACAGTGTTATAAATATCATTGATACTGCCTGTATTATTAACTGGGTGTAATATCTATACCAACTGTAACGATATACTGTCTGTATTACAAACACTGACAAAACACAATGATAAAATAAAAGTTAATTAAGTTAAGCAATAAATAAAAGCGACAAACTTTTAAATATAAATATAAAATGAAAAATAACGCTAATTAAACTTAAAAAAGTACAATGAAATACAAATATAGGGAAATGACTAAAATATAACAATATTTGGACAAAGGCTGAATATTGATGCTGTCCCCAGCTCCGATTTCGGTGATCGGCTAGTATAAAAGGTTTGAGGGTATCATTTTGTTCCAGACACTCGCTAGAGTAAATTATCCTAACTTGAGTAAAAATGTGTGGTAAGTAAATTCGCTATGGGCAGTTAAAGAGGCGCCATCTATTCATTTTCAAACAGGGGGTAAGGGTATAAAATAATTTTTAACACATTTTAATAGTAAAATGACATTGAAATACTAATAAAATCTTATCAAGAACATTATTTACAATCAGTATGAATTTTCTTGTGTGGATTAGGGTGAAAATAAGGGCATATGTTGAAATTCACTACAGGGGCGCCACCTATTTTCGTACTTCTACCACGTGTAATAACTTATTTTAGATTCGTTAAGGTACGAAATGTACTGAAACAATTCATTCTGAAGGACCTATATATGTTCATATCACATACTCAAAATTGGATCAATATCTTTTGTACTGGCGGAGAAAAAAATTATTGAAATTTAAAATTGTGGCATCATGCAGGATAGGGGTGACCATATCTCACATTATTAACTTCCAAAATATGGAGCATATGTATCTCAAATGTACTCAAAATGGTGTATGTACTCTTGCTTTGTCATAATATTACTAATAAGAAGTAGAAAAATGATTGTACATTTTAAAAAATATTGATTCTCATTCTGGCTTCTGACGTCCCAGGCGTGACCATATCTCACCTTAATAACTTCCAAAATATGGAGCATATGTATCTCAAATGTACTCAAAATGGTGTATGTACTCTTGCTTTGTCATAATATTACTAATAAGAAGTAGAAAAATGATTGTACAATTTCAAAAAATATTAATTCTCATTTTGGCTTCTGATGTCCCAGGGGTGACCATATCTCACCTTGATAACTTCCAAAATATGGAGCATATGTATCTCAAATGTGCTCAAAATGGTGTATGCACTCTTGCTTTGTCATAATATTACTAATAAGAAGTAAAAAAAATGATTGTACATTTTAAAAAATATTAATTCTCATTTTGGCTTCTGACGTTCCAGGGGTGACCATATCTCACCTTAATAACTTCCAAAATATGGAGCATTTGTATCTCAAATATGCACAAAATGGTTTACATAGTCTTGTCTTGTCATAATATTACTATTAAGATGTAGGAAAATGATTGCTCATTTTTAAAAATATTAATTCTCATTTTGGCTTCTGATGTCCCAGGGGTGACCATATCTCACCTAATAACTTCCAAAATATGGAGCATATGTATCTCAAATGTACTCAAAATGGTGTATGTACTCTTGCTTTGTCATAATATTATACTAATAAGAAGTAGGAAAATTATTATACATTTAAAAAATTTTAATTTTAGCTCCTGACGTCCCTGAATAACTTCTAAAATTATGTAACATATACAACTCAAATATACCAAAAATGGGGCATATAGTCTTGCTTTGTCATAATGCTATTCATTAGATGTAAAAAAATTATTACACCTTTTTAATTGAAATTTTCATTTTAGCTTCTGAATCTGACATCCCAGGGGCAATTATATATATTTGATATAACTCTCACGATATGCAACATATGCATCTCAAATGCGTGCCCAAAATGGTATAAATATAGTCTTGTTTTGTCATATTTATTGGATTCATGAAATCAGAAGTTCAGAATTTATGGATTTGACTGTCTCCCCTGAAGGGTGCAGCTACATATAGCCCAGAGACAATAAGATCTACTTTCAAATATTTGCATCTTCTCCCCAAACACTCCTTATATTACAGCAGTGATCTCCACAGGATTTTTTCACATGCGGGTGCAAAATTCTCATTTTCACAATTTAGACCAAAATTGGTCAAAATGTGCCCATTTTTTATGATTTTTGTCATTTTCAAGTGGGTGAAAGCCTATTTTCAAAGTCTCAGGTGGGTGCTGTGCCCACTTCCTTTAATGCTGGGGAGAACACTGTACAGGAACAATGGACGATAAGTCTTTTGCATGCCTTGGATGCAACATCTTTTGTATACTGGTAGCTTATCAGTAGTGTGAGTAGCCTAGCCTCATTTACAAAAATTGGCCCCTTAACCCCAAATCTGACCCGAAATTTTGAACACATCCTGAAAAATTACGCCTAAAAGGCGCACTTATGCCCAAACATACACCAAACTGTCCCACTGCTAAATTACAAGGGCGATAAGTCACTTCTAATCCTGATTGACATTCTCTAGTTTGCATGGTTTGTCATGTTGTGCTATATTGTTATTGCCCAATCTCAACAATTGTATTCACTGTATGGCCTACCATGCCAAGAATAATGCAATTGTTCCAAAAGCTAATCTCTTCTTTGGGACCCGGGAAGTGTGGGACATCACAATCATAGATTAATATTTCATTACAATCAATGTATGTTGTATGACAAACATGCAAACTAGAGAATGTTAATGTGGCTAGAAAGATTTATCATTACAAAGAGCTCCTTTTCCCATATTTTACATACTCAAAATCCCCTAATTCAGTGTATAATCCAAGGTGCATATATTGCAGGCCACAGGATAACATATTAACACCTTACATTAGCAGTTGCCATTACTTCATCAATGGAGTAAAGTACTCCCACTATTGACAGGCTAAAAGGATTCCTGTATGGATTACAAAAGATGTTGGGTCCAATGTATGCAAGGGAATAATCTCATCCATTGTACTTGTAAAGGGTGTTTGGGGAGCAGATGCAAATATTTGAAAGCAGACATTATTTGCCCTGAATTATATGTAGCTGTAGAGGAGACAGTCAAAATCCGTTGATTCTGAACTGTTGATTTCATGATTCTCAATAAATATGACAAAACAAGACCATTTTGAGCACACATTTGAGATGCATATGTTGCATATTGTGAAAGTTATCAAGGTGAGATAGCCCCTTGGACACCATAGGCTAAAATTAAAATTTAAACGAAATGCAATCATTTTTCTACATTTCATTAGTAATATGAAAAAGACAGGACTTTTCTGAGAATATTTGAGGATTATATGTTACGTATCTTAGAAGTTATTATTATTATTATATGGTGCGATATGATTACCCAGGAATGTAAGAAGCTAAAATTAAAATTTTGGAAATGTATAATCATTTTTCTACTTCTTATTAGTAATATTATGACAAAGCAAGAGTACATACACCTTTTTGAGTACATTTGAGATACATATGCTCCATATTTTGGAAGTTATTAAGGTGAGATATGGTCGACCCTGGGATGTCAGAAGCCAAAATGAGAATCAATATTATTTTAAATGTACAATTATTTTTTTACTTTTTATTAGTAATATTATGACAAAGCAAGAGTACATTCACCATTTTGAGCACATGTGAGATATATGCTCCATATTTTGAAGGTTATTATATTAAGGTGAGATATGGTCACCCCTGGGACGTCAGAAGCCAAAATGAGAATAAATATTATTTGAAATGTACAATCATTTTTTTACTTCTTATTAGTAATATTATGACAAAGCAAGAGTACATACACCATTTTGAGCACATTTGAGATACATATGCTCCATATTTTGGAAATTATTAAGGTGAGATATGGTCACCCCTAGGACGTCAGAAGCCAAAATGAGAATCAATATTTTTAAAAATGTACAATCATTTTTCTACTTCTTATTAGTAATATTATGACAAATCAAGAGTACATACACCATTTTGAGTACATTTGAGATACATATGCTCCATATTTTGGAAGTTATTAAGGTGAGATATGGTCACGCCTGGGACGTCAGAAGCCAGAAAGAGAATCAATATTTTTTAAAATGTACAATCATTTTTCTACTTCTTATTAGTAATATTATGACAAAGCAAGAGTACATACACCATTTTGAGTACATTTGAGATACATATGCTCCATATTTTGGAAGTTATTAAGGTGAGATATGGTCACCCCTGGGACGTCTGAAGCCAAAATGAGAATTAATATTTTTTTAAATGTACAATCATTTTTCTACTTCTTATTAGTAATATTATGACAAAGCAAGAGTACATACACCATTTTGAGTACATTTGAGATACATATGCTCCATATTTTGGAAGTTAATAATGTGAGATATGGTCACCCCTATCCTGCATGATGCCACAATTTTAAATTTCAATAATTTTTTTCTCCGCCAGTACAAAAGATATTGATCCAATTTTGAGTATGTGATATGAACATATATAGGTCCTTCAGAATGAATTGTTTCAGTACATTTCGTACCTTAACGAATCTAAAATAAGTTATTACACGTGGTAGAAGTACGAAAATAGGTGGCGCCCCTGTAGTGAATTTCAACATATGCCCTTATTTTCACCCTAATCCACACAAGAAAATTCATACTGATTGTAAATAATGTTCTTGATAAGATTTTATTAGTATTTCAATGTCATTTTACTATTAAAATGTGTAAAAAATTATTTTATACCCCTACCCCCTGTTTGAAAATGAATAGATGGCGCCTCTTTAACTGCCCATAGCAAATTTACTTACCACACATTTTTACTCAAGTTAGGATAATTTACTCTAGCGAGTGTCTGGAACAAAATGATACCCTCAAACCTTTTATACTAGCCGATCACCGAAATCGGAGCTGGGGACAGCATCATATAGCAACAAAAAGGGAGAAATTTACGTAGTTTCAAATCAAGAAAAATCCCAACTTACTGAGGTGATGTCCTTGTCTCCAAGGTCTTTGACCATAGTAGTCTAATTTATCAAGTAGTTCTAGGGGATCTGGGCTTATGACCTGGTTGGAGCTCTGGAATAGAACATGGCATACCTCAATTGATGGATAGCATGGAGGGAGGGGGGTATTTATTGAATAATTTTCTGAACATTGTGAATTATGATTGAGAATGTCATATAGTTATTTAATTCTGCACCGACATTGTAACAAGTTGAGTGTCAGTAATATAACCTTGAACAACAAATGTGTTATAGTTTTTGCTTTAAACAAATATTAATGGAGTTAAAAAAATAATAGAATACTAGAAAATATTATATTACACAGTGTGATTATAGAAGATAGGGGTTACCTCATTACACTAAAACCTGTCTAAGTTGATCATTATAGAGTAGTGGTACAATTAATCGTTGTAGAGTCGCGTTATTGACGCAGAGAAGGTCTTAAAAAATTAAGTCGACTCCATAATCTCGACTTGCTAATGCCACTATTAGCCATAATTTGTTGCCATAACCACATTGCAACAAATTTAAGATGTTCAGAGAGAAAAATAAAAAATATGATGTAAGTGTAATGCTAATTAAGGAGAAATAGAGCTGTTTATTCAAAGAATATAGCACCAAAATGATCTAATCTAGATCTTTAGGTTCGTTAAAGCATCGATAGTGTTTTGGAAGTGAATTCATACAATTTTTTTAATTTTTGCAAAAATAAAGACATAAAAAATGCTCCACTCAACTCCACTCTCACGACTTGCACCACTCATTAGAGCCTCAAAATAAACTTCCACATACAAAGGTTCATTCTTCATAAAATAATATGACTTGAAGTGTTTCACTTATGCAGGCATTCCAGTTCAGAGGTGTTCCACATGACAGGTTTTAGTGTATACCCTTGCTAAAAGTACATTTTTATATCTTAATAGTATAATGTATGGCCTCGAAGTCAGGGTATTAAGAAGTAATTGCTGGCACGTGTAAGGGGATAAATATATCATAATACTAAGAGTACACTGTACTTAATATGTCATTCTATAATATTATTAAATAAGCTGGATTAATTTCAGCTAATTAGCAAGCACATTAACCATTGGAACTGATGAATTTCAAGACAGATTATCATCATTAATAATTCCAAAATAAGTAAAATAAATCCCAGAACCTAAATTTAAGATCAAAAGTAGCCAAAAAGATATTTCATGTGTGTCGTTAACATGCAGATATTTTAGTGTTAAGTTGCAAAAATATAATGGAGTATTGTCCATGATAATAGTACAACATAAAATAATTGTGTAATATCTAACCTATTTTCAACATGATAGTGAAATATCTGTAAATGCGTCAAGCCTTATGAGAAAATCTTTAAAGTAAAAACAGGTGGACCTTTTGAAGGCGCTTAGCACTTAAGCAGATAAACAGAACAATGTAGTTAATAGAATACAGATTAATAATGTTACAGAGATTTCTTTTCCTTCAAGCTTCATTATTACTTTAATATTATCAACCAAATCGTTTAGTTCTAAACCAAGCCATCGTGACAAAAGCCCCTTACATGACATAAGCCCTGGCAAAGCTGTTTCCTAGCAACAGCATGATTGGCAGCTTGCTGATAGTAAATGCCAGGATGTTGGGTCTGGATAGCAGTCAGCCCCATCTTTATTGCCTCGTCAAATAAATCAGCAAACATCTGGAACCTGCACCCAGACACATTAGGAATGACACATTAGACATGACATAAAACATGACACATAAGAGTTGCCACCTTAAAGGAGAATTTATTAAAGAAGGGATATATAGGATATAAACAGAGATTGGGATTAACCAAACCGTGTAAGCCCTGCAAGAAGAAAGAAACAATCATATGAAAAATATTAAATTCATAATTATAGGTTAAAAAGACTGTGCACATGTATATGTTAGAACTATATGCGAGTGATTGTGTAATATTTCAGATTAATCACAGCAAGAAAGCACTTGAGATGCATATAGACTAATAGCCACATAAATTAATTGTTAGTAGCTGGCATATAACATGTCTCAAATAGACAAGAAAGCAAAGTCCTATGCTTATATAACATGAAACTTGCATAAACATTCACCATCAAGAGTGAAATACCAATATTTCCCTCAAAATAGACAAATTCTCAATAGAAGCGCTTATTTGCCATCCTAAATGCAACAACAATATGCCAAAAATGCTTCATGCAATTATTCCACAAAGATATTTGTTTTTTCAGTTGTTCTAATCTTGCATCATTCCCCACCTACTTCGTCAATTTCCTCAACTGATACAGTGTTTGAATAGAAGGAGGTGGTAATGCACAAGGGCTTGTTGCAAGACTATGTGGATCCTATTGAGAATGAACCGTCCATAACCATAACCTTATAATGCCCATACATTAACATATAGAATGCATATATCAGAAGCCGTTATTAGTAAAATCAAAAGTGGGGTGTGATGGAAGAGTGATATTCACCCTGCACAATCCAAAAGCAAGTTGACGTCTTGCTATCCCATAATATGCCGCCTGCTGGTAGTAAAATCCGGGATGTTGCGTCTGTATGGGAGTCAGACCAAACATGACAGCCTCTTGGAACATGTCTCCAAACAAATGGAACCTATATAATGATCTAATAGATTACAATCATGGCAAGCATGCTCTGGAATATGTACAGGAGGGCTCATTAGCAGCAGGCATCAGGTGATTTGCTCCAGTTTTTATACCACACATTGTTATTAAGCAATTTTGCAACAGTTTTCATTCTAAACTTATAATTTTCAACCATTCTTTCTGTTGTGTTTGTTACGCGGTAAACACGATACAAAAATATGTCATATTCCACAACGAATATGGCATATTCACTTGCGGTGTATGACAGATTCATCTGCGGTATATGGCATACACACTAAACAATGAGAACGTGATACGGAAGTACGCAATTGTCAATTGCATCGATTGAATGAACAAGTAAAACGTTATTCATTATTATAATGATTACTGAATCATCAGTACTGTGTATCGAATATATTAACTTAGCAGAAGTATCAGTCACCAATCTCGCGTAATAAACTTACTCAATCAATCCAGGACTCATATATTAGTACTCAAAGCACTAACTATATTGGTAATCCAGTGTAGTTTTACATTTAGAGTCGATTCTCGCAACCAATCAAATCAAGGCTTTCTGTATCACGTTTTCACCTGCGGTATATGTCATATTCACCTGCGGTATATGGCATATTCCGCAAGTGAGTATGACATATTCCGCAAGTGAGTATCGGGTATTAACTGAAATCAATGTATCACATATTCACTGCGGAATATCACATACTCACGGCGGAATATCACATACTCACCTGCGGAATATGTCATATACATATTTGATGACATTTCAAGTGCATGCATGCATTTATAATCATATATACAATTGAAAATATGGTTAACCAAAAGTTGTTCTATTCAATTCTGGGGTTCAGACATTAATGGAAAGTATTCTCAGAAATCTTACTGTTTAGACATCCATGCACTGTGTTCAAAGGCTAGCTCTGGTTGGCCATCTCTACTCTTGAAGAAATCAATGTGCTTTCTGAACTGAGCTATGGCATCAAGTGGAGCATTGTGTTGGAATGACAGACGACACACCTAAATTAATTATTCATGTTTTTAGTAGCAGTACTGGTAGTGGCAATTTCACTGAATTTGAACTTGTGCTCAATTAAGGTTATTTATCTGTTTTAAATGAGTTTTCTTGCAAGAAGACATCAAGGGAAGTCCAATTTTAAGAGTAAATACACTACCCCTATCCCCCAAAAAGCTCATATTTGTGAATACCCTTTCCCAAGGTATGGCATCATAGGAATGTTGGCCTATATGCCATGGATATCTTGTGAGTTGAGGTGAAATGTACTTTACCTTATAATTTATGTATCCAGCTATGATCTTGATCTCTAGCAGGTTTGTGTCATGCATCCTCAGCTCAAGTATGTGACCGTAAGACAGTTTATAATGTCTAAAAATATGTCGTACAAAATACAAGATACAATAGTCATCAACAATACAATACAGGAAAACAAGGCATTTTAGTATTTAAGGTTCACAAAGCAGGTTTTACTGTTATAAGTGTCCCAAGTTTACTTACTTAAGAGCAGTGTGGGAATCCTGTTTCATCTCATTATAAAAGGCAATCTTGAACTGGTGACGCACAAATAGCAGCTGAAACAAAACAAGTCATTAACATAACAAAATGTGAATGGTTGAGCACTCTGAGCTCAGATCAATGAAAAAAGTAGGCTTTGAATAGCTGATTTGTACTGACTTAATTCTCATACATTTGTTATTTATCATTGGTTGGAATATTATTTTTTATGACCAGTTGAGTTTTTTATGTTCCTCTAAGATGAAATGATTCAATGAAAGTGTAGGCCCTGGATAGTCAATTTTTACAAGCCTTATGTGTCTTTTTAATGTTCCTTTTCTAAGTATGTTTTGACACTTTTTGTTTTTTCCATTTTACTTATATTCAAAGTTTGAGATTACTTTTTATTTTCTAATGTCGCCCTTTGTGCAGTAAGATGTATGTACATAGAGACCATTACCTGGTGTGTTGTTTTGTTGAGGAACTCTTTATGAGTCTTTATTTTCCTTGCCTCACCATGGTAATAACTTTGCGACAGTTCATAAAATGCATTCTCAAGTCTACAAAAGATACAACAAGGTTAAGAGATGTAATATACAACAATTAAATTCAACAAAGATCAAAACTCAAGTTTGTAAATTAAAAAAAAAAAAGTGCTAGAAAATTGTCATACCTTATGGTATAACCTAGGAGATGGTCTGTGTGTGGAAGGACAAACAGGGACTTGGCTGATAATTCACATGCATTACATAATGAAGCTGCTCTCTCAGCTGCAACCATATCTTCTCCTAGAAACAACAGAAATAAGTTAACACAGGGAGTACATATGTACTATGTAAGCGGAGCACCTTTGGTACATCTAAAAGTGTTTCACTTGGGAGGTGATCCACTTATAGAGGTTTATCTAACAGTAAGACATCTAACTTTCAGAGTTATTCCACTTTACAATGTAATTTAATGTACATGTTGTTAAGTACAGAGGTAGATGTACATTGTACAGATAGATACAACAACAATCTGGTATATGCACATGTGGAGACAACTGTATAAAGTGTGATTTCTACCATGGACTGCACTTCATCAGTTCATGGCAAAGACAAACTGTTACACATGATATATGAAAAAATGAATGAACTTGTTTTTTTCAGATTCCCAGTCATGGGGGTTGATTGATGTGATGTTTACCTGGTGGTAATTGGTAGAAGTGCTTTTTTCAGACTTTTGGGAAACTACAGACAAATAAAGGTTGGATGATGTGATGTTTACCTGGTGGTATTGGAGAAGTGCTTTTTTCAGACTTTTTGGAAAGGACAGACAAATAAAGGTTGAATGATGTGATGTTTACCTGGTGGTATGGTAGAAGTGCTTTTTTCAGACTTTTGGGAAACCACAGACAAATAAAGGTTGAATGATGTGATGTTTACCTGGTGGTAATTGGTAGAAGTGCTTTTTTCGGACTTTAGGGAAACTACAGACAAATAAAGGTTGAATGATGTGATGTTTACCTGGTGGTAATTGGTAGAAGTGCTTTTTTTCAGACTTTTGGGAAACTACAGACAAATAAAGGTTGAATGATGTGATGTTTACCTGGTGGTAATTGGTAGAAGTGCTTTTTTCAGACTTTTGGGAAACTACAGACAAATAAAGGTTGAATGATGTGATGTTTACCTGGTGGTAATTGGTAGAAGTGCTTTTTTCAGACTTTTGGGAAAGGACAGACAAATAAAGGTTGAATGATGTGATGTTTACCTGGTGGTATGGTAGAAGTGCTTTTTTCAGACTTTTGGGAAAGGACAGACAAATAAAGGTTGAATGATGTGATGTTTACCTGGTGGTATGGTAGAAGTGCTTTTTTCAGACTTTTGGGAAACTACAGACAAATAAAGGTTGATTGATGTGATGTTTACCTGGTGGTATGGGAGAAGTGCTTTTTTCAGACTTTTGGGAAAGCACAGACAAATAAAGGTTTAATGATGTGATGTTTACCTGGTGGTATGGTAGACGTGCTTTTTTCAGACTTTTGGGAAAGCACAGACAAAAAAAAGGTTTAATGATGTGATGTTTACCTGGTGGTATTGTAGAAGTGCTTTTTTCAGACTTTTTGGAAAGGACAGACAAATAAAGGTTTAATGATGTGATGTTTACCTGGTGGTAATTGGTAGAAGTGCTTTTTTCAGACTTTTGGGAAAGCACAGACAAATAAAGGTTGAATGATGTGATGTTTACCTGGTGGTATGGTAGAAGTGCTTTTTTCAGCCTTTTGGGAAAGTACAGACAAATAAAGGTTGAATGATGTGATGTTTACCTGGTGGTATGGTAGAAGTGCTTTTTTCAGACTTTTGGGAAAGCACAGACAAATAAAGGTTTAATGATGTGATGTTTACCTGGTGGTATGGTAGAAGTGCTTTTTTCAGACTTTTGGGAAAGCACAGACAACAAATAAAGGTTTAATGATGTGATGTTTACCTGGTGGTAATTGGTAGAAGTGCTTTTTTCAGACTTTTGGGAAAGCACAGACAAATAAAGGTTGAATGATGTGATGTTTACCTGGTGGTATGGTAGAAGTGCTTTTTTCAGACTTTTGGGAAAGGACAGACAAATAAAGGTTGAATGATGTGATGTTTACCTGGCTGGTAATTGGTAGAAGTGCTTTTTTCAAACTTTTGGGAAAGCACAGACAAATAAAGGTTTAATGATGTGATGTTTACCTGGTGGTAATTGGTAGAAGTGCTTTTTTCAAACTTTTGGGAAAGCACAGACAAATAAAGGTTTAATGATGTGATGTTTACCTGGTGGTATGGTAGAAGTGCTTTTCAGACTTTTGGGAAAGTACAGACAAATAAAGGTTTAATGATGTGATGTTTACCTGGCTGGTAATTGGTAGAAGTGCTTTTTTCAAACTTTTGGGAAAGCACAGACAAATAAAGGTTTAATGATGTGATGTTTACCTGGTGGTAATTGGTAGAAGTGCTTTTTTTAAACTTTTGGGAAAGCACAGACAAATAAAGGTTTAATGATGTGATGTTTACCTGGTGGTATGGTAGAAGTGCTTTTCAGACTTTTGGGAAAGCACAGACAAATAAAGGTTTAATGATGTGATGTTTACCTGGTGGTAATTGGTAGAAGCGCTTTTCAGACTTTTGGGAAAGCACAGACAAATAAAGGTTTAATGATGTGATGTTTACCTGGTGGTATGGTAGAAGTGCTTTTCAGACTTTTGGGAAAGTACAGACAAATAAAGGTTTAATGATGTGATGTTTACCTGGTGGTAATTGGTAGAAGTGCTTTTTTCAGACTTTTGGGAAAGCACAGACAAATAAAGGTTTAATGATGTGATGTTTACCTGGTGGTATGGTAGAAGTGCTTTTCAAACTTTTGGGAAAGCACAGACAAATAAAGGTTTAATGATGTGATGTTTACCTGGTGGTATGGTAGAAGTGCTTTTCAAACTTTTGGGAAAGCACAGACAAATAAAGGTTGAATGATGTGATGTTTACCTGGTGGTATGGTAGAAGTGCTTTTTTCAGACTTTTGGGAAAGCACAGACAACAAATAAAGGTTTAATGATGTGATGTTTACCTGGTGGTAATTGGTAGAAGTGCTTTTTTCAGACTTTTTGGAAAGGACAGACAAATAAAGGTTGAATGATGTGATGTTTACCTGGCTGGTAATTGGTAGAAGTGCTTTTTTCAAACTTTTGGGAAAGCACAGACAAATAAAGGTTTAATGATGTGATGTTTACCTGGTGGTAATTGGTAGAAGTGCTTTTTTCAGACTTTTGGGAAAGCACAGACAAATAAAGGTTGAATGATGTGATGTTTACCTGGTGGTATGGTAGAAGTGCTTTTTTCAGACTTTTGGGAAAGCACAGACAAATAAAGGTTTAATGATGTGATGTTTACCTGGTGGTAATTGGTAGAAGTGCTTTTCAGACTTTTGGGAAAGCACAGACAAATAAAGGTTTAATGATGTGATGTTTACCTGGTGGTATGGTAGAAGTGCTTTTCAGACTTTTGGGAAAGTACAGACAAATAAAGGTTTAATGATGTGATGTTTACCTGGTGGTATGGTAGAAGTGCTTTTTTCAGCCTTTTGGGAAAGTACAGACAAATAAAGGTTTAATGATGTGATGTTTACCTGGCTGGTAATTGGTAGAAGTGCTTTTTTCAAACTTTTGGGAAAGCACAGACAAATAAAGGTTTAATGATGTGATGTTTACCTGGTGGTAATTGGTAGAAGTGCTTTTTTCAAACTTTTGGGAAAGCACAGACAAATAAAGGTTTAATGATGTGATGTTTACCTGGTGGTATGGTAGAAGTGCTTTTTTCAGACTTTTGGGAAAGCACAGACAAATAAAGGTTGAATGATGTGATGTTTACCTGGTGGTATTGGAGAAGTGCTTTTTTCAGACTTTTGGGAAAGCACAGACAAATAAAGGTTTAATGATGTGATGTTTACCTGGTGGTAATTGGTAGAAGTGCTTTTTTCAGACTTTTTGGAAAGGACAGACAAATAAAGGTTGAATGATGTGATGTTTACCTGGTGGTATGGTAGAAGTGCTTTTTTCAGACTTTTGGGAAAGCACAGACAACAAATAAAGGTTTAATGATGTGATGTTTACCTGGTGGTATGGTAGAAGTGCTTTTTTCAGACTTTTTGGAAAGGACAGACAAATAAAGGTTGAATGATGTGATGTTTACCTGGTGGTATGGTAGAAGTGCTTTTTTCAGACTTTTTGGAAAGCACAGACAACAAATAAAGGTTTAATGATGTGATGTTTACCTGGTGGTAATTGGTAGAAGTGCTTTTTTCAGACTTTTTGGAAAGGACAGACAAATAAAGGTTGAATGATGTGATGTTTACCTGGTGGTATGGTAGAAGTGCTTTTTTCAGAGTTTTGGGAAAGGACAGACAAATAAAGGTTTAATGATGTGATGTTTACCTGGTGGTAATTGGTAGAAGTGCTTTTTTCAAACTTTTGGGAAAGCACAGACAACAAATAAAGGTTGAATGATGTGATGTTTACCTGGTGGTAGAGGTGCATTCCTCTGAATCAACACAACTGCAACTTTAGTACTCCTTCCTGACAAACTATCTCTGAATACAGTAGAAATGATTCTGATTAAAGACTTTAATGTTTCATACAACGTTTACATTTAACAAGTCAATGTTTGGTATGATATGTGTTATGCTTGAATAGACTTTATTGGACAATTTTACTTCACTTCACTTAATGTCACCATATTTTTGTCACAATCATGTTTTACAAAAACTGTCATCTTGCTAACCAAAATAAAAATAAACATGACTTGATTCCTATTTTTTTCAGCTATCCAACTTATTTTTCTTAATTTTTATTTTGTAAAGATTTATACTTTCAACAGATTCCTAAAAATTGCAGCCTTACGTGTTACAATACTCTCTCATAGTCATATACAAGGTAGTCACATATAAGGTAGGCCAAATCCACCAAGTTTTCTGGCTAATAATCTATGACTTTATATTCAAAGTCAGCCACAATACCTTACAATCTTTACTTTACAAGCACACTCTACTTGTTTCTCTTTCCACATCTGTTCATCCCAGTCCAAATCAAAGAAGATCACAACAACTGCAGGGACGAGACTAAGGTGCTTCTTCAACCAATTGCTTTTCACTATACCCTTGGGGATGTACCACTCATAGGATGTCCTCTGTAGAGAAATACGAAGGCCATTCAATAAATATAAATACACATGTTCTTGCATGTATTTTCATGTTTCTTGAGAAATCAAGGAACTTTTTGTGCATGGGATATTATATACAAAGTTCGTTAACAAGAGCGCCAGTTTTTATTATAGTTGTTATGGAAACCCTCCATTTGGTACCTAACTTAATTTATCTTAATTATACAATCTATTAAAAACTTAATAAGTAAAAAATCTGTGTTTTCATGATGGATCATTCAAAATTAAATACATGTAACTAATTTACTTGTTCTGCATAAACATGACTTGAAGGAAAATAAATATTCCAATTTAACCATGTGCCTCCTTGAAACCCCTTAATAATGTTACCTCTTATTAAATAATGAATTTTGAGTGGTCTAAAATAAATGTAAATGTGCATGCATTATTAACTAGAGAGAATACAATATGTGAATATATACAACAATGACATGCAATTACAAACAACATGAAAGACCATTAGGCCAACTGGAATAGTTGTAAATGGTGTAATCACGGATTATTGTAAAAGACCTGGGTGCGGATCAATAACTTTAATATAAAATTGACTTTGGGCCTTATTCTGGACCAACTGGAATAGTTGTGAATGGTGTAATCATGGATTATTGTAAAAGACCTAGGTGCAGATCAATAACTTTAATTGACTTTGGGCCTTATTCTGGACCAACTGGAATAGTTGTAAATGGTGTAATCATGGATTATTGTAAAAGACCTGGCTGCGGATCAATAACTTTAATATAAAATTGACTTTGGGCCTTATTCTGGACCAACTGGAATAGTTGTGAATGGTGTAATCATGGATTATTGTAAAAGACCTGGGTGCAGATCAATAACTTTAATTGACTTTGGGCCTTATTCTGGACCAACTGGAATAGTTGTGAATGGTGTAATCACGGATTATTGTAAAAGACCTGGGTGCGGATCAATAACTTTAATATAAAATTGACTTTGAGCCTTATTCTGGACCAACTGGAATAGTTGTAAATGGTGTAATCATGGATTATTGTAAAAGACCTGGGTGCAGATCAATAACTTTAATTGACTTTGGGCCTTATTCTGGACCAACTGGAATAGTTGTGAATGGTGTAATCACGGATTATTGTAAAAGACCTGGGTGCGGATCAATAACTTTAATATAAAATTGACTTTGGGCCTTATTCTGGACCAACTGGAATAGTTGTAAATGGTGTAATCATGGATTATTGTAAAAGACCTGGGTGCAGATCAATAACTTTAATTGACTTTGGGCCTTATTCTGGACCAACTGGAATAGTGTAATCATGGAAACTTTAAGAGATCCACATATAAAAAAAGTGGTTAACCAGAATTGACTTATCATCCTGACAGACAAATTGATAGACAGCTTCTCTATATCCCTGCTTAAACTTCATTTGGTGGGATAAAATCGTTGCCCTCCAATATTCTGATGCAGATTTAGAAAAGGTCCTCCAAAAGATAAATGATCTAACCTAATTCAAAACAACATAATACAATAAAAAGCATTGCAAATATACAAAGGTGTGCACAATAGTAGGGATTACCGTTGAATTGGAAACAAAGTTAGTTAGCGCTCGCATGCCTAAAGAGACAACTGTCTCCTCTTCTCCCTCCACCTTCTAGCAGCAAAGTAACACAATAAGCATCAGCATAATGGTAAAACTCTCATATATGTTGAAATACAGGGTGTTCATCAGATTTTTAGAGATTTTTATAAGGTGGATTTCATAAAAATGGATGGGGATTTAAAATTTTTAAACCATAACTTTCGCATCTAAGATGGCGGATGGTAATAGTTGATTTCGACGAATTCAACTACTTTATGGTTGACGTTAAATGCTTTGATATTTGAACCAAATTAGGCTTATATGACATGGAAACTTTGGAGTATAAGTTGTTCATGTACTGTGCATGGGCGCCACAGTTCAACAATATCTTCCACTACTTAACGGAAGGTAACTGATATTGTTCAAATATCAAAGCAAAAGCTTAAACGTAGTTTAATTTCGGTGAAAACTAAAAATATAAAAATCGACACTTACCATTTACATTGGCCATCTTTGATGCGAAGCTTATGGCTGTTGCCTTCGCTTGATACTGACCAGTGAATTTGGGCATGGCTCCATTTAGCTATTTGAGTTGATCGATATTCGCAAATTAGAGCTATGTGCTCAGAGTATTTTAATCTAAAAGCTTAGAGCGAAGAGAACCCTGCTATGAGAAAACCCAAATAAGTTGCAATCTCAATCAAAAATGAAACACAATGAAAAACAAGGCATCAACATGCAAAATGTCACCACCTGCCATTTGTTACATTTGCTACAGATACCGAACCCAAAACACCAATCGCTGTCTACCGCCTCAAAAAAGTTGGAGACTATAACAGTATTTCGCCACTTGTGGTGGTAACATAAAAACAAACTTGACACATTACATGTATATTATACAACCAATAAAAGTCATCAAATACAGGGAAATTCTGCATAAATAAATAATCGATGTTGGAAGATGAAGGTATATAGCAAGAATAAGTAGTAAAGTTAGTTTGAACATATCTGAAATACAAAATCTGATTCACATATTTTACCTTTGATCTGCACTTTGGATATTCATGATCCGCAGCTAGAACTTTGAAATTAAGCGGGACCCTATCTGGCCTTCTGTTGTTACAGAACGAGTCCCATATAGTCTTATGTATAGCATTATAAGTGACATCTAGTCCAGTTAGAACCACAAGGCCCATTGGACGACACAGGAGTTCTTCTGGTAGGTCACTAGCCCAAGACATCTGAAACAAATAATCTATTTCACTAAATTTTTGTTAATTCTACAAACATTTCTATATAAAACTCATCTCTCAAAAACAGTCTTCAAAGAATTAAGAATACTTTTGGTAGAGTTGAGTGTCATAAAGAGACTCTGTACTATAGGATAGCAAAATCAAGACCCCTCTAGACCTTTTGGCATATTGAGTTTCACCACATATTCACTCATCTACTTACCAACGAAGAAGTCCCAAATCCCCCGCTTTCAGTGTTAATTTTGCGATTGTGCTGACTTATCCTGTGCCAAGACTATAGTCCTGGCACGGGATAAGTGCTGACCGATCTAATTATTTTTCTATTATTAGAAAATTCGCCTAGTCAGTAGGCAGATTCTCGTAATTGGATCCAAATGCAGTAAGAAACTCAGTCATTTTATTGAGAATAGTTTCTTCTCACCCTCTGTTCAAGTGACGTCAGAGTTCCAAGAATTTGCCAGAATTCCATGAATGAACGGGAACTATAGTTAAATTTTTGAAGGGGTGATAAATATCCAAAATTAAACATAAACATATTCAAATGTGAACAAACAATTTTAAACACTTGTAATTTCACACAATGTAATAAATGTTACTCACTTTGAGAGCCATGTTAGATTTTGAAACTTATGGCTCTCAAACGGGAAAGTGAACAGCTGATCAATAGTGACCTTTGAAATCGAATTAAGATGATCAGCGGCTTACTTTTGGTCTCTAACTGTGTCTTACATCAGTATCATCAATCCTTGTAAGTATTGGAGCGCTGGAGTGCTTCTTTTTCGATCAAGACTTGTAAATTGTTCATCGAGTGAACGTTTTTTAGACCTATTTCCAATATGGCGGTTCGCTAGGAGCGAGATACGCAACGAACGAAATTAATTTTGAGAATTAGTTAGGTTCGGACAACCTCCGGAGATTTACGAAAATGTCCGAGCAGAAAACGCCATATTGGAATTTGGCAGTAAAACGATTCACTTGACTAACAATTACAAGTCTTGATCGAAAAAGAAGTACTCCAGCGCTCCAATACTTACAAGGATTGATGATACTGATGTAAGACACAGTTAGAGACCAAAAGTAAGCCGCTGATCGACTTAAGGTCCAGCTGGAAAGTAACATTTTGGTAAAAAATTGATATACCTGCACATGTTATTTTCTGGTACAAAATTAAGTATGAAGGCATGTGTGTATTCCGTTGCTTTTTTCAGGAAAGTATCATTACATTGTCTACTTTTAGTAAACCTAGAAACAGGTCAATGGTAGCTCCCGTGTTGTCTGGAAACTTTGAGAGAAAATTTGGAAAAATAGAAAGTGTGAAATATCTGAATTTCCTGGAGTTCCCATTGAACTCTTACCAGATATTCTAAAAGAAGACAATGTAATGATACTTTCCTGAAAAAAGCAAGGAAATTGGCACATGCCTTCATACTTTATTGTGTACCAGAAAATAGCTTTCGCAGGAAGTAAAATAAATGTAATTTACAATCTCAAGTATGATGGTCAAGTTTACAAACTATAATGACTTGTCATGTCATGAGATTTTTTAGAATCATCCACCATTTTGAGATTTAGAGGATTAATCAGAAGAAAATGTAATTGGACATTATTCTACTCACAGGGTTTTCATTAGCAGCAGGCAAGAGGCAATTTTCACCTGTTGTTTTCACAAAATCGCCTGTTGTTTTCAGGGATTTTTCAACTTTTCCATGTTAAATTTATGATACCATAAATTTTTCCTGTTATTTTCTTTTATTTAGCCTGTTGTGAGAAATTCTAGTGAAACCCCTGACTCAGGTCTCTGACGAAAGGAAGGGGGTGTAGATAAGTCATATAGATCTACCAAATTAATTATATATGGGCGAAAAACTTAAGAATGAGAAAATAAATGGATTTTTCGACTAGACTATCGGACAGCATCTGAAAAATTTTAATTTCCTGTCTAGGTTGAAAAAATCCTAATTTCATGCACTGTACTTGGGACTGGGGTTACTGAACACAGCTGGCTCAAAAGCGACTTCTGTCAGCTCGGTAGAGTACTCAGTAAGACTCACTGGGGTTAAAAATTTTACTAAAAATAGAAATCTACAGTATTTAGCACAAGTTATTGGCATTGTTTCTTTATCTTACTTACCGCGATGAAATATTTTACGTCCTAAATGTACTCGACCAGAGCATTCCACGCTGCATACATTGATCACACAATGTTTAATGGGTGTATTTTACAAAAACCCTGGCGAATATTAGGAGGATTTTTTTGGGCAATTTACTTGTTTCTAGATTTGAAGAGCTCTAGCATCACTGAACGAAACACTTTGTGATTTAACCCTATTGTAAAATTCCCGGGGTTTTGACAGTATCCATGATACAAAAACCTAATGATAAGAAGTACTCTCTTCATATGACAAATAAATAAAAAGTTTTGATTGTGATGTTTATCAATAACCTTTTAAGTCTGAGGGTTTATATTTCCTTGAACAGACTTTTTTCAAAATCCATTAGGTTTAAAGGATGTATATAACTATCTAGGCCTTAGAAAACGTCTGAGAAAACGCTAAAAAACGACTTTTTGGGGATACCATCAATTTGATTCCTTTTCATTAACTAAATGTAATAAATGAAAAGTGAATGTGTTTGGCTGTTGTCAGGAATCCCTAAAACAAATGTCACAATAAATGTCTCCATATCATCCAACATATATTGATGACGTAATACTCGTAGCCCGCTCTTGTGGAAATCCAATGTTATGTGACGTCATTTCCGTAAAACAACTCTATATTTAGAGAAACCTACCAGCTCTTAGTGGATTCCCGAAATTGTTTTACATTGATATACAAAATGAACCCTAACTAGGGCATAATAAACATTCTATCATATTGCAATCGATTCGTCATATAATATCTATATTTGATAATAAATTTGCATAATGCTTTCAAGAATAAGCCAAAAAACTGCAATGTTATTGTTATTGAATTAAGGTGGGCCCCTCATATAACTCTTAGCAGTCTAAACTAAATCCCAGTATTTGCTGCCAGCTGGTCTGAGCAAAAAGGACAATTTGACTATGGTAACCATTAAATTTTAATAGGCTACAAAACAATATATTTTTGATCTGGTCATCAAGTGTTTGGTATGTATTATCAACACATCGCATATTTTTTTTCTAAACGAACTTTAGCATAACCCCAAGTACCTAAAGCAGGGGCGGATCTGGGAAAGCAACAAGGGCGGGGCCCAAATTTCAGGTCAGAGAAAAAAGCTTTGGGCCCCTAAAACCAAAAATGGGCCTAAATTTTGAGGCCCATTTTCTTCAAAATTTGGCCTGAAATTAAAAAATAAGGCCTTTCAAGGCCCAGTAATGACCAGAAGGCCCCCAGCTCCCCCCCCCCCCCCAGTGTAAAGTGCTAGTTATCTCGTCGGCAGGCCCCAGGGAATGTCTGAGGTCAGGTATGAAGCAAATAACCCATTCTTGTAATAATAGATGGCAGAATAAAAACTTTATTTATAGAACCCACTGTATGCCAGCAGTGAACAAACTCACATTTTGTTGATGGCAATCAAATACTATTCATATAACATTATAAGGCTATACAATGAAGCAAATTTTTGACATAAATGTAATTCTCTTTCTCAGTGTTTATTTTCAACTTCATATTGTTTGGATAACATTATTATGATCAGCTGACGGTATATTAACTTGCACTGGGGAAGCATTGGCTTCATTTCTTTCAAGTATGGTTATGTTTGACCATTATCATGGCAAATGTGTTTAAATGCTTTCTCACTTTCCAGCAAGGTCTTAAAACAAGAGCTTCAATGTGTTTTAAGTTTCATTTTATCTATAGTGTGTCATCAATCATGATAAACCATGACATCTCAAATCTTCTCAGCCCCGAGATGCCATGATATAATGAGCTTGATTTGGTGATCCAGGAGCCCAAAATTGAGGATTTTTGAGATCTTTCATCCCAGCTCATATTTCATCTTATTGGGGTTATAAAACTTGTGTAACTGTGCCTGTTTCAGGTGAAACAGAAACTTGATGCTATGAGTATCAGAATGATAGTGTGTATATGGAAAGTTTCATACTTTGGACACTTTTTCTCCTATTGTAAAGTGCATGTCATTTTCTTTCTAAAAAGATGAAATAGCAAAACTTTATGCAGCACAAGTAATATGTACTTCTTTAAATAATGTACCACTTCAAATGGGACCAGATTGATCTACTCCTCCAATTTTTTGTCACCAAAAACAAGACTATTTTCTCTGAGTCTAAAACACATCATCAAACAACAAAAAATGTTATTTTAATTTTTTTCTTCTTTATTTCATGTTAGAAATAATATTTTTTAGTTAATATAAAGTGTGTTCAAAACATAGAATACTAATTTAATACATTTCAAACTAGTTAACAGTAACTTCACAGAAAAGCAATTCCCAACAAACATTCAGGATTATAATTTAAGATTTAAACAATTAGTCTTAATATTTTGTACTGATTATAAATTTAGGTTCCGACAATATAATGTACTGATTATATAAGGCAAAGTGTAAGATATCTCACATTACAAAAATGATAGTTACCTGACATAGAGAATTCAGGAAATACAAGTATTCTGGCCAGAAAAATATCTTTAATTCTTGACTATTTCTCCAACCCCTTAATTAAATAGTAAGATCATTAAATGAGAAAAATTGCAATCCCATTGCTTTAATTGATACAGAAAGTACATCTTGCAATAACAATTTCACTTGTTTCGTCCCTTCAAAATTATGAGCAAAACTGCACACCCACCATAATTAACATATAGTTTAGATGGACAAACTGATGTACAAACAGACCTAAGAGGATGGCATATCCTTTGAGAGTGTTTGTTAATATGGGATTGCTGCATGATAAGCTCAGTTAAGAATGTCAAAATATCCCTAACAAATATGTTTGTTGGGATAATAATACCTTATAATAACAATACAACAATAAATACACAATACCTTACAAAAACTGTCTGTACTCAACAAACATCACAAACAATTCACATACTTCTAAGTGTTAGGAAAATACTATTGCTTACTAAAAGAGATCCTACATTCACCATCTGTTAATAACGATACAGTAAAACCATTATGGTTCAATTATATGTAATACTTTACATCATGATTTACAAAAAAATCAAGGCATCTTATATTATGTATATAATATATATATATATATTAAGCTTGTCGAGGAATGATGATTCTGAAACAAATTTCTTCATAAGTTCATGGCTCTTGTCTTTATTCTCACTTAGATTAAGGTAGGTCCAGTAGACTTTTTACACTCATACATGTGCTTGTAAACTAATGTCATGAACACATAGGTAGGCAATGTAATTCCCACAATATTTAGCTTATGAGCAACCTATCACAGGTTCACATACTACTACCATATATCATTCAATAAAATGGGTGTTAACTGGTAACTTAAAAATAATGAATCAGTGATTATCAATCATGCAGTGTATTAGATATATACACCATTATTAGTGACATACTGTATCATTAACTTAAGTTGAGCCTTTAAAATCTTTATCAAACTAGGGGTCATTAACTGAAAAGTTAATAGCACAATGGACTTAAAGAAATCTCAACATCACAAAGTTTTCCTTAATTGCTCCCTGCTTGGTTGAGCTGTAAAATACTATTTTATAAGCGCACATAATTAATAGTTAAGACATACAATATACTTTTTCTTACACCGATTCATTACATAATTTGAAAACAAATCGAGCGTAGTAGGTTAATAATTTTCATTTCCACCAATTCATCTAATAATACATATTATTACCACCTTGCCGGGCCTGTTCTAGGGGTATTAGTGCTAGTTTAGAAGGCTTTTATTTTACTATATTGACTGAGCAAATTGTGACGGCATAGTGGCGGGCCAATAATGATATTATCAGCCCAGCAATGTTTCCCGGGAAATGAGATATCGTTCAGTCAGTGCATATAATTTTCATTCAGTGGTAGTCCGTTCTCGCTATTTCAGCCCTGGGCATAAACGGTGGTAATAATACTAATAACGTCATTTATGCGGGAAAAATAGTGAAATATTGGACTTTGGGGATTCGGGCATTGGTCCAATATTTCACTATATTGCCCTTTGAAATGATGTTATTGTACTATGAATATAAATATTGAACACTAAAAATATTCCTCGTACATATCATTTGTACATCTGACACTAAATTTATTTTTGACTTGTAGTTAATTACAATTTATTGAATCTTATCAGTTTCATACAAAATACTCAAAGCCAGGAGATTTTGTAGATAGGGGATCTTAAAGCACATGAGTACTATTCACCAAATTGATGTGAAAATATTAACATTACATACACTACTAGATCAATCCATCTGTAACACCATACTACACTTACAAAAACCACCTGGAATCATAGACAAACATATATATACAATATATGTGTTCACCGGTAAATAACATTCTGCCCCGTTTTAGTGTCAAAATCACAATATGGCTAATTTTCCAGAGCAGAAAAAATTGTTGAATCGTCAAAGTTTCTGCAACATCTCCTTTAACAAAACGTCCATGTCCATATCTCCAGTAATGTGCTTACAAAACAGGTTTTCAAGCATCTTTCCATTGATCCCATATAACAATGGTAAACACATGAGGATTTTAGAGTATCTCATTTTGTCATTGTGCTGTTGGAATGTTGCTGAGATGTGCTGCTGTAGACGGGTTTGAGCACACCCACCCAAAGTCTCCACCAACTTGGGCTCCTCTAGACCAGAGGCACCTGAAAGTACACATAAATAATACATTAGATTTGTGGAATATTTCTTTTTTTGGATGCAGGGTTATTCATTTCGAATGCATATTTATAAATTGTATCACAGTAGGGAATTCAGTATTGAAGAGAAGTAATGTACTTTCATACTCGTGTAGATGACAATTCACAAATTAATTGTTTTGAATATCTTGTCTTATTGATTAACATATAATTATTGCTTATATAACAAGGCATCGACATGGAAAAGTGTAACAATTGTTACAGATGCCAATGTCAATCACAAAAACAGTGATTATAACAATATGTGACCACTTTGTGGTGATGACATAAAATTGAGGGGGTAGTGACTTAAAACACTAATCAAATTAATATAAATTTCATTTTCTATAATTTTGTTCAAGAAGTTTTAAATAAAATATCTAACTCATAGAAACAGACTCTTTATTTCATGGAACAGTCAAATTTACTGAAAAACAACAAAAACAATTAATAATTATTCCACCCACACATCCAAAGATACCAGTTGACGCCCACTGGTTTTTATAAACAACCTTTAATTCTGAAAACTGGATGAAAAGGTTAACGTCCATTCAGAGAAAAAACATGTTTACTATAGGCTCTTCGTTGAAAATGCAATGGCAACAACCTTCAGTAACATCTAGTTAATAGTGACGTAGATTTCCCCTGCTGTCTGTTTAACCTCTAAACTGAAATGAAAGCCTTAAATATTCCTCTTGCATGTAATAAACTTTGTAGCTTTTAACACTGAATAAACATCTGAATATAAAACTTCTCTCTTTAACCTACTTTTAAAGTAATTATACTTGACATTCCATCCACATAAAAAAGCAATTAACTCCACTATATTTGTATATTGTTTGACTGATGCAATATATACCAATCTAAAAAATCCCATTAAATATCCAATTAAGAATTATGAGTAATGTATGCGTTCAATTAATCTACTAAAAATTCAATCAAATAAGTAGGCAACAACTAGTACAGGACATATACCTCCATCCTTCACATCCTTCACTAGTTTATTCTGCTGCTACTGAAAAAGTGAAATGTCCTTGGACCAAGCAAATTACAAGTACAAATTGTCAAGGTGCTTTAAATTGAAGAGCTTTTTAAGTCTGAGTTTGCAGATTTTTTGCAATTTTTACAAAAATGCCTGAAAGCAGGCAGAGGTTGAAATTATTGAATAAAATGTTACTAAACATACACTAGTTTATTTAATGATGTCCGTTAAAACTCCACTGTACTACGTAACCACTAATATCACTAATCAGATATTTGTGGTAAATATGAGGCCTAAAATATTAACCAGCATGCCCTGCTAAGGACACGTGCAGAAGACTGCCTTCTCTTAAAGTGCACCTCTCCTTTATCTCTAGTTTAATGGCTATCAATAATAACTGAGACTTACGAAACATAGAAGGTTGTACATTCGATTAGTACTTGCAAAGGCACGTGCTGGACTTCAAGAAATGTTAAGATAGATCAATAAAAATAGCATGATGTAACTGCACAAGTCAATATTCACATGTTTTCGGTCGATACAATGTGCACTGAATTCTTCGTAAAAATCTATTATTAGTCTTTATGTCTATTTTTCTATTATATCGCATCAGTAAGAGTGTTAAGTATAAATAAGTCAAGAATATAAGTGTATTGTTACCCACACATGCTTGCCCAAAAAATCTCATTTATCTCAAAAGGTATTGGGAGTACAAAATGTAAAAAATGATGAAAAGAACTTGAAGACCTTTTGTGTAACAATCTTTTTGATATAATGAAAAATAAAATAAAATTATTGCAAAGCCAGTCAGGATACAAACAAATGGCACTGACAATGATTAAGGAAGTATTAAGGAGCTTAAGGTGACCTAACTTCAAGGTTGCCATGATCAATCTAGGCTAGCCTGGCGTGTGTTTAGCCTACAATTTTACAGGGAGCATCACATATGCAATAACCAATGAATTAACATAAAAAACATTGCCTTGATCTTATAGGTGGATAATATTAGCACATTCTCTGATTGGACAGTTAATCTTCTACTGATACCATTCAAGGCCATAGACACTACATTTACAATTCTAATGCAGTTTGCAGAACTGAGTCAAGGCTTTTTTGTAATAATGAATCTAGAGAGAACAAACATGTGCAAATTTAAGGATGGATTAAATCATTCATTATTTCATAAATTCCCAGTAAACCATTTATTGTTAACAGAAACATAATTCTGTAACATAACGAGCAAAGTGCTCAGATTTTGCTAATATAAATTTGATACTTTTGAAAACTTGGTAAATTTACTTTATATTGATTATGACTTTGATGAATTATACCCAATAATGGCATTTAATGTCTTTTTGTGGCACTTTGGTATATAATTAGCCACATATTAGAAAAAACTTACCAAACTAAAAAAAATCATTATTTTCAAAGAGCAATAATAAAAAACAAGACACAGAGTGAACAGTATAGCGTAACATGGTTTTTGGGACAAAAAGTCTTTACATTCACCCAAAATGACCAAAAATGAAGCAGTTCTAAACATTATACCAAGGTACAACCCTAAATTTCAGATTAATCTACCAGACGATTGTGCTTAAAACCTGTAAAAAAGACTACCAAAATGGCCAAAAATGGCTACCTTAGTACTAACATTTATTCAGGAAGCCTAAAAACTAGCCAGTCGAAGTCCTAGGTCTTCATACAAAAAACAACCCTAAAATATACAGACAGGTACTCTCACCCTTAGAAATAATTCCATACATCCAGTACCATTGGAAGCAAAGTTGAGCAAATGGAAAGGATATGATCAACTGGTATATGAAGGGTAAAGTGGGTTTTTCATATGATCAAGGCAAAGATTTAAGTGAGATCAAGATTTTCATTTGAAAGGCAAACATTTTCAAAATTATTTTTAGTGCTTTAAGGGTGATTGTTGTGAGGTACAACACCATTGGTGTGACAAAAAGCACCTCATGTCAAAAGTATTATCTTACCACCCTTATCAGTCTTACAAAACATGAAAATGAACAAATTAAACTTTAGAAATCCAGGATTAAACTTTTTGGTATACTTAATGAATCGGATGGAGATGTAAACAAATTTCTGGGAAACCCAACAAATGAATGAAAAATCCAACTAAAAATGTTCATGACTTTCAAAGTACTCTACAAAATTGAAGTAAAAATAAGAGAGGACCAGGTTTAGTATGGCAAGTGATTTTTGACAGTCATTCACCATGAGTACTTTCTGGCCATATACATATATACAGTACAGTGATTTTTATTAAAACAATGCGTTTTCTTTTGAGTGAAGTTTTTTTTTAATTATGAGCTTTCTAGTTGTTTGTCTAAATGAGTTCAATTATAGTAATGTACTTTAGTTTTAAAGGTTGAGAATTAGAACTTCTTAACCAAATATTAGCAAATGCTAATGATTTATCGATGCATATTTACTTGACTTCACCACCTGCACAGAATTTTTCTTTTTGAAGTGCCTCTACTCCTCTTTCTAATAATCACCCATGGGCCTATTAGCAAGAACATCTTTAAAACTGAATATTAAAACTTATTCATTTGAAAAGTGATACAAATACAGACCATGGTCCATAATTGGTATTTTCCCCAAAAATTGACCAATGAAGTTTTGTGATGTCTATACATTTATTGGTATCAGATTAATGGTTTATATAAAGGATTATTGGCACATGACCAAAAGTAAAGAGTACATACCCAGAAATAAACCAATATCATGTAATATGAGACCAATCAGAGCACATGTACCTAGATACTCACCTATTGGTCATATAATAATGTATGATTAGATAATATAACAGCTTCAAGGGTAGCATTTGGTCAAAACAACTCTGCCCTTGTGACAAACATGTGATTGCTACCCAGTTTATTGAACTCAAATATTAAGTACAAGTATATTTCCCCACCTGCACTAAGACACTTAAATTTTGGCCAGACCAAGGACATTAATGTGAAATGTTACTGACTTTACATCACAGTAATGGGTAGTCTAGTAGTAAGTGTTCAATATTTAAACCGAACACTATTCACTTTATCCTTTAAATAAGAAATCACCTCCTTCAAGGTAGACTTAAAATATATTAAGGCCTAGCCTTTTCCAGATTTACATCAAAAACTGTCAGTTATTATCCATAAAAAATGGTGGAAAATCAACACTCTATTTTGGCTCATATCATTCCTTGTCATGTCTTTTTCTAGAAACTAAAGATCTTTTAAAATAATGTTTTATTTTTCGATAATAATGGAATATCCTTTATATTATTTGGGAAAATTTAAATATTTTTCACCAATTTTTGAACTTTGAATCCTCTATAACTTCATCAATTTATAGCATGTCACGGACCTTTTAGTGGATATCGTATTTGAGATTGTAAGGAATAGATTGATAGGTCAATTGTACATTTCGCTTGCAAATTCATCACCTCCTATAGATCTGATTCTGCCCTCAATTAGAAAAAATAATACATGTACAAGAAACAAGGCATTAATATGTAAATAGTCATCACCTGCCATTTGTTACAAATGCAGAATGCCAACCACCATAAAAAAGTGCTGTTAGGTATACTTCACACAAAAGTAAGCGCTAAGAATTATGAGTTGAGGAAGTGGGAAAGGGAAGCAGATGCAAAAATATAAACGGTAGGGTATCTGTTCACATTTATATGCCATAATAGAGCAGGTATCTGTAAACTGAACAAAGCCCAGTTTCAGATATTTGTGATAAAAGATTCTGAAGTGATATTTACTTACCTTCATTAAATAAAGTCTTCTTACGGAGTAGGTTAAATTCTTCATTGTCTAAATTCATGTTGTAACACTTGCCAATGAAGGCCTGTATGGCTTCAGATGACCTCACTGTAGGAACCTCTGGAGCAGGGAGAAAATCTTCCCTTATACGCTCTCCGGAACTTTCTTGATGTTTAGGGGTCACCACAAAATGGAAATTGTTCTCTGCCATGAAAAGAAGCATTAACTTTTCCCAGCAATTTAGAATAAGTACAACTTTGTCATTGTGAGTCAAAGTGGAGAACTCTGGCACTGAAATGGCAAACTGGATGATTTTCACCAACCAGTCCGAGACACGAGCTCCAATAGGTAGCAAGTTCTTTTTGGCAAGTGTGACAGGTGAATTTGGGGACATTTGTTCATCAGGTGAGATCTTAGACTGAGATTCTTCACTCGTGGTTGACAGTCTCCTAACATTTAACCCTTTCCGACAGAGTAATACCCTCAATAAGGAATCATCATTTTTCAGTCCTATATCAGACATGACTTTGCGAGTAGATAAGTCCATAGGTTCCTCCTGAGAGTCCAGACTCTCTGGGGTTGATGAGATATTAGAATGGGTATCACTGGACATATCTTTGTGGTGACTAAAGCTACTCAGGGAGGACGTTGACAATGCAGGACTTTCTAACCTCCGCTGGTAGTCATCACTGATTGAAGGACTAGATCGTGTGTCTGGGCTCAAGCGCATCGGGGATGGGGTGTGACTGGGGGACCCTTTGAGCTCGATGATTCCTGGTGAGCAAATGTTATATGGAGGAAGAGGATTATCATTTATCTTTACTCTATTTGATAACTGCTGCTCTTGAGTAAGCTGAAGCATGTTGTATGTCCGTGGAGATGCCATATATTGAGGAGATCCAATGTTAGTTTGAGCTGTTTGTGGTGTTTTAGTGAATGTCCTTGGAACAACATAGGGAGTTGAAGCTAAAAGCGAGTGTGATATTCTTGAATTTGGTAGATGGAATTTGTCATATGGTTGCGGAGAATGCATGGCATTGACCTTTGCGTTATGATGTATCTGCTGATCATATAGTTTCAATTGTTGTCCATTTGCCATGTCGTACATAATTTCATTCATATTTTTTCGCTGTCGCGGGTATGGTCCAAAATGTGATTCCTCATTTTTGTTATATCCAGAATATTCATTGGATCGTCCTTGAAGAATATTAAACAATTTACTTGTATTGTTTTGCTGATGTGGTACCTCTGATGATTTGGTACATGATGAAGAGAATGAAGCACCAGGCTGCAATAGTGTCTGCAGAATAGGTGGCCCCTCGCTACAACCGCAATCGCAAGAATCTTGTTTTCCCTTGGTTGGTGCCAATTGTTGACGAATGTCTGCCGAATCCTTACATAAAAGTAACAAGGCCATGATACCTTGATACTTCACCTGGAATATAGTAATAAACTGTATCAATAAAGATCAGATGTAGAATTGCTTCCAAAATATTGAGTCTCAACTCTCGATCATATAATCCAGCTGAACTACTTTCTGAATAAATTAAAACATGTTATCAAAGCGCATTCGGATGCGCTGATTGGTTAACCAATAAAATTGCGGCGTCTCATGAGCGTTTGTGTTAATGTCTGAAGATTACATCAGTCTGCCGATTACAAGTTAGGCTATTGGCTCTGGGTGATGCATGCTCCCCTATGTCCCAGATAAATCCTCGCTATGTCACAAGGTTAACATTTCAAGGTTGGAATTTCTAGCAGGCAATAAATAAGTCAGTCAGTACTTTTGTAATGTAATGTCTGCAAAAAACGAACCTCCTTTTTTCGGATGTTTTAAATGGTAGCTGACATATATTCTGAGATATATCTTTCGATCCACATATTTCAAATGATAACCAACTAAATTGACAAAAATAGATATAAATAATCATAGCAATCAATGACATCAGTAATATCATTCACAATCCAAATTAATATTTTTGTAAGTCAACTACAACTTAAAATAAGCAATCAAAGGACCAAAGTGCCAAAGTGCCAAGGACCAAAGTTACATAGAAAAATATACCTTATACCTTAATTACATCACATGTTTAATATACTGATAGACTTACATCTAACTGCTTTACAGATTTACTGTTTTTCTGTTATAATTGTTTTGTCAAGATTTGCTTTCTACTACTGTAATTATACACACTATAATTGTAATCAAACTGTTGCTTTTTTCAGTTACTTAAGCATATATTCATTTAGAATTTCCTGAAAAAAATGTAATACAAATCGAAAAATACTTTTAAAACTTTTACCTTAGTGTCCTCAAAACTCAGTCTGCAGCAAAGTGTCAGTGTGGTTAAAACTTTATTAACTGCCAAACTGTTTTTTATATATAGTCTAATGTTGATCCTTCACTTACAGTTCAGAATTGTCTATCAATACCAACTAAGAATATAAATCAACATGTAGATAAAGTTAGTTTTTCAAGAAAAGTTACTTTCTGATAGTAGTTTAGTTATGTATGACCAGTCAATGTTCTCACAACCAATATTCTACTTGCACTGAGGCCCAGTAACATGTATATAACCATTACTTCAGTGCAAAACAAATGACTACTCTAAATAAAGCGTATTATTACTTTATTTAATCATACCGAAACTTTCTTCAATATATAATCAATATATAATGTGAAATTTAAATGAATATACCTTGATTATAGACAGACTAGAGAATAGTTTTAATATCAGGCAAAACTTATCAATTTCATTTTAGGTTTGAGGCTAGGCACATGCACAATCTTACCTTGAGTCCACATTTCAGGATGACGTATATGTCCTTGAAATGCCTGTGTGTATGGACTTGGGAGCATACCTTATTCAACTACCTCAGTATTGCAAGGACTAAAAACAGTTCTCTCTATTTATCATTTGTCCAAGTAAACATCTAATATCTATGATGATAGCTGAAGGTCATGATGCAGTATATTGCAGAATGCCAATGACCTCATTATGTAGATTATCATGTACTGTTGTAATAACAACTTATATTTCCCCTAAAATCATTACAGGGGACTTATCAATTATTACTAAGAATGATTTTTTTAATTTCTTACTTGCATAAATTCTAATTGTGTTGAAAATATAGGTGGTTGACAGAAACTATACTGAAAAAGGACATAGAGTACCATTTCAATGAGTATGAATTTATTTTTCCCAAATATGGTCATGAGTTCCAAATTTCTATGATTACGGTAAAATTTAAAATGTTTCGAACTACTTTGAATCTAAAAATAAGCAATTAAAGGACCATATTGAAACAGAATATGTAAAAATAGATACATTTATACATGATGAAATATGAAAAAATGGAAACATATGTACAAGTCCTAACTTTTGTATATTTTAGTTTGTTTTGTAGTTTAGCTATCATATCTGTGGCCTCTTATATTTTGATGCTTCTCAGCTATGTTATTTTCGAAAAAAATTAACGTGGCTGAAACTCCCTAAATTACAAAAGGCCACAGCTTTGCTGCACATTATTACCACCTTGCCGGGCCAGTTCTAGGGGTTTTAGTGCTAGTTTAGAAGGCGTTCATTTTACTATATCGACCTGAGAAATGTGTGATGTCATTGTTGTGGTCCATATGGACCGGTCTAGAATACATTCTGAACCGGCAATTTTTCCCCGGGAAATTAGATAGATATCGTTCAGTGCAGAAGATTTTCTTGCTATTTCAGCCCTGGTCGTTAACGGTGGTAATAATACAAATAACGTCATTTCTGCGAGCAATATAGTAAAATATTGGACCTTGGGCCTTCGGCCCTCGGTCCAATATTTCACTATATTGCCCTTACAAATGACGTTATTGTACTTTTATATATTACTATTTGAAATATACAAAAGTTAGGATTTGTACATATGTTTCCACTTTTTCATACACTGTACAGTTGCAATATAGTCATTTGATTGCTTATTTTTTAAATTCAAAGTAGTTCCAAACATTTAAAATTTTACTTATAAAATGACTTTTTTCCCAAATATGGTCAAGGAACCAAATCTCAATAAAAACAAGTTTTTCCCTAAGTACACTCATAGAGAAATGAGCATAAATAAGTATCGACAGGACTGAGGTTATGTAACAATTGAGTTGTGTACTATTAATATAGGTATATGAATGATTACTATTTCCACTGAGCATTGGTTATAGGCATATACTATGATTGTTATGTAACGCTTACAGTGAATATGTGGGAATATATGGCCCTCACTCTGTATATTTAATTTACAAGGTTAACAGGTTAATATGTATGGCTATTATTTGTAAATCCATTACAGAGGCCAATATAAAGGTCAGTTTAAATGCACGAAAACTATAAAGGTCACTGATCCATCCTTGGTCCACCGGTATTTCACTTCTTTCATAAATTTAAGCATAAATGAAGTCCTTTGAAGAAGGATGCACTGATCCAATTGGCTAAACCTTTAAAAACAACTTGAAACCAAAATTCATTGCGAAAAAATTGAAACTGATTTAAATCAAACCTCCGTTTATTAGAAAAAGGCAAATGTACTTTAAATTCATTAAAAAAAATTTTAACTTTCATTTGGATTTTCAAACTTATTGAATAAAATTATGAGGAAATGTTTTAAAGTAATTTATGGCAATCTCAGCTTTTATATAACCATGGTTGTTTACAAGGCGTGCTCACGCAAAGGAAGAATGGTACTGTTACAGAAAACGTTTTGAGTACAATCAAACAGGCTTCTATTGAAGTTCATTTACAAATATTAGTTAAGCTATAGATCCCAAATCTCGTTTTGTCCCATGGTTTCAAATACACTGTGTAAAAATAGCAATAAACCTGAAAGGTTTAACCTTCAACTGGCCTGCACTAAATGTACTAAATTCAAGACTTGTGTAATTTATTGAGTGGCCCTCTATAACTTCAACCTTGGATCTCATTACCATATTTGGACATAGTAATTGATTATTGAGCTGTGGTGATTATACAATACACTGAGTATTGCATTAGGTTCTATTGCCTTCCCTCTCTATAAGTGGCATGTCATAACACATGGGCATTCGATAAATTGGATAATAAATTAGATGCAAGTAGAAATTTTACAACATGTTGATCCCATCATACGTGATGGGTAAATCTAGATGTCAATTTTTCCTATTAAAAACAAATAGAAGATCTTGAAACTTCACCCATAAAATGTGAAATTGATTTGTCAAAATAAAAATCTCCCTTTTATAAATGTGTGACGATCTTTCCTAAACTATTATACTTCATATACAGGCAGAAGTGTTTACACAGTGACTTCAACCTGTAAACTCTTGAGTATTATTCTGGGATCGCGCCCTTTATACTAAACAGTGAGCAACATCAAAAACAAGCGTTTGATTTGCTCAACAATATGCATTACCCTGGAAATAGGCACATTTTTTGATAGCATTAGTTTTATGTGCAGTAAACCTATGGCCTAATGTAATTTAGGAGGGGGGGGTGTTTCAGCAATGATATTTTTTTTCGAAAAGAACATTTCAAAGAAGCGTCAAAATATAAAAGGCCACACATTTGTTAGCCAAACCAAAAGTAATCCAAAAATTCAAACTTGATATATAAAATATGAATGTATTTTCCTCTATGTGGTCATTTAACTGATTATTAATTCCTAGATTACATGTTCACTGGAACATTATAACATAAGTTATTCATTCATTAATAATAATACAATTCAAACCACATATTGTGCGAAAGTTGGCTTTAACAACATGACCAAGAATGTATTATCATGTTTCCATTGGTTATGTAACAGAAATCTGAATACGATTTTCTGCAGGTTTCACAATGACTATGCACTTTTGACATTTAATACTAGAGTCACGATATGTGAGTTCCAGGAAACAATATGACCAAGAATGTATTATCATGTTTCCATTGGTTATGTAACAGAAATCTGAATACCATTTTCTGCAGGTTTCACAATGACTATGCACTTTTGACATTTAAACTAGATTCATGATATGCGAGTTCCACGAAAATGATCAATATTCATATAAGTATAATACATATAATGGGATAAACCACATATGATAAACCTTCCATTACATTATAAAGGGTGAACCAATAAAGATATATACTTTTATATCTCCCAGTGCACTTGTGATGTAACCTTTCCATTCGTTTGACTTCACTTCTTAAAAGAGAGCTTCGTCTTCACTCAGTTTACAATAAATCTCTGATCTCACCGAGCCAATCAGAGTTCGCCGTCGAAATACGGACAACTTTCTATATGGTCATTTCGTCTGACATTACAGCATAGTTAATGAGCACGCATTTAGTATGTGTTCCTTCAACTTGTTGAGAAAGGGTCAGCGTGTTAGATTTGGAATGATTTATTACTCTGTCATAGGCACCAATCTTCGGGGCGGGCTGCTAAACTATAATATAATCTTTGCTAGGCAGAGGGTAGTTTATAACCAGACTGCACGCAGGGTACTTGTGATGGTGACATGAAAACATTTTTTTGGCTCATCTTGTATAAATAGTTTATTTATTGGAAGGGACTGTATATTGGTTTTATACATGAACTTATCACCCAAGGACAGAACCAAGGCAAATATTTTAACCCATATTAAAATTCTTACCAAGATTAGAAACATGGCTTAATAGAGTAAGTTGAAGCATTCACTTTTCATATAACATTACATAATATGGTTATCAATTTTCAAATTTTTATTTCTTGAAAATCACAATCTGCAGTTCAGGCCACCCTTGGCCCAAGAGTAATTCATTGCATTACATAAGCTGCTATGAAAGCAGTGAAGGACCGATCTTGAAGGATGATTCAGGCAGATTCTACATAGAGCCTACAGCAACAGGAAGTGAACTAAAACCGATGGATATGTGCACAACTCGCATCTTTTTGCGCTGGGCGCTTCTTTTACACAATACACAACTTTCTTTAAAGGTTTGACACATATTAGTAATTGACCAATTATAAAAGTTTTACACCATTTTTGAGGTAATAGAGTGAAAAATGAAAGAAGATCGATCTTTTCTGAAGGTCAAACAAATTATTTCAAATTGAACCAATCTTCTTTTTCAAAATCATTTACAAATAGTCTGGGGCCATGAATTCAAAAGATCTTGGTGAAAGATTTATCCAAATTACATTGGATATCAGATTTTAAGTACAGTTGGATTGAGATTAGGATTAGATTTATCCTTGAAGATTGTTTGGATTCACCAATGTTAGGATAAATTCCAGGGTTAATCCCTCAATGCATCATTACTATGGCAATATTTATCTGGATCAGATGTTGGAACAAAATAGCATGTACAACATGTTTTTAGACCTCTCAATATTATAGTTATACAAAGGAATTTTTGGTTGATTTTAAAAAAGTATTCAAATAATTAAAGCAAAATCCCCCCAAAATAGATAATGAAGGACCCACGGTCCTGTGCTCACACAGTTTGGAACCTTCAGAGGAATGTATATCCTGACTTTCAAACAAAAATATTGATTTGGATTTGTAGTCTCGAACTTTCAGAAGCTTAGATAGCACAGTTGTGTGACCTAGTTTGATGACCTTTGACCTTGAAAGTTTTACTTATTCAGAGCTCAGTAAGGTCTTTTGTGATTAAGCTGACCAAAATTTACATCCAAAAATCAATTTGAAAAATCAACTTTTTTGACCTTTCAAAAGTCACTGAAGGTCAACTAAAGGTCAAATCCTAAAACTAATGTCAGATTTGAACTCCTGGCAAATTGTAGATGATTTTGATCAAATTGAAGCAAGTTGAAAAATAACTTATTTTTACTGTTTTTTGACGTCAAATATCTCAAAAACGGTAAAAATTTGATGCTGACATATATTGAGCAATATGTAGGGAATGCTTAAATCTAGTAATGATGTAATTCATTACAAGAAATGATCAAGTATAAGGCAAACTTTGAGAAACTTGTCAATCACAAAACCTGCCATTGACTTTATACATGAGAAAGTTTCCTGAAAATGACGAAGTTCTACTTTTTGTCAAATTTTAAAGAGTAAACACCAAAAACTGTAATTCCAAGAGCTTAGAAATCTTCAGAGGACATAAGTTGCATATACAGCAACTACTAAAAGTTATTTGAAAGTTCTACTTAAACAAAGTGTCTAGTATTCACAGAAAATTTGACGTCAAAATCCGCAATTTCTCGGAAACCGGGAGAACTTGGGAAATGGCGATGATAGGTCAAATAGGCATTATGGACATGCATAAAATGAATGTGGATATGACTCAATCTGAATAGCAGTTTTAATTTGTGCGGCCAATGTTGATAGACGGACAAACCAACGGACAGACGGACAACGGATGGATGCCTGGTCGATCCCATAGGCTCACTGTGTGAGCCAAAAATCAAGATAAACCTTTTATTTCAGTAACAAGATACTTTTTAAAATCAACCAAAATTTCCTTTGTACAATTACAATATTGAGAGACCTATACATGTTGTGTTTATGTCGTTTTGTTCCAATGAGGTTCAGAAAGATGTTTCATTTCACTCTGGAAACATGATACCAAGAACAAACAAGTGTTTGATGTGTTTTCTAAAACAATATAGATGAAAGTATATATATATTTTTCAAATTATATTGTTACCAATTCAAAAGATGACCATTAAATTGATGATGTGTTAAATTTTTATGACTGATTTTTTATGACTGGTTTAAGAGAAACGTGTGTTCCTAAAGTTCTCCATATCGATACCACTCCTTTAAGATCAACAAAAATGCGTTTAACCCCCATGCCTAAATGACCTTGTACTTTACCAAAAAAGATGAATTGATACTTGAGCCATCCTCTAAAGGAGTGGACTTTTAGGCACAACTTGAATATTGCCCCAAGGTCAACAAATGATGGATTTTAAGTATTACTCTCAGGTACAAGGCAAACAATGTCATAAATCAGGTCCAGTCAATATTTAAAAGTACTTTATGAAGTGTTATTTAATGTTTGCACTGGTATGTTACTCAAGGTCTATATCAATGAGGTCACTGATAGTACCATACTGTACTGTGTGCTGAATCTAATCATATACATGTTTTTAATGTCCTTATACTAGTGCTTATCTTTTGGGTGGAGGCCAACATGCGGCTGGTCTCTGGTTTGAGTGTCCACCTCGATCCTTGTATGTCATACTCTTTTTGCCAGACTTTGTACTCAATTTTGGCCCCTTGGCTGCCTACAAGAACAAACAATATTCACTGTACATACAAGTTTTTAGTTAATCAGTTCAGTAGTATTGAAATGGCAATATCTTTATCTGAACTTCTGGATCACCTTGTGTACTTAAAATATCAAATTAATTTGTTAGTCAATTAATCATTAATTAATGACTTTGTAAAGTGTTAATATCAAATGATTTCCTTCCTGTCAAGGATGTAGATATAAAACATTCAATATGGGATGGTGAAACTATGTAACCTGTAATCTAAATGTACAGGGTGGTTCAAAAAAGTGAACCCCTGCAACAGGCTATATTTTCCTTAATACATGCATAAATTTGCTCATATTATCACATCTTTCAGAGAGAGGTCTAAAAAATTTTGTTGACATCATAATTTATTCCCAGTCTTGAATTTCGAAGAAATTACAAGACTTAAACAAACATGCCTAAAATTTGATTTTGTGCAAAATTTTACCGATGTGATTGACGGAAATAGTTGATACACATTAGTTGATCTTAAATAAAAAAGGTTTCAGTGAGAGATTATAAGTTTAAACCCTACCATATGACAAATGGGTCACTATTTGAGCAGAAAACACATTTCACACTTTTATTGACCATTTTGAAGCTGTTTTAACCATTCAACAGTTTAGAGGCATGTTACCTACACAAAAGGGTAGAGGGGGGCAAAGTTACCCCTTGTGACCCAAAATCTGAGAAGCCCTTCATATAAAATCTTACAAAAATCAAAAGGAAATCTAATATTCAGTGTTTTAAGCCATATTTCATTAGAATTGGTCCATGATTAATGAAGATATTGACATTTTAAGACCATATAGGGTTATGTTGCGATTTCACTGGAAGATGTTCTCCTCTTTGGAAACATTGAACATTTCTTTTGATCACAATAACTTTGCAACTAACCGAGGTAGGATGCTAATTTTTACATCATATTGTGTGGGATTCAAAACCAAACAAAGTCAGAAAACATGAGGTTTCTCAGACTCAGGCTTAAAAGATTTCCATGGGAAGATTGTTGAAGGGTTGAAGAATCACAGATATTGAAGTTCACATTTTACCCATTTTCAGTGATGTTTCGTTAGGGCTTATGATTTCTGCAAATTTCAATACTAAGAAAAATGTATAGTACCAACAAAAATTTTAGACCTTCCTCTAAAACATGTGAAATTATGAAAGGATTCCTGCAGGTAATAAGGGAAATATAGCCAGTTGCAAGGGTTCAGTTTTTTTGGACCACCCTGTATATTCATGACTGCAAAAGCTGGTGTTCTACCAAGCAAGAACAAAAATAGACAAGTTATTATTTTCAAAGTTGATACCATCCATCCCCCTAAAACAAAACTGTTGATAAATAGTAGTTTCCATATAGCTTTTGAAATCTCACTAAATCTCGTTTTTCATTGCTTTCATTTATATCGTGACCCAATAAGGTGTATACTAAAGATTAACCTTCCTGTTATCTCAAAATCCGTTTGGAACCCCACCATCGGATTAACATGGGAAATTCCTCCAAGAGAATATTCTAGGGATTAAAGAATTGGTGCAATTTACACAATTTGAGAGATTATTGGCACACATGAAACCTATTTAAAACAGCTTTTATATTATTCAAAAGCGTCGAGCATAATTATTCCCAGCCCACTGAAGTTTGAAAAAAATACCTGGGTGTTAATTTTTGGATTATATGGTGCAATCTTAAAGTCAATAAAACGTTTTAAAGTGTATTCCTGTTTTAAGATGAAAAACATAAGCGAAATGCATGAAAGAACTCCCCCAATTCATTCTACAAACAACTCACGCCCCTTTTTGGAAAATGTGTACAAAGTAGCTCATGAGTATCCTTAGCAAGGTATGACAAAAATCAGGTAAATGTTATGCGAGTACTCAGAAATTCAATATAGCATGTCAAAATATCCCATTCCGGATCAATGTAATGAGAATTTCATAGCGTTTGTGCCAAAAAATGGCAAGCAATTGACAAGTAATTTCTCAGCAATAGATGAGTCAAATTATTTGAAAATTTGACTTGAGGCACTTTAAGGTATCTTCATCTCTATTATATCACAACATCTTAGGGCTGAAAAGAATTGAGATGACATGGTTTATCATGATGCAGTGCTATAAATATGTAAGAGATTGGCCTCATATTATGTGTGTATTTTTGAATTGAAGACAGTATGTTAAAATAACCAATATCAATGTAAAAGTCACTTATTAATCCATTTCCAAGCAAAATACCTTTCCGTATTTATTCTTACAATATCACCTCCAATAAATTTTGAGAATGAATCGATTTTGGATATTTGTGAAGAATGATATACAAGGTATTAGCATGCAAAAAGTCACCACCTGTCATTTCTTATAGATCCTGGACATCAACTACATGATGCCAAACACTATTCACAAAAAAGATGCACAATCGATCACCAGTTTTGTAGGTGATATAATGAATATAAAAGTGTACAATATGAATTTTCTTCATTTTACTGAAATCTTTTCCTCAGTAATACCAACAAATATGACAAAAAAACATACATCAAATAAAAGGTCGTTCTAACTTGGTTGCTCTGAACTACACGTACATTGCATTATGCATTAATATACACCTAAAGCACTTAACAGGTACAAGTATCAATGAATCAGCAAAAATATGCAGTCTACCTGCATGAACTTTTGAAAATTGCTTCAAAAAGTACTTTACTTTTGACCTCCCAATGAATTGATATTAAGTCAAGTACCTTGGATTTGTTTATGTTTTACATGTAATTCTATATTTTTACCTTGAAGGTTGTGTAGGTCACCTTCTTAATACCGCAAAATAGTTCAAAGTTCAGTTCTACAAATTGTTAATCAAATGTTTATGAACTTGAGATCAATTCAAATAAAGCACAATCAAAGTTCAAGCAGACATCATAAACCATGTAAACACAGACATATTAACTATTAGTTCAAATAAAACCTCCCTTGAGTAGCAGAGCCTGCTGAACATAACATATTTTATCAAATAACTCAACTAGGCAGTAATATTGTATCCTCTTGACAAAATCTACACCCATGACATAACACTAGGAATTTCCTCTCAAGTAGAGGTCCTATACCAAAGGAAGGTATTAATCTTAAGACCAAATCCAAAAATGGCTTCTGAGTAATCATGAATTTTATTTCTCGACTGGTATTTGGGTTATCAAAGATTACATTTTTACTTATGGCTGCAATTTAAGCATTTAAATATTATCATGATAAACCTTTTTCACAGGTCCAGTGACCATGATTGATAACCACATCAATACTATAAGTTATTGAATGATTTGAAGTGCAATACAAGATATATTCTGCTCGAGAAATTCCATATTGGAACGAGACGTCCAGTTCCAAGTCCAGTTCCAATACAGAATATCGAGAGCAGCCTTACATGCAATGTTTTGGTGCTGGCTTTTAAGCTATATGACATTTACCTTAAATCTATCATCTGGCTGGTTTGGATTGTATTGCCTCTTATTGCCTTTTTTCTTCTGGTTTGATTTTTCCGCACCTTAAAAAAATGTTAGTCCACTAAATGTGTTTGTCAACGGAAGACCATTTTCATGTTGAATTTTCATATGGGTGTTTTATTTTTAACTTTTCTTGTATGTAAATCTTAAATTGTATTTGAAAGCAGACATAAAATGCTGAGAGTCGATTTGCTGCATGATATAAACCTATTTTTGAATAAAAATTCAACCCATATAGCTCTGTTATCTTTATAAAATGAATTTTGCCATAATTTACCTCAATTTTGTCTAAAATTCAGAATAAAGTTATCAAAACCATTGCCTGTTTTGGATGAGAAATTAAATAAAGATTTTTTAAGTAATTTCTATACAAGTCTTACCTTGGAACATACTATAATCACTGGCCTTATAGTTATATGGTTTGAAACCTTCTAGGTTATCTTTATGCATGGATGCATCATGTCGTGATTTCTTCGGATTATGTGTTGCTTGTGCACCTTCACCATCTTGCGCAGTTGGTGTTCTCTTTCGCTTTTTGTCTTTCTATAATTTGTACATAACATAGATCACAATTAGCATTTTTGACTTTTTATTTGAATGCAATTGCACTAGTTATGATTGAAAACTGCATATGGTTGAGAAAAACAACCTTTGCTTTAACATTGTAATTTGTGATTATTTGTAGAAGAAATGCCTATTTTCTGAATATTCAAAAACCAGATTCAAGGAAAACAGATTTCAAAATTGTTTATTTAATGATCCAAACAGAGTAACGAAGGTAATCAAACAACAGCTTTTTATATTTCAATTAAATCTCCAATAACTTTACTATTTGATATACATGTATTTACAATTTCATTGCAGGAATTATATTTTAAGCTCAGTGAAGTTATACGAACATTAGTATTATTTAAAATAAACTTTCATAAAGATATCATTTTCAATTCATTCATTTGGAATTAATAACATATATATTGGTTTGAAGTTCATGAATACTGCTCCCAATTTTGACAACTTCTATATATTCTGATTCTTTTTTTACTAGCTTTGTTTACCTGTAGACCAGTCCTAATTGCTTTCGGCATTTCTGTTGGTTTGTCATTATCAGCCGTGACATGACGCATAACTAGCTCTGAAGCATAACAATAATACAATATTACAATAATACAATATTACAATAATACAATAACACACTGCTACAACTGACATTAACTAGTTTATCAATTCCCCAAACCAAGGGATGCATACTTGTCAGAATCTAATTACACATATATTTTCATATCATAAGAAATATGATAGCAAACATTTTATTCTTCTGAGGGAAATATCGCATGAACATAGAATATTTGTTTCTTTGTATTATTGCTCAGCATTCCAATGATAACCAGAACAACGGCAACGCCAAAGCGTAGCGAATCCCATCGAACAGCCATGGATGGCATTTTTACAAACAAAGGATATAGCACAGCCATTTTTCAAAATGGCCGCCTTCCACCAAAAGTGTCATTAGACCATGTGCCATGCTTATAGTATTCACATACCAAATATGAGCAAAATCGCTCCACTACTTTTCAAGTTATAGTAAAAAACATTAAAATGGCGGCCATTTTTCAAAATGGCCACCTTCTACCAAAAGTGCCATTAGACAGTGTGCCGTGCTTATAGTATTCACATACCAAATATAAACAAAATCGTTCCACTATTTTTCGAGTTATAGTAAAATACGTTAAAATGGCGGCCATTTTGAAAAATGACCGCCTTCTACCAAAAGTGTCATCAGACAGTGTGCCATGCTTACAGTATTCACATACCAAATATGAACAAAATCGCTTCACTACTTTTCGAGTTATAGTAAAATACGTTAAAATGGCAGCCATTTTGAAAAATGGCGGCCATGGCGCCCATTTTTCAAAATGGCCACCTTCTACTAAAAGTGTCTTTAGACAGTGTGCAATGTTTATAGTATTCACATACCAAATATGAACAAAATCGCTCCACTACTTTTCGAGTTACAGCAAAAATCGTAAAATAACGAGTAAAGACCGCCATTTTTCAAGATGGCTGCCATGTGCTTCTTTAATATCTACATTTCTAGCTTTATTAATGTCCTATATAATTTTTTGACATATTGCTATTACAGTTTTACATATTGCACCTAAATTACTGTAAATTCGGCTCTAAAATGGCCGCCATTTTGAAATGAGCGGCCATTTTGAAAATCGGCTTTCGAGCAGAACTTCTACCCCCATAGGGTATATGTGTACAAAATATGAACAAAATCGGGCTGACGGTATTTGAGTTATTGCCCGGACAGACGGACGGACGGAAGTACGTACGGACGGACGGATGGACGGACGGAGGCGTTCCCTATATCCCTCCGAACTTCGTTCGATGGGATAAAAATTCATGAGTGGGCAATATGAGATGAGATAGCAAAATATAGTGTGGTATTCCTGATCACATGGTACTGTATTAGCCAATCAGAATGCTGGAATTCTAACATGGCAACACATATGTTTAAAGTTATTCGTGGCCAGGGTTCGTGAATAAAGATGACTTACTCGGTTCAGGGGTGTCTTTGGGTGCTATTTTAGGGGTGTGCTTCAGCAGCTTCCACAACTTATTTGTAGGGCCCTACAAAACATGGCATGTAAATTTCACTTAAGCCCTATTCACATTTGCTATTCAGTGGCGGTATAATCGATATAGAAAATCTACATCATGCTGCTAATCCCTATATTTTATGCTGCATATTTCTCTTGATTTTGGGAAGCTACAGCCACCGTTCAGTTCCTGTAGATCAAATGTGGATGAGGCATCAACCTCTTCAATACCTGCGTGGTAACATTTTTTCACAACAATGACTCTATTATTGAACAAATTTGTACAAATGAGATCATACAAATTAAAAAAATGCTCTGGTATTCAAGAGTGTAGTTACAGATATATCTAATCAAAAAATTGAAAGGTCTGGAGTTGTTGTCATGTTCACTAATAATTACATGAAAAAGAATTGTAATATGTAGCCAAGAATCCCGGCCAAGAACTAAGTTCAAATTTTCAGGGTTGTGTTCCTAATTGCTCCAAGACAATATACAATACACAACACACCCTCAATCCACACTGCATCATTTCATATTATACATGTAAGGAACTTAAAAATTCAACAGATGTGATTTTTACATAATATATATATAATAGTATATTAACCTGTAGTGGTTCAGTTGAGCTGAACTTGGCAGAGATTTGCTCAGGAGGTGGCACTCTTATAGGTCCTCTCAATTCTTTTGGGATGTACTGAAATATGATAAAGAATTTCAATTCTCTAAGTCTTCTGTTATTAATGCTTGAACTATTATTCCAAAATGACTATTGAAGGTTGAAACAAGTCCAATACAATGTATTCATATATGCATATGTAAATAAAATATTGGAAGGTGGGAAGACATGGCAACTAAAACATTACTAGAATAAACATCGCTTTTTTTCACTCTATGGGGAAATAACCTGGGACAATTTTATTTCCAGTTATTTCCAGTTGGTCACTGGTCATTGGACCAAGAAAAAGAGATCAAAAATATAAAAAAAATATTTACACAAATATAAAAAATATTTTCCGATTTCTAAAATAACAATTTCCAGGTGTTTTAAGAGAGCAAATTGTACCAAGTATAGTTGATGACTGTAAAAAAAGGAAAAATAGCCACCAATATATCTTGTTTTACAAATTTCCATTTTTTCAACTTTCAAGATCTCCCTTGAAATTCTCAAGTTCAACTTCCAGTCGTTTAACCAACTTTAGTTCAGTAAATCGGTCAATGTTCATTGTTCACCCTGTAAATTGACACCACTACCCTCAAGCGAATTGAAATAATCGTAATTGCTTTTCTTGGAATAATGTGTTTTTTATTATGTTTAGATGATGTTTAGATGATTCGAAAAACTAAGTGACCCGAGGGTCTTTGATAACAAATCAATATGCTGCATTAAAGATACCTTTTGAACTAACTGCACTAAACAAATTGTATAAACTAGAAAACAGCAACTCAATGGAGTAGTATATTCCATCAAACAAAGCATTTTAATATTATTTTGATCATTTCATGATAAAAGGGACCAGGTAGGTAGTAAGGCCACCTTTGGGCAAAATCTATTCCCATGATATGACACAATATTAGAAGTTCTTTCATAACTGGTTTTTGAGTTATCATGAATTAAATTTTGCCTGAAAAATAGTGGCCATTTTAAATTGAGCAGCCAATGTAGCCATATTAGAAATTCCTTCTCATGTAGAAGTATGATAGAGTTCTTGATGTACTTAATCAGCCTTTAAAATTTGAATCAAACCTGTCCACTATAGTACGTGAGTTATTGTCTGGACAGACGTATAAGGACAAATGCACAGAATAACAGATGAACAGACAGACAGCTCCTCTATATTCCTCCAGAACTACCTTCTTTGGGATAATAATAAGGTTAGGCTGAAACACATTTCTTATCAAACAATTCACACATGTTAATGTGAAGTAAATGTGTTAACAAAGTAACATGCGCTAAGTACACGGCAGATGTCAGGTACATATTAACCTACTTCAACCTATTGATTTGCATGTTAAACTGACAAAGATAAAAAATTTCAACCAACCAGAGAAGCACACATATTCAGACCATTAGTCCCACCCAAAATCCCGTTGAACAAAGCTAACACCATGAGAAACACCATCCAAACAAGGCACAGACGTGAACAATATCGTACCTAAAACACAGCAGTGTGACAGTGAAGAATTTAGGACGGAAAATCCAAAATGGCCACCTTAAAATTTACCCAGAATCCCCAAAAACTAATCAGTTCTTAACTTTGATATGTAGAAACATCCCTGTAAATTTCAAATGAATCCGTCAAATGGTTTGGCTGGAAACCTGTAGACAAGTCTTGAAAATGAAGATTTTAGGACGGAAAATCCAAAATGGCCACCTTAAATTTTACCCAGAATGCCAAAAAACTAATCAGTTCTTAACTTTGAGACGTAGAAACATCCCTGAAAATTTCAAATGAATCCGTCAAATGGTTTGGCTGGAAACCTGTAGACAAGTCTTGAAAGTGAAGATTTTAGGACGGAAAATCCAAAATGGCCACCTTAAAATTTACCCAGAATGCCCAAAAACTAATCAGTTCTTAACTTTGATACGTAGAAACATCCCTGAAAATTTCAGATGAATCCGTCAAATTGTTTGGCTGGAAACCTGTAGACAAGTCTTGAAAGTGAAGATTTTAGGACGGAAAATCCAAAATGGCCACCTTAAAATTTACCCAGAATGCCCAAAAACTAATCAGTTCTTAACTTTGATACGTAGAAACATCCCTGAAAATTTCAAATGAATCCGTCAAATGGTTTGGCTGGAAACCTGTAGACAAGTCTTGAAAGTGAAGATTTTAGGACGGAAAATCCAAAATGGCCACCTTAAAATTTACCCAGAATGCCCAAAAACTAATCAGTTGTTAACTTTGATATGTAGAAACATCCCTGAAAATTTCAGATGAATCCGTCAAATGGTTTGGCTGGAAACCTGTAGACAAGTCTTGAAAGTGAAGATTTTAGGACGGAAAATCCAAAATGGCCACCTTAAAATTACCCAGAATGCCCAAAAACTAATCAGTTCTTAACTTTGATACGTAGAAACATTCCTGAAAATTTCAGATGAATCTGTCAAATGGTTTGGCTGGAAACCTGTAGACAAGCTGAAAAGTGAGACGCCGCCCGCCCGCCCGCCCGCCAAGCTGACGACAATATCGTACCTTTATTAGGTACGATAAAAATGCAAAGGAAATAGTGCTACATTTCTAATGCGTGCTCAAATCTGGGCCAGAAATAGCAATATATAATATAAAGAAATTGATTTTTAAGTAAACCTGAAAATAATTCAATTTTTTGTGACAAATTTGTACTTTGTAGAGAGTTCTTGAAGCTTTAACTAGCTGCCAAATAGAAATAAACCGAGTGTCATTACCGGGGACCCACCAAAATATAGCCCACTAATTTTGGAATTACATGTACTTTAGTTAAGTGTGATTGAATCTTCTTGGGAGTTTTTATCTTTATTAGAACTCATTTCTGGATTGCTTTCAAACATGAAATCAGTAAGATAAATTATCAACCCATTTGATGGAATTACTAAACTTTGCCATTTTTGATGCTGTTAACATCACAGTTTAACATATTGAACACTCTTTTGACAAAGCAAGGCACAAAGGAAATAATGTCATAAAATAACCTCCTTCAAAATAACCTAGCAAATATGCCCATCTAATAGGGGTGAGACGAGTCGAAAAAATCCGGTTTGAGTCGAATCCGATTCGAGTCAGAAAATGACGATTCGAGTTTCGAATCCGTTTCGAGTCGCGCGAAGTGCGAACAACATCGCTTTTGACCGTTCATATTTTTAATGCGTCAATGGTGGAAAGCCGGAAATATAAACAAACACAATTCGTCGTAAGTTTATTCTGATTTTATTACATATATTCTTTCATTTATGTGTACATACAATATAATAATTTAATACAAGCATATCCAAGTCATTGAAACTTATATATTGAAAGCAATATCGAGTAAAAACATGCATATTGACAGTATTTTTCTGAATTTTTTTATTTTTTCGAATTTTTTTCTCAACTCGAAAATGATTCGATTCATCAACTTCGACTCGATTCGACTCGACTCGAAGCCCCAAACCCGCGAGTCCTTGACTCATCGGGTTGTCGTCTCACCCCTACCATCTAAGCTGTACTAGATATTCATAAACATCTCTGCCAATGAATCCGTCAAGCGGATGATTTGGAAAAACAGAGATATACATGACACAACAGCATGTCTACATAGCCTGGCAATAGCCTCTTTTTCAATGAATTCTAACAATTATGCCAAAAATAATAGGCTATATTTCTATTTTTGCAACACCCTGTACTCCTTCTGTGTGAAAACAACATATGCTAAAGTTATAATGTCTTGATATGAGAGAATTTTTAATTTTTGCAACCCATTGAACTACTGTAACAATGACATGACTCGGCTTTACAAGCTATCACTTCTTACATCAAATGCAGAATCACAACTGCTGTTCAACACTATCTGGAATGCATCATTAAAACATTGGCGAAAAAATATCTCGTGTTATTGGATCATCATCTTCTTGATGTGAACACTCTGAACTTCTTTGTAGGAATATCTAAGCACAAGTGCCAAAGGGAAATAAAAGGGTAGGGTGCTTCTGGTGTGTCTGAGCGTTAACAGCAGCTGCCTCTAGTCAGATCGACTAACAAAACAATCTTTTTTGGGGTTGTGGAGTTGGCCGAGAGGGCTTGAGCGCTAGCACGTTCAGGCTAGGCAATTGGACGCCGTAACCAAGAGATTGCGAGTTTGAGACGCATGTGCTCCTTGTGTTTATTCATTTAGCCAATCACAGCAGCATGAACTTTTAACTATTTCAGATGAACTGAACATTTATTTCCAGAGATGCTGGGTCACGTCTTTAATATGTACTTTATATTGTTTGAATTTGGGAAAGAATATACAAAAGAGACTGTCTGATGTTTTAGGAGAATTGTGACAATCCTCATTATTGTATGCATCAAAGATCAAAATCCTGGATGACAAATTAGCTTGTGTGTTGATTGGGGATAGAAATATTTGAAATCTTGCTTGTTCCACACGGCTTATTAGAAGGGTGTCCTTTTGAATGAGAAATACAGAGGAACTATGCTCCTTGCATCGTATCAAAAGTAATATTCTGATATTCAAACAGAGAGTAGATAAAACTTAACTGCCAATAATTCATAAAAGTACAAATCATACATGAGGGGTCCTGTCGGCATGGCCAGTGGCATAGAGTTGTATCTTAAAGTGTTTGAGCATATATGATCAGCTTCCAGAACTCAAACTACTTTAATTGATAAAATTTCCTGTATGAAGATATATTCCCTGTAAATGATACAATCTCTAAGACCAAATTCAGAATCTCTTATAAAGCAATCATTAAATAATTGAGGACTTTTGAACAACTCCCTAATAAGTATACAGAAATCTGAAATCGATAAATGCACTGGTCTGTTTGAACGACTAATTGGCTATTGATCAATACTAACATTGGGTGGCATTCTCAGAGGAGGTCGCAATATTAATGAAACCTACTTCCTAATCAATAACGTTATTGTCCCAAATCAAGAAGATTTGCAACAACATATCGATGCTTCTGATGAAAGCATATTCTCAGGATCGACAAATGATTACTGGCTCTCACATCCTCTTTCAAGTATACATGGTCTTTATGTTATAATAATAATAATGTGTTTCTAAGAAAAATCTTTTCCTTTTTGTTCCAAGTAAGTATTTCTCACCTTCATTGGTGATAAACAAAATACAATACACAAATAGTCCTATTGATTGTTCATTTTCATTGATATATGAACATAAAGACATTCAAGGTAAATGGGTTTGAATTGCATCATGGGGAGTTTACTTTTGATCATGACATTGAAAAAAGAAACAAGAACACAAATGTGTACAACATGTCCCCATCAATGGGTGATCCCATCAAATGGTTATCCTGAAAATATGTAGACAAGACACAATTTTAGGAGGGAAAATCCAAAATGTCCACCTTAAAATTTACCCAGAATGCCAAAAAGTACTCAGTTCTAGATTTTCATACTAAAAACCACCCCTGAAAATTTGAAATTGATCAGTTTAACAGTTAACCAGAAAATGTGTAAACAAGACTTTACAGACAAGATTTTAGGACGTAAAATCATCCCTGAAAATTTGAAATTTATCTACCAAATCGTTCACCTGGAAATGCGTAAACAAGACTTTACAGACAAGATTTTATGAAACAGTTCACCTGAAAACGCGTAGACAAGACATTACAGTCAAATTTTAGGATGGAAAATCCAAAATGACTGCCTTGACATTTACCCAGAATGCCAAAAAACTAATCAGATCTAGATTTTCATACTAAGAATCATCCCTGAAAATTAAGTAAAAATTTGAAACAAATCCGTTAAGTGGTTTTCCTGGAATGGCAATAACAAGATTTATCTAAAAACTTCCAAGATGACCAGCAGAATGCAAGATGGTCACTGAAAGTTAATCAGCTCTAGAACTTCTTACCATGTCATGGGCGTAGTACTATTTTTATGAGTAGTACGCCATCACAGGAACATGAAAATTTTGTAATTTGGATGTATTTGAAGCGAATTTGCAACTATCTGGTATGCCTGTGCATACTGGGTGTACTGGGTGCTACGTCCATGCATGTAACATGTGTGAAAATTTACTATAAAATCCATGAAGTGGTTTTCCTGGATGATGATGATGATGATGATAAGAGAAGTGAGATGCCATCCGCCTGTCCACCTACCAAGCTGATGACAATATCATACCTTTTTTTAGGTACGTTAAAAGTAGCATGAGGTTCTATGATAGTAACACAATGGGATACAATAGCAACACAAGGTGGCTAAGGCGCTACAAAAGTACAATAGTAACACAATGTGATGCAATAGTATCACAAGGGATATAACAATAGCACAAAGGGGTACAGTAGTAACTCAAAGGGGTACAAAAGCAACACAAGATGCTACGAGCTAACACAAAGGAATACAATAGCACAAGGGATAGAATCAGATTTCTATTTCAAGTTCATAAACCTGAACATTTTAAGTGAATCTGTAAGATGGTTTGCCTGTAGATATGATTTATAGCAAATATTTGACCAATGTTCATTGTCAAATACCTTAAATGCTTCATAATTTCAAACACTTAAACAATGATTAGAAAAAATCAATTATAGTTCAGAATATTGAACCATATATACACGTACTTCATAGAATCATAGTCTTTATCCCTTAACAGTAAAAACAAACCTACCATTTCAAAAGGGCTGGCAATGGATGCCCTAATGCAGTGGGCTCTTCTCTGGCCATCAGTAACTATGTCAACCTGAAAATACAATAAAAATATAAAAAAATTTAAAACAGAGGGTCAAAATATTTATACATACTAGCGTTAAATCACTCCCCTTCTCAATTTCCACTCTAACCCATATTTGGGAAATAGACAGGAAGGGGAGGGGGAAACTTGACAGAGCGGAGAGAGGAGGATAAAAAGATCATTAAGTTTCAATTTTATATCAATATGATAAGATGTTAGTTTCACACAATCAATAAAGCTCATTAAATCATGCAAACAATGAATAAAAATCCCTTTGATGTCAGACAGACCTAATACAGCTTAATTTTCAAGGGGACAAAACTGTTACTAAGGATACATTGATTCAATCACTATTATGACCCTTTACTATTTGTGTTGTCTTATAAAGAAAATATCAGTGTTATTTATTGCAGAACCTCTCAAGTCCTCTTACTGTTTGATAGGATGGGAATAAAGGATTTGATACAACCCAGGGGACAGTAGTACTTTGGTGGACTTAATACAGCCCTTATGTAAAGCCAGGGTCACCTTAATAACCATGCTTCAAACTGGTTCCTTTCTGTTCATACAGAGGAACACACACATAGAGTTTGCCATCACATAAATCTTCATCTTCATCTCCATTTACATTATAATTTACAAGAGGCTTTAAATAAGCCCATTTCCAGCAAATATATAATATATGAAAAGAATTAATATAAATAGACTACTTTTATTTAGAAAATTACAGTTAAAAATAGATTTATAGTAAACATGTCCTTTGACAGAGTTGGTTTGCATATTAAGTGCTCTACTCTTCATGTCTGTATTTACATTAAATCAACTGAATATGATATAAATCTAAACTGGTTAGGTTGATATGACATTTTAAAAGTACAATACTGAATGTAGGACAATTAATTGTAAAACCAAATTCATAAAACCAATATGTAAGGCAAAAAGTAGTGTGGAATGTGCTGTTTATATAGCGTTTTAAAATGGCTAATAATATAAAAAATTACAGCCACACTTCCAAGAAAAGATATAGAGTTCCTCTTGATTTGTCAATCTTTTAACTCAATGAACTGAAAAGTGGAAAAGTAAAAATTACTAAGAACAAGCTATTTTTAACTTTCAATGAGCTTTTCAATGAATTTTTTCGATATGTGGAAAGTAAAAAATTTAAATGATGAACACATGACTTGAAATTCTAACCTTCAGTTCATCTTATCAGTGCTCTTTTGGTGCCAAGGAGGCCTACATTGCTTAAAGGGACATTCCTTGCCAGACAATTTGCTCTTGTGATATTGTAGCTATAATCATATGTTCAGCAAAATATGGTCAATACTTTGTATTTAAAACAGTAGTGCTTATTTCCAGAAAGATGGCATCTTTTAAGATTTCATTCATGATATGATGTCATAGACTGTTATAACCTTGCCTTAAGTATAGGAAAGAAGAACAGAATCGAACTCTTAGGACAAGTGGTCCTTACTTTCAATAGGGAAATATTTTCAGGGCTTGTCAAATGAGAATAACATAACATAGATTTTAGAAGCATTGAATCAGACAAAATTGAAAAAGAATATTCAGCTCGTTTTGTGATTCTAAATAGCTCCTTACCTAATGCTATATGCAAAATTGAGGGTTGATGACATCACTTCCTTTGTGAAATCTTAAAAGATGACAGCATTACATTTTTAATTGATCAATATTGACCATATCAAAATATTTTTCTGTGTTTTGCTTAACATGGAAAGTACATACATATGGTTATAGCTTTTGATATTAAGACGACAGATGGTCTGGCAAGGAATATCCCTTTAACACATATTTTATCTATAACATAACCTTGAACATGTTCCACTTAACCATTTTTGGATTATTTCCAACTGCACTTGTCTTAGCACTTTGAGCCTTCAAGGTTACCCCTATCTGGCAGGTTTGCACTTACTGATTTATTTGCACTGGTTTAGCTTACAGGTGGCGCAACACAAACAGATCCAATGTGCCTATATCAAATAATGTTGCCTTAACATTTGTTAAAGTACACTCTTTATTTGTAGTCGCAAAAGCCTGCAATACAGATTTTCTTAGTCTGGTCATGTGAGATTACATGTTTATTTCCTCTGAAACCAGTTTCAAATAGGATCTGGTCCAAAACAAATGCTTTTTTCTTTTTGTAACACTAATTTCACAAAGGCCCAAACACCCACTACCCAGTTTATTAAACCAATGAATTACTAAGCAACTAAGTTAAATTATCAGGCCTGTAGCCAGAATTTGCCAAGGGGGGGGTTCAGTTTTATAATATTCCAGGGGGGTTCACTTTTGACAATGTTGGCCCAAAAATGGTCAAAATCACCAGAAAAGTGCTCATAAGGGTGAAAAACTGCATGATTTTGAAAGAATCTTCGGCCAGGGGGGGGGCAAACTCCCCTGGCTACGGGCCTGATTATCATCTCTCTGTATTTGGTCCTTTTTGACACATAAATGTTTGACACAGCACCTTAATCAAATTAGATAAATTAGATAAAAATGAACCCAGAGGATCATCATTTCAGTGGGAGAGTGATTACCAAAAAGCAATGTACTTTGTAGCCACTTAATATTTGCTATAGGGAGTGACATTTTTATTAGAACTGACGGGGAAAATTAGTCTTAATATTGATCGTAACTATAAAATTCATAACACTTCGTGAATTGATAAATCAACAAACAATAGGGAATACGCAGAACATGTTAGGTCGCAGAACATGTAAGGTCGAGTTAACTTCAATTGTCTTCATAATAACTGTGTCAATGTGTTAATTTTTCATACTGAAAATGTGAACTGTGTATGAACGTTGTACTGTCTATATTAAATGCACAATTAATATACAAATTGTATTATATTACTGTTAAGAACCATTAAAGAGTTTTTGCTATATGTAAATAGATAATGTATGACGCTTGACATGAGCAGAATTGACATATGCTACATTGAGGATGACTTTGCACTTTTTGTCTTTATTTCGCTTTATTTTGTTTATTACAAACTTGATTGTCAAAGTGGACAATAACGGTCGACAATAACTGCCATCTATGAAACAAGAAATGTTGTTAACACTCATGATAATGTTAAAAGTAACAGGCTAGTGTGCCCTCTTTAATAAAAGATATAAATTATTTAAAAGAACATTATAAAATAATTTAATGTAAAGCCTTGGAAATGATACAGATGTCTTGTCCCCTTGTAATGAGACTTGAATGTCTTCAATGATATCAAAAAATGAAAAAATTGTTAAAAAAGTACACTCTGTTTAGTTCAAGACCTAAACCTATATTTTATTTTATAACTACATTGTATGAAGATAATCATAACAGTGATATATATCACAATTCATCCAGTATGCCCAAAACCTAATCAGATCATGGTACCACTCTGCTCTTACATCTGTAAAAATTTCAAGCTGAACACACAGTTTTCCTGGAATCTCGATGACAAGATTTATGACACTCCAGGAACACGGGGTACCATCGAATAATTTTGGCAACGTACCGGAGAACGACATTTTACTAAGAAATGGCAATCATTTAGCACAATATATTTTTTAACTAGAGTTCTATTTTGATTTTGACAAAAGTAAGCATTCCATGCAATAACTATTTCATTCATGAGTTTGTAGGAATTCTGTTGGAACCCAGTTCTGATCAAGTACGAAGTTATTGAAATCGGCGCAGACGGACTTTACTCCGAAAGATGGTTTTTCGATTATAACTTTTCACAACATTTAAGTATAGACTTTTGAAAAAAGTACAGAATAGTCCTTATACTTTTGAATAATTCTGTTATTTCTGATTCACACGACTCTGATTTGTTTAATTAAAAGAAAAGTTTTAAAAATATTACTTAGGAACGTAACCGGAGCTGGGAACGTAACCGGAGCAGATCAGTTGAATTATTTAATCAAAAAATTAAAATATATGATTTAAAGCACATATACTAATTTAAAAACATACGGGATTGTTCGAATGCGTATTTATTAATATATATGCTTTAAATCATATATTTTATTTTTTTAAATTATATAATTCAACTGATCTGCTCCGGTTACGTTCCCAGCTCCGGTTACGTTCCTAAGTAATATTTTTAAAACTTTTTTTTTAATTAAACAAATCAGAGTCGTGTGAATCAGAAATAACAGAATTATTCAATAGTATAAGGACTATTCTGTACTTTTTTCAAAAGTCTATACTTAAATGTTGTAAAAAGTTATAATCGAAAAACCATCTTTCGGAGTAAAGTCCGACTGCGCCGATTTCAATAACTTCGTACTTGATCAGAACTGGGTTCCAACAGAATTCCTACAAACTCATGAATGAAATAGCCATTGCAAGAAATACTTACTTTTGTCAAAATCAAAGTAGAACTCTAGTTAAAAAATATATTGTGCTAAATTATTGCCATTTCTTAGTAAAATGTCGTTCTCCGGTACGTTGCCAAAATTATTCGATGGTACCCCGTGAGGAATGGCTCCAATTTTCAAACCAAGAAGCATTCCTGGGAAGCATTCCTGACAAATTTAAATCAATCCATCAAGCAGTTTGCTTGAAAATGGGCAAAGAAAAGTGAGATGTCACCACTAGCTAGTCACCACCCACAGAGCTAAAGGTGATAGTTTACCTTCGTTAAGTGTGACAAAAATTTACAAACCTTTGGTGTAGAGGAGAAAATAGAGATGGTTGGAGAGGCTTTCATTTGTATAGATGTCACTTCATCCTTGAACATGGAAGACCCCTTAGCCACAAGAGAGTCATCTGAAACATCAGAATGAATGTAACATTAAGTTCACAGACACTTCATTTACATTACTCTTACCTAGCTCTTGAGAGAACATACGCTGATCTTGTGTAACTTTGACGTCACAAAGTTGTTAAAAGTCACATTGGTGTTTTAGGTATGCTCTATGCTCTATGTTGAATTTTTTTAGTACGTGTATTATAAGCCTCAGATTATGTGTAGAAAGATTTGTCAAAATTAGCACCCATTTACTAAAATTATTTGAGCTTTTTCTCATAGGAAGACTTTTGATACAGAGGATATATTTGTATGTGGATCATAAGCTTCTCAAAAGAAAAATTGTGTGTACATGTTTGCCTTTACCTAGTGCATTGCATTGTTTATCCAAGGCTTCCCCATCATGAGATAAATCATGTGGACAATTCAGTAGACTATCAACTACTCCATGGTCCTGTAACCTTACAGGCTTCAAATAATCTGCTTTCGAGGTTTTCGGGGTGTCAGGTTTCTTGGTAACTTTTACTACTGAATCTCTGGAAACTTTCACGATTTCATGAAGCTCATTAAGGTTTTGTCGCACAAACGTTGGAATTGGGTTGCAACAGGCAAGGATGCCTTCGCGCTCTCTGGGTAGAAGTTCAGCTATCTGTAGTAACATGTGATTAGGTAGGATGTACCTGGAAATAGTTTTTATACATATTATGTTATTCAGTCACTATTCTACAACAGGGTATCACCATTTCATCATTATCTTATACCCATTTGAAACCATTACAAATACCTAATAACTATTGAACAGCTACAAATACTTGAATAGAGATTAACAAAACAAGCCTCTTACCCTGTGCTTTCGTCTTCAGATCTGGCCACCTTGTCTCTCCAAGCATACAAGTACTTCAATGCTAACTGTTGTCCTGTATTAAACACCTTGCGGCTCTTATAGTAGATCTCCAGGTACCTATCCTCTTTATAAACTGGTTTCTCATATTTCTAGAACAAAATGCCAATAATTCATTAAATGCCAATAATTCATTAAATGCCAATAATTCATTAACATCTTGCAATGTAAGGGAGGTGCTACTTTTCAGCCTCTAACTTTGAGCCTCTCATTGAGGTACATGTAGTCTGAAAAAGTTGAGTGAAAAAATCAATAAAAAAAAAATTCAAATAAATATTCAGATGACGAGAAATATTGGTCTTAGTCAGACTACAAGAATGCTGCAACTTGTATACATAAACATACTCTAGGGTTTTATAATACTATTGACCTGTACTATAATTTTAAAATAGAGCTCTCCAAGAGAAATATTATTATGTAATGCATCAGGTAACATGTATATAAAGAAAATTTTAAATTGTGTAATCTTTTTAAAATATCTGAAATAAAAAAGATTTTTAAATATAAGTAAAATTTGCCAAGGTCTTTCATGGCAATGTAGGGTGTTTTAATTGAAGTATTTGCATTCTATCAGAGTGAATACAGTATAAAGATTTATAGCAGTTTAAAACCAAAAAAACATGTGAGCTAATAACATGATAACGTACCTTCAAACATAGCTGTCGGCTTCGTTCAAACACTGACTTTAATAAGTTTTTCTGAGAATTTCCTTTCTCCAGTAGTTCACATCTCATCAGGTCATATATTTGAAGAAGATAATGTGTGTCTTCTCTTGCATATTTTATCAACTCTTCTGGTAGTGGCCTAAAGAAAATATACCCAATGAGACTGTTTTCTAAAATAGACCCAATGATACTGTATTTTAGAAAACTAATCAAAATATTTGAATATTATCATAATAGGAAACAGGGATAGTGAGGCAAGTGATCTATATTCTAATCCATGCTGAAAATCTCTTCTGGATATCTGAAATGGTCCTAAGGGCAAACCCTGGATATTTACTAATTCTAAAAAATGTCTGTAAAATTTTTACCTTATTCTCCAATCAGCCAGTTGATACTCTTTATTCGCCTGGACTTTGCAATGTCTCTCCAGTATATAAGCAAGGGAGTTTTTTGGATAGTTAAGAACATTGGATGCCTGGCCAGTATCAAACAGATTGACGACATACAGACCAAGATCTCTCTGTAACCAGTATATATCACTGTCACAGCCATGGAACACCTGGAAATTAGAGACAGAGTTGGAAGGGATTTCCTCAAACCTTTGAAGGTCAATTCCACATTTTACTAGTTTGCTGACTTTTAGTTAACCTTTTGTTGATTTTTTTGGCAATGGCAAACCCACTGGACCCCAAGAAAAACCAACAAAAGGAACTTTTTACAATTTTAACACAAGGCTATGGTACATTCATTTTTGAAATATAACAGGCTGGACAAATCTATGAGAGAAATCTAAGATAATATATCAAATGGATTGGAACGTTAACGTTCGTTAGAAGGAGCAGTACAAAAATGAGCCTCAGGCTAAATGTTGCTTATTTACCTTAACAATGGCTGGATCGGTGAATACTTCATTCAGCTGGTGCAGTTCACTCCTCAACTTAAGTGTGTCTATAATGTAGTCTGAGGATCGCGTAGATATCTGCATCAGACAAGTGATCCCAAGGTATGTCCTGTAGGAGTGATGCTAGAAAAACAACAAAGTTTTAAACAATACAAACAATTGTAATTGCAATGGTACATCCACTTTTCATTTCCTCATCCATGATATGCAACATCAAACAATGAATAAAAAATAATATAAAAAACTGTTGGCACATGGACTGATATTTCACTTCTCATGAGTGCTAATGCTAGTTGTGCCCTGAGTAACAGAGACGCTGACACTGGGAATATGTCATTGGGAGGGGGCATGAATATTTTTCAAATTTTGGCAACAGTGTGTGTGAATAAAGATAATGAAGGTACATACCTCTAAATCAACTGCAATTTCAGTTTCCTTTTTCAGATCTTTGACTAGATTTGTTAATTCTGTTGGATCTGCTATGATGAACAATGAAGTTTCATCCAGTGGTACTGCATACACAGACTCTGGTCTATCAAACTGGCTCTCGGGATACGTTAGATGGTCCAATTCATACTGGTAGGGGTGTGGATACCTATAATCATGAATGTGTTATGATTGAATATCTGATTTAGCAAGGCAAAATTGTCCATATAATGTGCAGATGATCCTTTTTTAACATGACTTTCTGAAGATGAAAGTTGTTACACTCACTTTTAATTGCCATCCATGTTGACCAAACACAGGTTCAGATAATTTACCCCATTGGTGCTAGACTTATTTGTAATTTTTTTCAGATGGTCTCATGCATTTTTTTTTACATTAGACACACAAGAAATGTTTAGCCATTTAAAATCTTGGATATGAAATCGAAATTAAATTATTATAATCATTATTAGATTGTAGCATTTAATCCAGCATTGTGATTGGTAAAGGGAGTTGGCAAAAGAAGACAATCTAATATTTGCATAAATTAAACTGTTTATACTGTAATACAAAGTTGATCCAATAGATTGAACTAAAGTACAACAGTAAAAGACTTACTCTATGTGCTCATCATCAATGCGTTTAGTTGCAGTTGGGTCTGGAGCAGCTGGTAGAGTGTCTGGAATGTAAAAATCACAATTTATAATTAAGAGCATTTTTTTCATTTTAACTTGTTTTTGCCATATTCCTATCTTAATACACAATGTTTGATGTCCATTTTGGTAATATTACTGATCAAAGAAAAAGTACATATATCTGTAATAAATATTTTGTGTAAACTAAAAAGGAAAACCTTAAACGTGTGTGTTATGCAATGCTCTAGCTATACTGAGATACTGAGACTAGTGGTGTCAATTAACTGCTTGAGTATAAACCGGTTAACCGGGTGTTTTTACCGGTTAAAGTCGGTTAACCGGCGTGAAATTTGAACTGATAATGTATCACATGTATGAGTAGCTCATATGAAACTGACGCTTCAAAAACAAACAGATTAACATGCAAAGTAAGCGCGGGAAAGCAATGTGGCAGGGATTAAAGTTGCTAATTGGATGTTTGTAAGGAGTTATCGAACTTATGACATGTAGGAGTAGCTTACGTGAAACTGACACTTTAAAACCAAACAGATTAGCATGCAATATAAGCGTGGGAAATAACAGAATTATACAGGTTCAACTAACCACCCATAAAAACACAGACCGGTCAAGGCATTATCGGCGGTTAACCGGTTAATACTTGACACCTCTAACTGAGACCATGGGAGACCAAAAATCTTGAGTCTGATGCATGATTGTATGTGTGAAGATACCTGCCAAGGACTTCTGTGCGTTAGGTTTGTATGGAAGCTTAGGCACAAAGGGGGCACTAGAGTTGTCTATTTTATCCTTGAACTTCAGCTGGGGTCGGGGGATGTTCCTTGCTGTTAACAGTCTCAGGTTGCTTACATTGGGAGCACGACCCGCTGAGGTTATAGCCTGATAAATATTAATTTAGTTAAGTCATATTGGTACAATGAAAGTAAAGATGTCATAAAAAACAGATCTGAATTCTTGATTGGATATTTTGATAGAGAATTGATACCAGTCTATAATCTCTATATAATGATACCAGTCTATCATCTCTAGATAATATCATTCAGTCCAACCTTTGTTAGGATAAATTTTATGTTTGGAAAATAAGGGATCAATCTGGATTAAATGTACTTTTGAATATATATATATGTAAAAATCTAAACTTTTTTATTTTTTCCATTTGAATTTATGACTTCTATTTCATCTTGGTTTAAAATTATACAAATAAATAAAATATACATCTATCTGGGAGATAGAAAAGTACCTGTTTATTCCAGCTTGCTTTGGGAGTAACTTGTTTAGATATACTTGCAACAATTAAGGATGTGTCTGTCTTCCTTACTCCAACTGCCTCATCTAAGAAGGTACCCTGAAACATAACCATTTTTTTTATTTTTTTTTATATTTATTTATTTAAGTGTCATGAGTTATAAAACATATAGAATACAATTTGAACACCCAAGGCCAACAACGACCTATAAACACTGTAAAATTCATCTAGATCATTTATAGAGATCATTTTCTCTCTCTACCATACACTAGTATAATCTCAACCATTTTGTAATAGGAATATGGTTAGTGACAAGAAGTATTGAAATTCACAAATGTTTATAGCTCACATGATCTGGTTTACAACTGTTTTTTTTATTCGTTCTGCTTTTTACTGTTCTTATCAACAAATGAATTTACATAACATGGCTATAATAATGTAAATGCCAAATGGACAATCTTGATGTGCCACCCTTTTGGCAGGGGCAAATAGATTTTTAACATGCAGGGTAGAGTAGTATGTAATTTCAACATTGAGCAGCACCCATTTAATGCTGGAAATTCTAATGCTTTTGAATAAACATAGTTCTGTAAAGATAAAATCAATAACTAATTCAGTACAATCTGAGTAAAGTAATAACTTGTTAAGACAGAATTCACAACATAAGACTTACAGCCTTCTCTAAGATGGTATCATTAGCATCTATCAAGATGTCAAACTTTTCTTCTAGTTCTGTGGCCTGATTGGTCTTTGCAAGGTTGCCCTTGGCGCTCTGGTGTTTCATAACATCTTGGAGCCTAAAAGCGAGAAACAAACTGTAAACTATACATGCAACCTTTAATATCGAAACAATTTGACTGATATATATACATCTATTTCTAAATTGTCTTTTCAAAATCATTTTAACTCTTAGTCATTCCTAAATGATCATTTTCTAAAAATAAAGAAGTTCATTCTTCTATCTCACATTAATGAAATATGCAATGATTTTCAAATGGCTCACATGTCATTGAAGTTCTAAATAGTTTTTACATTTCATTTATCTTAATCAACAGCATCATTTACTGTGACATTTGATATCATTTTATAGTATTGTTTATAAGCCATCATCTTTTAACTCCCTCTATGCAAGATTCTCAACTTCAATAAATTACTAAAGAAGAACAATATTTTAATGTCCATTAATGCTTACATCCTGAGAATGCGCTTCCCCTCCATGTCCATGAGTCCCCTGAAAGACTCAAAGCTGGAGTAGTAATCAAAGTCATTGCCTGGAGCAGGGAGACTGTTAGAAGTTTTGGTGGCCTGCAGCAGGTCTCGGAGACATTGCTGAAAATACAATAATAATATCTTGAGTTTTTGAGAGTGGGCATGTTTTAAGGAATCATCATTTTCATTAAGGGTATACTGGATGAAACAGGTCCAATCAAAAATTGCCACTCACAGGTACATGCAAATCAAATTCCCCATTCCCGGGACGAAATTCTCTATCAAATCCCTACTTCCAGGGCAATAGTGCAAATCAAAGTCCCCATCCTCTTCCCATGGGGGGGGGGGTCTGGCTTTAACTTTCGAATGTTGTATAACTGATTGCAACTGATCAACTGATTGCTATAGATATGCATAGTAGTATTGATAACTTGGACTTTTCATGGGTTGGAATTATTCTTGGACTTAGTTCCACTGGCTCAGGGGCCCGCCTCCCCACCCCTTGGGTGGGCCGAGAAAAAAAATTGGCCCCAAAAATTTTAAGGGGCCTGATTAATAGGCCTTTTGGTTCATTATGGGCCTTATTTTATCGTTTTAGGCTAGATTATCAAGAAAATGGGCTTTAAATTTTTTTACTTTGGTCCCACTTTTTGGTTTTAGGGGCCCAACATTTTTTTCAGCAATTTTCTTCATACTTCAAATATGGGCCCGGAGTTCAGTTGGAGTTTCAGACAAATTCGACTTAGTTGGACTTAGTCATTTTACGATCAGTCATAAGTTTAACTTTGAATATTTTAACACTTAAATATTCTTGGACTTATTCTTGGATCTCATTGAAGTTGGGACTTGGTCAATTCACTGTGAATGGTTACTTGGACTGGATTTGGATTTGTTTGTTGTCATGTGGAAGACGGAAGTTTACTTGTCTAGAAAACAGAGGGGGGATATCCCAAGAGTTCAAAGATGACATACACTTATAATGTAAACCTGTATTGAGATGACATACAGTATATCTCTAATTGGTCAAAAATTGACAAACAAATGAGAAGTGTACAGTCGAAGGTGCTTTAAGCAAGAGATGTAATTATGTCTGCTATCTCGAAAGCTCTGGGGCTTTCCCTCCTCTTTCTAATTTAAGTAGTTCTAGGCCTTAGGGTATAACGTTGACACCATTTTGGGGTACAGCTGTACTTTGACATATGGGGTAACTTTGACACCTTGTTGTTTATTTGCTCTAATTTCTAATCTAGGGGGAAGCAATGTTCTTTTTTTTGAGATCTTGCAAGATTTGAATTTTTCCAGAAATCAAACATGGGGAAAAAATGGAAATTCTACTTCTAATAAGTAGTGTCAAAGTTACCACATTTCCCATGTTGACATTTAACATACCCCACACATCGACGTTACACACCTTTGCCCGTCCTAATGCACAAGAGGTCAGACTTAATGAAGGACCCACGGTCCTGTCCTCACACAGTTTGGAACCTTCAGAGGAATGTATATACATGTATACTGACTTTCAAACAAAAATATTGATTTGGATTTGTAGTCTCGAACTTTGAGAAACTTAGACAGCACAGTTGTGTGACCTAGTTTGATGACCTTTGACCTTGAAAATTTTACTAATTCAGAGCTCAGTAAGGTCTTTTGTGATTAAGCTGACCAAAATTTACGTCCAAAAATCAATTTGAAAAATCAACTTTTCTGACTTTTTTGCGAAGGTCACTGAAGGTCAAATCCTAAAACTAATGTCAGATTTGAACTCCTGGCAACTTGTAGATGATTTTCCCCAAAAATTTGGTCAAATTGAAGCAAGTTGAAAAATAACTTATTTTTACTGTTTTTCTTCATCAAATATCTCAAAAACGGTAAATATTTGATGCTGACATATATTGAGCAATATGTAGGGAATGCTTATATCTAGTTGTGATGTAATTCATTGCAAGATATGATCAAGTATAAGGCAAACTTTGAGAAACTTGTCAATCACAAAACCTGCCATTGACTTTATACATGAGAAAGTTTCCTGAAAATGATTTAAGTCCTACTTTTTGTCAAATTTTATAGAGTAAACACCAAAAACTGTAATTCCAAGAGCTTTAATGTAGGGTTGATTTGAAAATTAAACCCCACATTGGTTATATCCTCTAAAGCCCATTTCACTGTTTTATTATGTCAGTAGAACCCCAAAAATAAGAAATCGGGGGACCATTGTGCAACAATAACATATGGAAAAGTATATTCATATTGTACATGAATGACATTTGTATATTTCAGATTATTAAGTTTTTTGTGCAATAAGCCTGTGCCCTCTTGAAAAGAATTTCAGCCATGTTAATCTTATTGAAAATAACATGGCAGAGAAGCAATGCAAGATAAAACATATGTCATTTATGTACAATAGGAATATATTTTTCCATATATTATTGCACAATGATCTTTTAATTTCTTATTTTTTTGGTTCTACTGACAATAAAACGGGCTGTAGTCTGGGGGTAGTAGATACAAATTATTTTGAAGCAAATGCGTGACATCTACACAAATTTTGAAACAACAGCTTGATATATACGGAGTTTGCGTGAAAAGCAGATTTTTTAAATATCAACATAATGAGTAATTTGCGAGAAATTTTATCATACACGCAAATTTGATGCATGATTTCAATTTTTCCAGCAAATGTGTGACAATCACGCCTAATGCGTGAGGGTTGACAGTAGTCTATATCCAACAGATTGAATTTCTTGAGAATATTTTCATTCCAAATTTCAAAAACGAAATTTCAGACAAGAGGATATAGTCTAGGGTTACTTCCTGCGAAAGCTATGTGGATTTTGATATAATAGCTTTCCCATGGCGCACTTGGACAGCTATATAATAGTGACCTTTAAACATGAATAATGAGATCCGGGGATTACTTTAGGTCTCTAACTGTGTCTTACATCAGTATCATCAATCTGTGCAAGTATTGGAGCGCTGAAATTCTTCTTTTTCGATCAAGACTTGTAAATTGTTCATCGAGTGAATGTTTTTTCAACCCAATATGGCGGTTTGCTTGGAGCGAGATACGCAACGAAATGAATTTTGAGAATGAGTTATGTTCGGACAACCTCCGGATATTTACGAAAATGTCTGAGCAGAAAACGCCATATTGGAATTTGGTGGAAAAAACGTTCACTCAATTAACAATTACAAGTCTTGATCGAAAAAGGAAGCACTTCAGCGCTCCAACACTTGCACGGTTATCGCATCCTACGACCCCTTTAGATTGTGGTCGTAGGCCCGATTCATTAGTAAGCCTGTGTTTCTACAATGTCGGAGAATGAACTATGCATTGCACACATAAATGACCTACCTCGATACATTCCTGAGTATTTTAGAATTCTTTTCATATAGTTGAATCGCAAATTGTATGGGTTTATCGGCAGAACGAAGATATTTTCGTTTTTGATAGCAATATTTGCGTGTAGGTTCAACCGTCAAATTCCTCCATTCAGTTCCCGGCATGCACCAGTAATAAGGGAAATCCCAGGAGAATTCCCCTTCCGACATTTTGAAAATTGCTGAGATATTTCCGATGTAAAAACTAAAATCTCTTCGTTCTGACGATAAACCCATACAATTGGCGATCTAACAACATAAAAAGAATTTTAAAATACTCTGGAATGTATCGAGGTAGGTCATTTAATAGCGCAATGCGTAGTTCATTCTCCGACATTGTAGAAAGACAGGCTTACGAATGAAACGGGCCTACGACCACAATCTAAAGGGGTTGTAGGATGCGATAATTGCACGGAAGGATGATAATGATGTATGACATAGTTAGAGAACAAAAGTAAGCCCCGGATCAACTTAATTCGTGTTTCAAAGGTCACTATTATTCAGCTGTTCATTTCTCCGTTGGAGAGCCATAAGTTTCAAAATCTAACATGGCTCTCGAAGTGAGTAAGTCTAGGGTTGACAGGGCCACGGGCACCAGTATCGCCACCTTTTAGCAGTCGGATTAGAACGATCTAAAGCCCTTTAAAATACTAAAGGGCTTTAGATCGTTCTAATCTGACTGCTAAAAGGTGGCGATACTGGTGCCTGTGGACAGGGCAGGTTGTGGTATCCTGAAAATGGAGAATTGATTGTTATTTCTGAGTGGATGTCCGTACATGGACATCGTGGATCATTTTATAAGCTTAGTTATCAATACTACCCACGCATGTGTTTGATCTAATTTCAATTATTTCATGATTGAAAACACCACGTTTTTATTTTCAAATCAGATATTCTCTATCATTATACTAATTAAGTCAACCAGTTTGTCACGTAACTCAGATAAACACATGACCTTACCCTTGAATAGTCATCCACTGTTGAAAATCCATCAATAAACGTACGAATGTCCTGTTTATCTTCGCCTTGTGACATTTTTTAGAGTTTTCACTTCAGCAGAGCAACTTCCTATAATTTTTCGTGCGGTGTAACCTCGTTCCCGGGGATCCTCCATTCTCCCGGGATTCTAATGAAGTACTATACTCATATGGTGGGTTTTCATGTTTCACGATTCTTGCTTACCTACATGTATTAGTTGACGTCCAATGGTTGCAACCATCTAACGAAGTGTTGTACTTGATGTTTCAACATTGGTGACTAAATTGTTGTAGTGCCTGGTGGACTAAATTGTGCTCATATATAAGACTTATTTTTGCATTGGGAGTAGTGTAATGATCAACCGGACTCATCGTTGGATTGCATACTTTACTGTTCTCTAAATGTACTCACAGTTGGTACAAATCTTGTAGTTTTTTAATAATCTCATCAACTGTCACCATGTGTGGCTCTGGGTGTCATGCAAGTAGACACCAGGCTCTGAATAGGAGAGACAATTATACCGTTTTGCTTGATGTTGAGTTTCATTATAAAATAAAATGAATGCCGGAAAGCAAATAAATAGATGCAACTTTGATTCTGTTATTTCGTTAGCTGGATTTTTCCTACCATATTCTCAGTATTCTTATTGATTAAGGCTAGATCAGAGTTTTTCTAACTCGAAGAGTGTATACAATCTTAAAAAGGAAGAATCAATACATGCCTTGTTTACTATAGTATTAGCCTACCTAAAAAAACGTAACAATAATTTTGAGCAGAGACATATAAACAACAAATATATGTCTCTGTTTTGAGATATAAAGAATTGGCAAGGAATTATAAATCTAGGCAAGGTTTCACCTTTTGTACAATTTTCGCTGTGCAGAAATCATTTCTGCCAGCTCGATTATTTCATTTTAGAAAATGGTTGTGCTCAATGTGTTTCTCAATACATGTAATCATGTATTTTTCGATGAATCGAGATTGTTGCTTTGTTTCAACATGAAAAATGTAATTACCTCCTGAGAAGTATTTTGCATCAAGGGACTTGATGTTTCTGTTTTGGAGCAGGGAAAGTACAATTTGTGATAATTTGATAAAGTTCAATGTTCCATTGGCTTTCTCTAGTCATATTGTATCAAATCAAGATTTGGTTTTCTACTTCTATCTCAAATGTTACCCTTTGCAATTCCTCAAAATGTAGTAGAATAATGAGCTGATTAATTTTAAACCAAAGAGAACAGTCATAGAATACACCAAAAATGTGCATTTGACGAAGGACATGAAGGATGAGTGACGACATACATACCTTGAAAAGGTCAATTTACTTATACATACAAGATGGCCTATATTCTAAGAATGAAGGTCAGAGTAAACCTAGTTTTTATATTTTACTATGTAGTAATGTCCATTCTTACATTTCATTTTCAAATTGTGTTAAATTACTTGTTTTTAAGACACTCGTCCTTTGAGGAACAATATGATATTAACGACGGAAAATATAACATTGATCAAGTAAAGGGATTCAGCCTGGTTGTTATTTGAGAAATTTTCCAAGGTCAATGGTTATATTGTTTCAAAAAATGAAATTCAGATTTCTTCCAGTTATCTATCATCTCCAATGAACACCAAAACATGACATACTATACAACTGTTTTTTTTTATATTTTTATTATCTTATAGTACAAAAAATATCTTTGTTTAGGCTTACAACTTTTTCAGTGGTACATGTAAGAGTAACTATTCTATCAAAAGCCTTATTTTATCAAACAGCATCCAAATTATGTTGTTAAGTGAAATGTCTGTTTGAACTGTGAATTCTCCTTGCATTCTCCTTGGAGCTGAGATCCATCATTGAGTGTGCCTGTTACCAGCTACAGCTTCAGCATTCGCTGCAATTGGAGAAGGGTATCGAATATGTACAAGGTGAGCCAAAAAGGTAACCTAAACAAATTTCATTAAGGTTCAATTATGCCAAATATTAAACTAGATAAAGATTTGTTTGGATTAACTTTTTTGGTTCACCCTGTACTTAAAACAAATACATGTAGTTGATAACAATTCCCGTACAAACTAGAGAGGAAATATAAAAATCCAAGGTTCATGCTTTGCTTAAAATGAATCCAGGTTAAATGTTTATTTTTTAATCAAGGTGTATTTACATTTATGAAATAGCAGAGATAGAATAATCTACTACGAAAATGTAATATTTCAATTTAGAACATGTGTGCAATTTTCAGTATTCCCAATGAACCCTATCAATAAGTCAATCAATCAATATTTGTACATGTTGATCAGTCATCCATACCTATCTGTAACTTTTTTGTCTTTTTTCTTCTTGTATTTCTTTCTCTAGCTCCACACAAGCTCGCTCTATTTCATAGTTTTTACTTACTAATCCTACCCAGCTGAAAATCAAAAAGACCATATATGATGATGATGTATTGTAAAAGCGCAGCTATAGTTCATTGGGGGAGAGGTAAGATATTATCATCTTCTAAAACATGCTACTGTCTTCACACGACATGCAGCATCTGATTTCAATACCGGCATTGAAGCCCAGCGCTACTTTCGCACTACTTCCGGTAATACCATGATGCACAACAATCAATAGTGTGGAATGCTATTCCACATTAAAATGGCCCAGTTGCCAAACTCCAGGTATAACTTACACTTATCACTGAGACATTTAATCATCCCCATTCATGACAAAACATACCTTTCTTCCAGCTGCCTTAATTTTCCACCAGCTTTGGTCTGCTCATTTTTTCTTTGCCAATTTACGTCTTGTATGTCTTTCCTGAAAGAGGATTAACATTTATTTTTGTGCATTTGTAAGTAGAATAGAATCAGCAAACATCAGAAGTTCCCAGTATAGTGTACTTGGATGAGGGGACATAAACTAAATAAACTGATAAATAAACTGATAAATCCTGCAACCATTTGATCTGTCCATCTTCGCACACTCGGTCTTCACTGTGTTCATCGACCGACGGGAGCCGAGTGAACGAAGATGTGATCTATCAGAGTAACTAGAATTTATCGGCTAGATTGATGATGCCATTGATAGGAAGCAATCTGTCCATGCAAGGATTAACTTATTGCTAATTTTGAAAAAGTAAATCCTATGACATCATAAATCTTACCAATATATTAGTTTTTTTGATGAATCAAAAGATGGCAGGATTTATCGGAAACATCAATTATTCATGAAAAACAGTCACTGAGCTACATTTGAATTTTGAGGATTTAGATTGGACACTTAAAGTCCCCGTCTAAAGTTTGAAAATATTTTTTTATCATTCATTTACTATTTGTCATGACTTAAAAAGTTATTCTAGAGATTTTTGAAAGAAAAATTTTTTTTGAAAAAAAAGTAGTGAGCATTTCATTTCTCAAATATTCAAATTTCCCGCTATTTTTCCAAAAATTTGAAATTTTTTAATCATCAAATATTTCTTAATGCATTTCAAAAAAGATTATCTTTTTAACCTCTTGAATACCCAGAGTGACGGATATATCCGTCACAAATGAAATAAGACTGGTGCCCAGAACAAAATTTTTCACAAAAATTGCTCTCATTTGAACAATTTTCATCCAATTTACACAAAAATTGTTTTAAAACGTGTAGAAATGATCTCTGCCGTCCAAGTTTACTAAGCTGAGCATCTAAAGTTGTATAGGTATGTAATAAAATGTCAAAAGGTGGCAACTTACACCAAAGTATACCTTCATGTTATGCCTTCATAAATTCGCACCTTATTTTGTTGAGCTGTTTCTGTGCATCCTCAGACATTCCCACCAGGATATCATTGTGACTCTTCCACATACTAGCTCCATACTTTGACATCAACTCTAGATTCTGGATTCTTAAAAAGAAAATTACAACAAAATGTTACATGAGTAAATGGTATGTCATATGAGCTAGTACATTTTACCTCATGTTTCATTTATGAAATTCATGGGTGTTTAAACTGATGATATTGCAAATTCAACAAAGCATAAATGTTATTTAACAGTGTATCAATTCAATGTCTCTAGCTGAACCTCTTGAATACATAACGTTTCTAGAATCAGCAGCTGTATTGCTTCAAGACCTCCTTGATAGGATATAGAAATCTTGACACAAATATGTCAGTAAAGTACAACCCATAGATACACATAATTTATAGAGCCTACCTCAAAGCCTGGTGTTCAAGTTGGGCTTGTGAGTTCTCTACACATTCAGTCCAGGCTGAGATGTCTGTCATCTTGCCACCAGGGGGCTGTGGAAGTTCATATCTGGAACATTGTATCATTACAAGAGGAGGAAATATCCCAGAATTCATAGATGAGCCTATCTTTATGTCAAGATGAGCCTCTATCCTTATATGGAAATATAAGTTCATCTATGTATTCTGGGATATTCCCCTCTTTCATGTCTTTATCATCATCATACAATTTCAAAAAATAACCAGAACAACGGCAACGCCAAAGCGTAGCGAATCCCATCGAACAGCCAAGGATGGCATTTTTACAAACAAAGTACAGGGTGGTCCAAAAAAATTGGAACATTTGTTAATTGAACGCAAAACCTTTATTTTTCGTCTGAAATGTACCAAAATTTTACTGAGCATAGTTCAGTCACTTATCTCTCTGATGTAAAGTTTATAGGTGCAAGCCACAAAGTTAATGCATTAAACTAGTCAATGTTTGATATGACCCCCTTTTCGCAAATATACACTTGTCAATTTCGCCACTACTTTTTCAAGTTTTCTTTATTTCAACGCTTTAATGAACACGTTGATTGCGATACACATTTTATAAAATCATATTTAGTTGAAAAGCATCTATGGTTTACTAGAAAGCTATTGTGTTATCATTAACTTAAGAATACCCCAAATCATTATTTTTATTTAAGAGTTGGAAAGAAAGAACATGCAAAAGGTGAGTGATTGCATAACCCATACAGCTACTAAAGTGACAAAATCATTGTTTTCACTTTTCAGTAAAGGGGAAACTGACCACTTATTTACAAGGCTTTATTCAAAACCACCTCTAAGTACATATAATATATCATTTGTGTTCTGGGAAACTCCTTTATGATATTGATATACATATATTGATGTATTCAATGAATATTATCCATATTAGAACAAGAAAGGGAGAGGGGGGCTCATTTACCAGTCAAAACATACTGCCCTGGCCTCTTTCTTGAGAATATTCAATCAGTAATACACCTAACAATAGCCATCAAAATATGCTTGATACCCATCAATTTGAGTAAAAAATGTTGAATGTGTTCACATATTTGATCTTCCAAGGCAAACATATAAGTAGTTTGTTTAAGCTGAATTTTTTAATCAAGATGGCTTGGACAAAATCAAACAAACAGCAAGGTGAATGAATCATTTCAAAACTGAGTCCCAGGCTTCAACTTGTAATTCAGGAGTTGAGGGGTCATATCAAACATTGTCTAGTTTAATGCATTAACTTTGTTGTTTGCACCCATAAACTTTACATCAGATAAATAATTGACTGAACTAAGCTCAGTTAAAATTTGGTGCATTTTAGAAGAAAAATAAAGGTTTTGCGTTCAATTATCAAATGTTCCAATTTTTTTTGGACCACCCTGTATATAGCAAAAATGGCAGCCATTTTTCAAAATGGCCACCTTCTACCAAAAGTGTCATTAGACCATGTGCCATACTTATAGTATTCACATACCAAATATGAACAAAATCGCTCCACTACTTTTCAAGTTATAGTAAAATACGTTAAAATGGCAGCCATTTTTCAAAATGGCCACCTTCTACCAACAGTGTGCCATGCTTACAGTATTCACATACCAAATATGAACAAAATCGCTTCACTACTTTTCGAGTTATAGTAAAATATGTTAAAATGGCAGCCATTTTTCAAAATGGCTGCCTTCTACCAAAAGTGTCATTAGACAGTGTGCCATGCTTATAGTATTCATATACCAAATATGAACAAAATCGCTTCACTACTTTTCGAGTTATAGTAAAATACGTTAAAATGGCGGCCATTTTTTAAAATGGCCACTTTCTACCAAAATTGTCTTTAGACAGTGTGCGATGTTTGTAGTATTCACATACCAAATATGAACAAAATCGCTCCACTACTTTTCGAGTTACAGCAAGAATCGTAAAATAACGAGTAAAGGCCGCCATTTTTCAAGATGGCTGCCATGTGCTTCTTTATATCTACATTTCTAGCTTTATTAATGTCCTATATAATTTTTCTACATCTAAAACATATTGCTATTACAATTTTACATATTGCATCTAAATTACTGTAAATTCGGCACTAAAATGGCCGCCATTTTGAAATGAGTGGCCATTTTGAAAATCGGCTTTCGAGCAGAACTTCTACCCCCATAGGGTATATGTGTACAAAATATGAACAAAATCGGGCCAACGGTATTTGAGTTATTGCCCGGACGGACGGACGTACGTACGTACATACGGACGGACGGACGGAGGCGTTCCCTATATGCCTCCGAACTTCGTTCGATGGGATAATGACACCCTACCAACAGTAGAAAGGGTAAATATTACTACTGAATGGTCACAGTGTGGCTATACTTGCAACAGTTGTCCGTGTGATGAAAACAATGTTCACTCATCCTTTCAACCATTTATTATCATAACAGTAAATTTCATATATTTTGGGTTGTAAAGCATTTATTTCTAAAATATTAGAATCTATAAAAGCATTGAATAATACTGTTAGCTTTCATTTATTTTACACTAGCCTTTCTTACCTTTTCATACTAAGCATGTCCATTGGCAACCTGGCCTGTAGCCTCTCCATCTCATTCTTAATTGTTTCAGTCTGCAATTGATAAAAAGAACTTTGTCTGCTTCCTATATTGACAAATGAACTACCATATCAGGGGCGGATCTGGGAACCACCAAGGGGGGGGCCCAAACTTGTGGTCTGAGAAAAAAACTTCCGCGCTTGCGCGGAAAAAAATTTTGGCCCCATAAACCCAAAAGTGGGCCCAAATTTTGAAATTTTGAGGTCCATTTTCTTCAAAATTTGGCCTAAAATTAACAAATAAGGCCTTACAAGGCCAATTTATGACCAAAAAGGCCTACTTTTTGGGGCCTTAAAGCCTTTTTAGGCTCAAAATTTTTTTTGGGCACAATTTTTTTTTTCTGGGCCCACCCAAGGGGGGGGGGCCCGGGCCCCTGGGCCCCCCCCCCCATATCCGCCAGTGCATATTTAACCAGTTTTAAGATCATATTCAATTGTGAGAAACTGCAGTTATAAAGATAAGTCCACTAAATAAACCTTTAGGGATAACTGTAATTATATTTGTAAGTTCAAATATGGGGTAAAAATGGACATAATTCGCCAAAGCATTTGAATATAAAAAGGGAAACAAGAAATATGTTCAAATGAGTCATTTTTTCATGAATTCTTATCATGCAAGCCCTAAAGCCTAAATGAGATAAAGCTCTATGTTGCTTGATTATTTGAAGCTGATTATCTGAATCTTACAAGTCTATACCATACCTCAAATGCATTATACACAGGTGGTGGGAGATATTCCAGGTAGTTTTTTGTTGGTCTGTATCTCCTAGTCTCCTCTTCAACTAGCGCCAAGGCCTGGAACATAGAAGAAATAAACATACAAGCATACTTTCAAAACCACAAACAGCACAAGTATTATAGATGTTGACATTCTCTGAGAGACTTCTTTACCCCCTTGCTTTACAAGCATTTAAGATTCAGCTGGAAAATAACATTTTGGGAAAAAATTGCTATACTTGCACATGTTATTTTCTGGTAAAAAATAAAGTATAAAGGCATGTGTCAATAACCCAGATGCGAGTAGAAATAATCTTGATTTACGTCATTAAATATTCAAAATTCAGTCAAAGTAATATCATATTTGAAATCTACATGTAAAATTACATCTAGAAATGTGGTTTTAAAAAGTGTTTATCAACTTTGAAAATTAATTTTCTTTGAAAATGTGACTTCTAGCTCGGGGAGATTCCCCATAGACCCCATGCTATAAAATCACAAAAAATGAAATATCTTTTCTTTTAGTGGACAGATAATATTTTGCTTTACTGGACATATTTTCATTAGTATAAGTATCAGACACATAAGGGTTATATGAAATTGAGCCACTTAAATTGATAATATTCAAGTTTAAGGGAACTTTGTTATATACCTGCCTTGTTAATTGACCCGAATCAGCCACCTGGTGGTGAAACTGGTAACTACCTACTCGCATTTGGGTAATTTCCTTGCTTTTTTCAGGAAAGTATCAATACATTGTCTTCTTTTAGTCAATCTGGTAAGAGTTCAATGGGAACTTTAGGAAATTCTGATGTCTCACGCTTTCTATCTTTCCAAATTTTCTTTCGAAGTTTCCAGACAACACAGGAGCTATAATTGACCTGTTTCCAGGTTTACTAAAAGTAGACAGTGATTAATGATACTTTCCTGAAAAAGGAAGGAAATACACACATGCCTTCATACTTAATTTTGTACCAGAAAATAACATGTGCAGGTATAGCATATTTTAAATATAGTATTATTTCCTTTGTCATATTGACTTGACATTGAATAGGCTTGAAATAATAATTTGTAGTCGAGAATATAGCAAAGAAGATTAGAAAATAAAATGTAAAACGTTTTATTGTTATAACCTGGAATTTTGCTCATATGTATGGTTACTTATTTGTAGTAATAAAACACCATTAATGCTAATGCTAAAGTGTGCATTTATATTTGAAATATATATATTGTTCATACTTGTTGCTAAAATAGTGAATTTGTATCATTTTATAGTGAGCAAATAATGAAATATTATTCTTACAAATGACTTTTTCGACATCGATCAAAATTTTCAAGAAAATTAAAAATATCATAAACAAACAGAAATATTTACACAAGTTCCGTGAAAATACTTTATTATGTACCATATATAACAATTGGAAAATTGTTATCTTGAAATAAAGTAGTAAAATATGCCAGTAAGGCATTTCAATGGGGACACCTAGGTGTGGGGCACCTAGGTGGTATTTAGCACAACCCGTTTGTTCATTGTCTTTCTCTGTGGTATTTTCATAAAAAGTGGATCAGGTTTGTCAAAATAGCATCATGGCCTTCGTATTTTTCGTCATTTTCACTGGATTATCTTGTTTCAAAAATAACATGGCAAGAAAGCATCAAAATATAAGATGCCACAAAATATATGATAGGACCCTCGTACTTTGCTCGTACTATAAAATCAACATTGAATGAATGACAATGATTGCAACTTCCGGGTTTTGGAAATTTATATTTAAAATTTTAGTGATCAATTCGTAGAGTAAATTTACATTTTTTGTGCTTCAAAATAAGCGCCACAGTAAAATAACTCGAAGAGATTGTAAAGAACTGCAACTTACCGCTTCTCGTATGCCAGGCTCATCATAACCTTGGTCAAAATATGGCAACGCGTCTACAACAACCTCGCCAGCCATTTTAAAAGTAGGTCAGTGCCTCACTTTCGAATACACCGTACGAAAAGGAAAGATTCGAATGAAAAGGCACGAATCACAACAAGTTAAGCTCATGAAAAATGATGTTTTGTTGCACTTTACACGATTCAGTAATTATGACTGTGCATGTAGACCTACAGGGCGTTATTTTATGAAACTTTTAAAGGACGAAGAAGAAGTGCTCGTTGTGAACCCATCATGAAAAGTTAGAAAATTGCTGAGTTTTTGAAGTTTTATCATTGCCGCGGCATTTGAATGATTTGGATCGAAAATCATGTCCAGCCACAAGTTCATAATATTTCTAATTGCCAGTAGCCTAATATTGGATGTAACAAGTCATGTTTCTCTAACCTACCCATGGGCTCGGATGTACGATTTTGATTTCCTAGACAGTGTTAGGACACCAGGACCCTGTGGAATGCCAAAAGGTACAGTACATGCAGGGGATAACTGATGGGGGGGGGGGGGGGTGATTGAGTGGGGTGGTGATGGTTAGATAGGTGTTTATATAAAATCTTAAGTCTTATATATTTTTAGTAAATTCATATTTATAAGAGCCCAGATCACATATTCTTGTCACCAGGTTGCTGTACACTGAGTTTCCGGGACAGTTTCACAAAAACTTTTGGACTGGCAACACCTCATCAAATCAATAAATAAACTTTCTAATATCTTTAGTCCTATGTTCAAACACCTTGAAATCATATTTTACAGGTAATGGTCCAGTTACAACCTTAGCTGCAGGTTCTTCATTGAACATAACCTGGCACCTTGGTTACCCCCATAAGGTAATGTATAAATGAGAATTATTTTAAAGTGGCAACAAGGCCTGTGGAGATAAAATAGAAAAAGTTAAACTTTTTCTGAGCTATCAAGGCAACATTTGGCCTAACATCTCCTTTGACATACTTTTTTCTTAAAATGTATAAAATTATCAATATCAGCATTAAGAAGTGTAAATTCAGTTCAAAGCCTCAAAAAGTGGAAATCCACTTTTATATTTTTAAGATCCACCATGTTTCAAGAGGAATATCAGAAATAATGTTTATCCAGGGGGTTTCTTTGTAGATAATAAAAATAGATGTAAGTCTTAATGAAATATCCAAACTTAAATATATTTTGACATTGGTCCATGATGGCAATGAATGGCCCCTCTGCACTAATTGTTGCAACTGAGACATACACACTGTATAGTACATGTATAGTAATTGTATGTCTCTGTTATTATATATCTCTGTTTTGAGATCAAGGACATCTTCTTTAAATAAATCCTAATGTAAAATAATTCAAATAACATTTTTTGCACTTTTTAAAGTAAAGCTTAGAATTCTGCTTTTATAACAGAGATCTGTTGCCATTGATCCAGTGGACTTTTTTTCGCTTTAAATGTAGTTTTATCACTTGTACTTATTTGTGTGAGATGCTTTTAAATGTTTTTAACCTGAAGATGGTATACACAGTATGCAGTCTAATTTACTTGACTTTTAGTTCAGCATTTCAGAATTTTTGGACCAAACACTTGTGCAATGTTTTCATGATAATAGACTATTACTGAAGGGCTTGGTATATATACATGTTAACTGGACCATGATTTGCCTGATGCAAAATGTTCAGTTGATTAAATCAGGGCGATTTAAATATTTTTTATTCATGTATTTCTGACAAACTTTTCAGAAGTAGTCCATGGGCATAGAACAACTGAGCTGAGTATATGGCCTTTAACAGTTTTGAACATTCAATTTGGTTTATTGGGATATGGATTTACAATAAATAATCTGTAGTGTTGTTATTGTTTGGTAGAAGTATTTAAATCCCTTTCACGTATTAATCCTTCTTTGATTGAACATTTGATTTTCATCTAAGTTTGCATATATGTACAATGTACATGTATAGTACCAGCATGGGCTTTCAATTCTAGTTAAAAGTCCATGGTACCAATAAGAATTTCATTTCTCAAATTATGCTTCATTCAATGAACATATTTGAACAAGATGAAGATTTTCAACAAGGTGACATGTAATTTTAAATTTTTTCAACAGAATGCTGTGATGCTGGGAAGATCACTGCATCAATTTTATTTTTCTTTAATTGTTGACTTTGATATTACAATTAATTGAAACCCCATGAAGCTAGTTGTTTTGAGCTGCTCTACAGACCCTAGAAATCATTATGACACCCCGCTATTGTTTATGAAAAGTATACTTGGGTTTAGTAATGTGGTTTGTGGTTCATTGATTTGGTCAACTACAGTAAAGCTGAACTAATAAAAGCATATACCATTCATAGTCTGTATGTATGTAGTTGAACTTGGAACCTGCTCATGCTCGAAACCCAATTATAAGTACAGTTATGTGCAGTCATACCAGTGTAACTTGTATCATTACTATAAAATGTAACTTGTATCATTGCCATACATACAGTGTCACTTGTATCATTACCATACATACAGTATAACTTGTATCATTACCGTACATACAGTGTCACTTGTATCATTACCATACATACAGTGTAACTTGTATCATTACCATTCATACAGTGTAACTTGTATCATTACCATACATACAGTGTCACTTGTATCATTACCATACATACAGTATAACTTGTATCATTACCGTACATACAGTGTCACTTGTATCATTACCATACATACAGTGTAACTTGTATCATTACCATTCATACAGTGTAACTTGTATCATTACCATACATACAGTGTAACTTTTATCATTACCATACATACAGTGTAACTTGTATCATTACCATATATACAGTGTAACTTGTATCATTACCATACATACAGTGTAACTTTTATCATTACCATACATACAGTGTAACTTGTATCATTACCATTCATACAGTGTAACTTGTATCATTACCATACATACAGTATAACTTGTATCATTACCATACATACAGTGTAACTTGTATCATTACCATACATACAGTGTAACTTGTATCATTACCATATATACAGTGTAACTTGTATCATTACCATACATACAGTGTAACTTTTATCATTACCATACATACAGTGTAACTTGTATCATTACCATTCATACAGTGTAACTTGTATCATTACCATACATACAGTATAACTTGTATCATTACCATACATACAGTGTAACTTGTATCATAACCATACATACAGTGTAACTTGTATCATTACCATACATACAGTGTAACTTGTATCATTACCATACATACAGTGTAACTTGTATCATTACCATATATACAGTGTAACTTGTATCATTACCATACATACAGTGTAACTTTTATCATTACCATTCATACAGTGTAACTTGTATCATTACCATACATACAGTGTAACTTGTATCATTACCATACATACAGTGTAACTTGTATCATTACCATACATACAGTGTAACTTGTATCATTACCATATATACAGTTTAACTTGTATCATTACCATACATACAGTGTAACTTTTATCATTACCATACATACAGTGTAACTTTTATCATTACTATACATACAGTGTAACTTGTATCATTACCATTCATACAGTGTAACTTGTATCATTACCATACATACAGTATAACTTGTATCATTACCATACATACAGTGTTACTTGTATCATTACCATACATACAGTGTAACTTGTATCATTACCATACATACAGTGTAACTTGTATCATTACCATACATACAGTGTAACTTTTATCATTACCATACATACAGTGTAACTTGTATCATAACCATTCATACAGTGTAACTTGTATCATTACCATACATACAGTGTAACTTGTATCATTACCGTACATACAGTGTAACTTGTATCATTACCATACATACTGTGTAACTTGTATCATTACCATACATACAGTGTAACTTGTATCATTACCATATGTACAGTGTAACTTGTATCATTACCATACATACAGTGTAACTTGTATCATTACCATACATACAGTGTAACTTGTATCATTACCATACATGCAGTGTAACTTGTATCATTACCATACATACAGTTTAACTTGTATCATAACCATACATACAGTGTAACTTGTATCATTACCGTACATACAGTGTAACTTGTATCATTACCGTACATACAATGTAACTTGTATCATTACCATACAGTGTAACGTGTATGATTACCATACATACAGTGTAACTTGTATCATTACCATACATACAGTGTAACTTGTATCATAACCATACATACAGTGTAACTTGTATCATTACCGTACATACAGTGTAAATTGTACCCTTACCATACATACAGTGTAACTTGTATCATTACCATACATACAGTGTAACTTGTATCATTACCATACTGACAGTGTAACTTGTATCATTACCATACACACAGTGTAACTTGTATCATTACTATACATACAGTGTAACTTGTATCATTACTATACATACAGTGTAACTTGTATCATTACCGTACATACAGTGTTACTTGTTTCCTTACCATACATACAGTGTAACTTGTATCATTACCATACATACAGTGTAACTTGTATCATTACCATTCATACAGTGTAACTTGTATCATTACCATACATACAGTGTAACTTGTATCATTACCATACATACTGTGTAACTTGTATCATTACCATACATACAGTGTAACTTGTATCATTACCATACATACAGTGTAACTTGTATCATTACCATACATACAGTGTAACTTGTATCATTACCATTAAAGTTACCAAGTGTATCATTAGTCTTACTTCAAGTCTCTGGACCTCCCTTATCTACTTCTGACATCACCTGTGTAGTGATGGGTGTGTTTGTGTTGGGGGGGGTCATAAGGGCTTGTTGCTAGATTTTTACAAATAATATTGCATCAATGTTTTTTATCGTACCTAACAAGAGGTACGATATTGTAGTCAACTTGACGGGCGGGCGGCGTCTCACTTTTCAGCTTGTCTACAGGTTTCCAGCCAAACCATTTGAGGGATTCATCTGAAGTTTTCAGGGATTTTTCTACATATCAACGTCAAGAACTGATTAGTTTTTGGGCATTCTGGGTAAATTTTAAGGTGGCCATTTTGGATTTTCTGTCCTAAAATCTTCACTTTCAAGACTTGTCTACAGGTTTTTAGCCAAACCATTTGAGGGATTCATCTGAAATTTTCAGGGATGTTTTTACATATCAACGTCAAGAACTGATTAGTTTTTGGGCATTCTGGGTAAACTTTAAGGTGGCCATTTTGGATTTTCCGTCCTAAAATCTTTACTTTCAAGACTTGTCTACAGGTTTCCAGCCAAACCTTTTTAAGGATTCATCTGAAATTTTCAGGGATGTTTCTACATATCAACGTCAAGAACTGATTAGTTTTTGGGCATTCTGGTTAAATTTTAACGTGGCCATTTTGGATTTTCTGTCCTAAAATCTTCACTTTCAAGACTTGTCTACAGATTTTCAGCCAAACCATTTTAGGGATTCATCTGAAATTTTCAGGGATGTTTCTACATATCAATGTCAAGAACTGATTGGTTTTTGGGCATTCTGGGTAAATTTTAAGGTGGCCATTTTTGATTTTCCGTCCTAAAATCTTCACTTTCAAGACTTGTCTACAGGTTTCCAGCCAAACCATTTGAGGGATTCATCTGAAATTTTCAGGGATGTTTCTACGTATCAATGTCAAGAACTGATTAGTTTTTGGCCATTGTGAGTAAATTTTAAGGTGACCATTTTGGATTTTCCGTCCTAAAATCTTCACTTTAAAGACTTGTCTACAGGTTTCCAGCCAAACCATTTGAGGGATTCATCTGAAATTTTCAGGGATCTTTCTATGTATGAAAGTTTAGAACTGATTAGTTTTTGGGCATTCTGGGTAAATGTTAATGCTGCCATTTTAGATTTTCCGTCCTAAAATCTTGTCTATCGAGGCTTAGGTCTTCAGGTTTCCAGCCAAACCATTCAAATTTTTACATATGTTACACAGTGATAAGTTCTAGAGCTGATTAACTTTTCTGCGGCCATCTTGCTTTCTTGGTCAACAAGACCACAATGCTGTGTTTTAGGTACGATATTGTTCACGTCTGTGCCTTGTTGTTTTGTTTGATTGTGAGCCAATGTGTGATTATATTGGCAATATTTTTTTTTATTTCAGGGTGGATATCGACTTGAGCTAATAAGTGGAAATGGTACAGTTATCTCTCAGCTTGTCCCTGCAGTCAGTGGGGAATGGACTGGGGCCCATGATGTCATGTAAGTAGATCAATTAAATCAATGAAAGGCAATAAATAACCTTTTCTGTGTAAATTCATCACTCTGGTAATATATTAATAATAACTAAAGTTCATTTACTTCAAAGTAAAATGTTTTATTTTCGACGTTCCACTAATCATCCAACTAGCTTTATCAAGATTCAAAATGGAAGTACACAATTATATTATTTATGATGCAATAATTGAACAATACAATACCAAGGTAACAATAAACAATACAATAATAAACAAGTACGATAAACTATGACAAAAAAATATGACAATAAACTACACATAGAAACACCAATTCCATTTTAAATCTTGATAAAGCTAGTTGGATGATTAGCGAAACTTCGAAAATAAAACATTTAACTCTGAAGTAAATGAACTTAAGTTATTATTAATAAATGACCTATTTCCAAATGAAGGAAGGGGGCTTAAATCAACTTGATCCCATTCATATTAGGAGTCAGATGGTTAACTGAAACCATGGAGCTCCAATCGTCATTGGCCTCGATGGTTCATTCTGAAAAATTGTTTGGTTCATTTTTAATGGAACATCAATTGGAGGTAAATTACCGTTCATCAACACATGTTCGCTAAAATAATGTCAATCAAGAAAATTGTCTGCTGTGGATATTGAGAAAAATGCTGATGGATGAGAATTAGAAAGATATTAACATCCATTAGTATCAGATTCAGCTGACACATACATTATTTCGACAGTTTGTGTTTTGTATAATTATTTTATGAAATTTCAAAACATAGTCTGTAACATGAAATTAAATTCATACATGCTGTTTTTGTTTTACATGATTCTTATGATCATAGCAGAAATAATAGTGCAATAAGAATCAAATAATCAAACAGAAGAACTGAACCGAACCAAAAGTTTTGAAATCATCTAACCCCTACTAATATGGCTATGAGAGTGAAATGAGATGACCCTATTTCACACTGTTTACTTGCTATAAAAAACAATAATTGATCTTAAGCAACAATTTTTATTTATATCCCGTCCTGGTGCAGTTGTTTCAAAAAGTCAATGATCACTGGCGGTTAAATAATTTTGAACAATAAGATGTTGCCGCTTAATATCAAACTTGATTTTATGTCATGGACATTAATAAAGTTTCACCAACTTGAGCAAGTGTTTTTAATGTTGATGTTTAATTCTATTGAATAGAATTATGATAAATTCCATTATATGTCAAAGTAATAAAAGGGAAATATATCTGTGGTTAGTGAGTCATTTTCATGTGTTATATGATTTGACTTGGCCTGGATTTTGAATATAGTATGGCAGATCTATGGACCTTGAGAGGCCCTAAATTTAGTCAAGAATGAAGGCATAATTCTCATAGTTACATAACTGATGTATAACATGTACTTTTATCAGGGGGCGGGCCTGAAAATCAAAAGGAAGGGGGGCAAGTATGGAAAATGTGGGCCTGAAAAATAGGCCTAAAATTAAAAAATAAAGCCAAATAAATGCAAGTTTGTGACCTATATTGCCCAATTTATTATGGGAGAAGCTCACCTACTTTTCTTTACTCCCAAACAAATGCTTCACTGGGCATTTTTTAAAAATGTATTTCATAAACTTGTATGATTTTTACATTACACATCCTAGGTATTTCAGCTCTTTCAACAGATATTTTTTATTTATCTTACAAATGATACAATTATGACTGTCAATACCAAATCTCCTTTATTAAAGATTTAACAACTATCAGCAACATTTATATGTTGATGAATAATATATTAGCAAATGTTAAAACTGTTCATTTAAATTCCAAAAGGACTCCATATACAGTAAAACCTGTCTTAGTGAAAACCTTCCTCTAGTGAACACCTGTGTAAGTGAACACCAATTTAAGATGCATTTTACAATTGGCCCATGTATAAAGTTTCATCTGTAGTGAACACCTACCTACAGTGAACACCTCTTTGTAGATCCATAGGTGTTTACTATATACAGGTTTTACTGTATTCATAATTTGTTTCAAATGAAAAAGACATGTTTATACTCATATATCACTAATTTTTAAATTAATAGCTGTTAAAATGAGCTTCTGGACTTCGAACAGTAATTTAAAAAAAAATTATAATGATCCATAACTTGGCCATCAATAGATAAGAAATCAAAGCTGGAAAAAGATTTATTGTTACAATTGTACAAATCTTCAGTTACAGATCATTTAAAATTAAAAACATTTTGAGGTGATTTAGGGTCAGATTTACAGGTATATTAAGGTGAATGGCACTGACTGCAGTGGCGTAACCAGGAAGAAAAATGACGAGGCGAAAAATATTAGTCTACTTCATCCTGGCTACACTACAGGACTGAACATTTGACAAATTACTGAACTTTAGTAAAAGGTATAAAAATATAAAATAGATTATATCTTTTTCCAGCACCCAATCAGATGAAATTCAGCTTCCCGTTGGTTTGACGTGCAGTAATTGTTCTCTGAGGCTATTGAGGCAAGCCTTAGAATGGGGGTCTGGCTATACTTTCTGGTCCTGCGCTGACCTAAACATCATGAGCACTGCTGAAGGTATGCATAAAACAACATGACAAAAATTGTATTCTTGCAACGTTAGCCTTTATTATACAATGTACTGCACTATACAATATCCTCATGACATATGTAATTATCCCAATGAACGAAGTTCAGTAGGGATTATAATGAAGCCCTCCGTCCGTCTGTCCATCAGTCCGTCAGTCAGTCAGTACGTCCGTCCGTCCATCTGTCCAGAACATAACTCCAATACTGGTTGACAGATTTTCTTCATATTTGGTGGAAAGATGTATATTAGTGAATGGTTTTACGCAAAAAAAAAGTTCAAAAATGGTGCGAATTTTTTGCAAAAGTCTTATGTTTTTCATTTTAAACAAAAAAATAATGAATATTATTATTTGAAATTTTAGTAGTATATTCACAAGATCTATCTATTTCACATATACTCCGTGTTTTTCACCCTGACCCCCAGATGCCGTGAATGGGGGGGGGTTGAAAAACAGGAATTTGCATTAATTTTGAGATGTTTTTGAAGTACAGCTTCATTATGCTCAAATGAAAGGCAATTTAGAGTACATTGCAAATATTGTATCGTTTTTCTGATTCGGGCCTCGTAAATTCAAAATGGCCGCCTAATGTGGGATTTCGCAATTATTATTTGATCTCTTAAAGTATGGCTATATTATACTCAAATTGAAGGAATTTCAGAGTAGATCACAATTATGGTATTGTTTTTCTGATTTGTGCCTCTGAAAATTCAAAATGCCTGCTTGAGCAGGAATTCGCCATTACTTAAAGTTATCTTGAAAGTATGGTAAAATTACACTACAATGATCTCAAATATTTATTGAAGGGAAGAGTAGATGTACATCCTGACTGTACAGATTCATGATTTATATAGTGTTCATTGGGATTTGCTACTCTGTGGAGTTGCCATTCTCTAGTTGTAATAAAACCATGTTGAAATGGTCCATGGCCATACCATGGTATACCATGGTATGACCATGGTATACCATGGTATATGGCCATGAAATGCAATGAAATACCATGGTAATACCATGGTTGATCATGAACGTTAAATGGCACCATTGCATTTCATTGTTAACAGTGCGTTTTTAACATGGAGTTTTCCATTGAAAAAATACTGCCGTTTCGCAGTATTTCATGGTCAGAAACCATCAAATGCAATGATATCATGGTCAAGTTCTGGGCCATGATATCATTACATTTGATGGTTTCTTGACCATGATATCATTGCATTTGATGGTTTCTGACCATGAAATACTGTGAAACGGCAGTATTTTTTCAATGGGAAACTCCATGTTAAAAAAACGCTCCTGACCATGAAATGCAATGGTGCCATTTAACGATCATGATATACCATGGTATACCATGGTCAATTAACATGTAATTTTGTATCTAAAAAATACCACCGTTTCACAGTATTTCATGGTCAAATACCATCAAATGCAGTGATATCATGGTCTAGACATTTAACCATGATATGCAATGGAGCCATTTAATTATCACGATATACTATGGTATATTGTTGAAACTATACTTAAAATTTTGCATTTAAAAATACTGCTATTTTGCAGTATTTCATGGTTGCAAACCATCAAATGCAATGAAGTACAGTCAAGATGTTTAATCGAAGACTGGAGGTTTGACTTACAAAATATTAAGTTGATCTCCTTAAATTTAACCGACAACAGTCAAACAAAAGTAAAGCATATTTGTTTAACAAAAAAAAAATTGTTTCTAGGGTTATTAACTTAATTATTCATAATAGAAATTAATTTATTAAATAAAGGAACAAAAGTATATAAAGTTGTAATTTTGATGAATATCAGAATCACTAATTATAATAATTTGGTTATCTAATCAACATTTATTAATAAAGATATTTCATGTAAAAAATACTTTTTGAACATGGCCTTTCATTGTATTTCACTGCATTGCAAGAAAGACCATTGCATTTCATTGCATATCATGATCAATCATTGTATTTCATTGCATTTCATGGTTAAACGTGGTATTTCATTGCATTTCATGATCCATTTCAACTCTGACCAATTTTAGACTTGAGACTCTTGTAGAGTTCTTTTTAGCAATGAAATACCATGGTATAACTATGGTGTTAGATGGTCAGGTTTGACAATGAAATGCTATGAAATACAATCAACCACGAAATGCAATGATATGCCATGATAAATGATAGTTATGATTATGGCAATGAAATACCATGGTGTGACCATAGTATTTGATGGTCAGGTTTGACAATAAAATGCCATGAAATACCACCAACCATGAAATGCAATGATAAAACCATGATAAATGAGAGTTATGATTTTGGCAATGAAATGACATGGTATGATCATGGTAATTGATTGTCACACGGTACAATGAAATGCCATGAAATGTCAACAACCATGATATATAATGGTAATACCATGGTAAATGATGGTCAGGTACATAACAATAAAATATCATGGAATGACCATGACATTTGATTGTCAAATTGTACAATGAAATACCATCAACCATGATATACAATGGTAATACCATGGTAAATGATGGTCAGGAACATGGCAATGAAATACCATGGTATGACCATGGTATTTGATTGTCACATCTTATAATGAAATGCCATCAACCATGATATATAATGGTAAATTATGGTCAGGAACATGGCATTGAAATACCATGGTATTTGATTGTCACATCTTACAATGAAATGCCATGAAATGCAATCAACCATGATATACCATTGTAATACCATGTTAAATGATGGTCAGGAACATGGCAATGAAATACCATGGTATTTGATGGCAAACTTTAGACATGAAATACCATGAAACATGGTATAACATGATATACCATGGTATACCATGGTCAAAAATTGACCAAAAAAACATCATTGCCACCATGGTCAGAGTTGATGGTAATTTCATTGCCGATCATGATAGACCATGGTAAACCATGGTATACCATGGTATCATGGTTTACGTTTAAACATGGAATTGATGTATACAGTGGTATATAGATTTTTTAAGTTAGTCTTTTTAATGTGTCAGTGTAAAATCTCCAAATTCCTTAATATAAGTAATATTTTCTTATATCAAAAAGTGGTTTCTTAATACCCAAGGACATTGCTTTACATTTATATCAATAACTTGTATGAATGAAATTGAGATGTATTCGCAATGATTAGTTTTTGCTCTTTAGATAATGTTAAAATAAGTGTGTGAACTATAGATTCGAGGGAATGTACATGAATTTAATTTCTGAATTTTTCTATGTATTTAAGTGTGCATACTACCTCTTTCAAAGTTAATAATAAAAAAAAGTAAAATTATTCTGCTATGATGAGCTTTACACATCATTGTAGTTGTATGGAAGTTTGATTATTTTAAAATAATTTTATTGATTTTATGATTACCTTGGACAAATAAACTACTTTTAGAAATATTTTGATTTCCGTGTCCTGGCTATAATGTTATTTGCATTAAATCATGTGAAAATACTTGGGGCTCTCCACACTAGACTTTTAGACTGTGGGGCTGCACCACAGTCTCTTAAGATTCTACCACAACCTATTGGCAAATCATGATTGTTTCCACAGTTTTAACTTAATACACAATAATAGCATGTAAAAAGGATAAAATATTTACATAAATATGATTTATCACGATTAAATGGTTATGCTGGAGTTGTTTCCACCACACCCTGAATGTTTCCTGGTGAGAGCCCTGTTTTTATACCTCATTTGCCTGTATGATTAGGGGTTGGGGAAATAAATAAGACTCTATTGCCTCTAATTCATCAAACAGCCAGATATCATTGAAAATCTTATCATGATCATCAATTATTACTATTCATTATATAGTAATTAAGCCTTTATAAATCATGATTAATGCTGCTCCAAGGACATTTAGCCTCTAATATATTTGATGCTGTTATATTTTATAAATAAGTAATGTTTTGACCTATTTTTAATGGACCTTGCTTCGGACATAGGACAATTATTCAAGGTGTCCATTTTAAAATGGGATGAGATGGAGACATGATATTTTAAGAACTACTGCATCTGATAATTTTTTAAGTTAAAAGCTATAAATGATTCTTATAAAATCCCACAAACCATGTAAAAAAGTAACATTTTTATGTCAGCATCTCAAGTGGTGACAGGGTGTTATAGTCTTCAGCTTTATTGTGGTTGGTGTTTGGTGGTTGATGTTTTCCGGTCATCATTCAATGTTTGTAATAAATGGCAGGTTGTAACATTTTGCATATTTTTTCAGCCATATCATCGACTATATTTTCATTACAGAAATTACAATTTAGGGTTTATTTTATTTTCATTTTGAAAAATTTCTCATTTGTTATGACAGTATATTCTTTGTTGTTTTCATGACTGTGTGTACTAAACACTAATAAAAGTATTCATGTACAGTCATCTGTATCATCTTTCAAAAAACTGTTTATAGTGGGTTTTACAAATAAATTCTCACGGCATGGACTCACTTTTACACATGAGCCTTTAGCTCCAGATTTCATTAATTGTATAAGTGTGTTTTGAGATTCTCACACCAATTCTGTTACACTCAGACCAAGTTCAATCATTACCAGTTAACACATAACAAGACATTTTTAGAAGAATTCAAAAACAAACTCTAATATGATCAAAAAGGATTTGTTATTGGTATTGCATGTATTATATTGTTGTTATTAGATAACGGTACAACGGTATAGAGTGTTCTTTCTCGATATAAGTGCTTCGTACAAATGGAGACACATATCATAAGTAAAATTGATGGAGTATATTTATGAAAAGATCTTTGTTTAAATAATTCATGGTTGGCTTTACAGTCTGAGAATGTTTTGTTTGATTGATTTCCCTTGGTTCAACTTTCAATCTAACTAATGTTACCCTTATTGTTGATGGATTTCATTTTGTGTTAATCATATTATCTTCTGCTGTAAATGTGTTTGTGTGTACCCCGGGTGTGCACTGTGTATCTAGAATGCCAATATGAACTTTGATACTACCAGGGTATATATAATATATACCCAACAGGGAAGAATACTAATTTTATCTTATTGGGAGTCATGGAACTGAGCAGAATTAAACTAGGTCAGATCTGCACACTTTGTTATTTATTCTATCAAAAAACAGCGAATGATGTATGTTTCGCTCTAGTAGGTTTATGATTTTACTTTTAAAGGAATATAAATGTAATAGCGTTCAATAGACATATAAACAGTATTTTACCATTCTCTTGCCTTGAATTAAATGAAAGCATGCGTATATATATTTTTAAATATATAATATCCCAAACATTATTGACAATATATCCAAGTGAGTAAATACTGGGAGCTCATCATCTTTACACAGAGTTTGATGTGCCACCAACCTATAGACCACTTGGCCATTTAGTCTGCAAACCTGCAAAGTTGGGGAACAAATATAGAAAATGAATCAAAAATAATGGTGAGGGTCTGAAAGGGCGTATTGTTTGTTTGTAGATGTACCATATGATGAAAAGTGTTCCAGTAAAGGTGCTTATGTGAATGAAACATGTATTTGTGACACTTTATACACTGGGGATAAGTGTCAATACAAAGGTAATGGCTTTAGATTGTTGTAAATGATTTTCTCAAGAATAAAAGCAGACAATTGAAATCCTCAATTTTTTTTTACTATATTCACCATCTATCAAGTCTAAAGCCTAATTTAATGCCCTGATTATCCTTACACCTATTGTAAAATACGTTGACAGGTAGATATGAAATGAAATTAAAGGGTTCCGAGTCCCTACCTATTTGTGAAAATATACCAAAATAATTTCAAAACATGCATTATTTTATGGAAATATTATATTTTGAGAAATTGCCTACTAAGCATTCGCATTCGGGGGTGTATGGAGCCAGAGTTTTTATTGACTTCACAACAATTATTTTATACACTTGCTTTTTTGAAGATGAATGTGAAGAAGACAGCCACTGTGGGGGTCATGGAAGATGCATCAACATTGATGCCACCTCCTACCCAAAGAGACAATGTTATTGCCAGCCTGGATGGTTTGGTAGATCCTGTCAGAGAAGTAAGATAGGAATTTATCTTCATATATATTTCTTATAAATTGAGACAGCAGTATTTGTAATATATAGCACACAAAAACTGAAATAAGAATATTTGAATTCAAACATACAAAGTTTTTAACTGCTAATATATTTCTAAAACTATTCTATTAGATTATATGATTTACTAATTTAATATGATTTAATAGTTCATGTATATTTGATTCTTTTTCTTTTTTGCATTTTTTTATTATAATTTTGATTGATATCTGCCTTTAGAGTCCACAGTGCCAAGCATTGAGTTTGACCCAAACTTGTATCAGAGAAAGACTTTAGACCATCTGGGTGAGGTCAATCTGTACTATAGGGTGCTACAGGTAAGGTACACTCTCTCTGAAGAATCATGTAAAAATACATAAAGAAGTAATTTCAATTTGAATACAAGACTTGACTTTAGATAACAAGTTTTGACTTCTGAATGCAAGACTTGACTTCTGAATGTAAACTTTGACCTCTGAATACATGATTCTTGACTGCTGATTGCTGAGACACAGCTGAATATTAATTTGTCTGAGACTTGACACTTGAATGTTATACTTGAAAGCTGAATGCAAGACTATAAAATGAATATTACATACTGTCTTAAACAATTATACATATACAGTAACAAAAGTAAAAATTATAGTAAAAATATCTCATGGTCAGAAAATGTTTGCATGTTAGGATGAAGGTGAAATGGAGATGGTCATTCAAGCCAAGACAACATCATGGGTGGCCCTTGGTTGGAGGCCTCAAGGTAAATCACTAATTATATAAACCAACACATAAATGTATCGAGGTTATATCATATGTACCCAATAACTATATGTTTATATGCTGAAGATGATCCCATGTGTGGATATAACATCACTTGCCTTGTCAATATTCATTAATTTTTCATTTTGCTTTGTGTGTCATGCAATGACAGTCTTGCTATCATCTTTGTTCACCCAGCATCCACAGTGAAGACTGCGCATGCGAAGATCTCTTGATATGGGATTATCAGCCACCTTGAAAAATGAGTGACATTTTAACATTGTGGGATTTTATGTTTTATGAATTATTATTTTGAAAAGAGAGGTGATTTTATTGATATTGAAAATGACATGGCATCGAATTTTTTACTGGCTTCCTAATTTGACAGCCATTTTGAAAAAATGAACCAATATAGCAGCAGTTAATCGTGAACATTGAAAAAACAAATTGTATGAAAATGGCTGCAAGCAATGTACATGTCTGCAGCTAAAGTAGATTGCATTATGACCAGAAGTCACGGTGCCCTATACTTCCCAACGTAAATCGTTCCGGACTTGTTTTTCACAACCATTTCAGTGGCGTAGCCAGCAATTGGTGACCAGGGGTTCGATTTTTTATGTTATCCACAAATCTCCCCTTTCATCGTTGTACCTCACATAAAAGCATTTTTTGTATTTTTCATACATACAATTCATTCTTTAGAGTTTATCTCAGATATGACGAATTCTGAAACATGCTTTTAGCTGAATTTTGAAAAGATTTCAAATCGAAAGATTTTTATTTGCTAATTCATTTTGTTAGGCGCACAGTGACAGATGACAAGTAGTATTGTATTAATGGAATGAAACATAGTCTGAAATTCCAAAAAGACCAAATTGAAATAACAATATATCCACTGCGCTCTGTAGGCTCTAACATTAAACATTTCTTTTAAATTTTGATGCCTTGCAACAAAGAACAACTAATGCTGAAAAACGTATTTGTTCTTTATTTGAATTGAAAATAAAACATTCCATTCTCTATCGCTGTTCCACTGTTTTTTATCATAAATGATGAGAATCATGAACGTTTTGAGGAATGAAAACATTTTAAATGAACTTGTGAATCATTATAAACTTGAATTTGTTTTTGAGAAATGAACATTTTATTAAAGAATGCTGTCAAATCCTTTTTAGACACACAATTTGAAACTTGTGCAAGGCTAATACTATCGTCTTTCTGGCAAAAACACTCCCCTCCAGAAGTTTGGCAACCTTAACTCCCTCCTCTTTATGTTTGAATTTTCATTTACATAACCTGCGAGGATAATACTTATAATATTGATGGAAATGTAACTTGATTTCATTTCCAATGCCACAAATTTTCCCATTTTTTTCTTCTAAATTTGATGAATTTTTGAAAATCGTCTTTCCCACGTAAACCAAGGGGAACCAGTGTGCTTTATATTTAATTAGTAGATAATTAAAAAAAGCGGTAAAATCATTCAAAAGAGGCTTTTCAAAAATATTGTAAAAGGCCATATACTTCTAAAAGAAGAAGAGTCGTGGAAATATCGAGTCCAAGCAAACTATAACCTTGTTATATTTCAACATATTCATCAAAATATTAAACCGTGTTTTGCATGGCAAAATAGTCTTAAGTTTCCAAAATACACGTGGTCACTTGGTAACCTCATTAACCTGGCCACAGATCCAAGTTATAAAATGTATCATTGTAACAGTTGCATAGGAACATCTTTTTTGAGAAACTCATCGACCATCTACCTATAAGTGTGGGTGTAAACCTGTTTAACCTCGCTGATGAAAAACTAACTCACACACTTTTAGGCAGTAGGTAAGAGTTGTTCATGGATGATTTGATGTTTGAGCAATTCATAATAATGTGAAGCGTAAGCCTGTTTGACATTAAAGGTTTCTTCAGGTTTGTTTCACAAGATTCCACGAGTCTTGGGGACTATACTTGAATATACCTTCATCCTAAACAATGTAAATAGAACATCTGAAGAACATTCTTCTGTAAATATGTTGAATCTCTTTTTTATGCTTCTAACCTTTGTAAATTATGTAATTTAATTTGATGTACATTTTTATGCTCTCCCAAACATGGAGGAAATAAAGAAACTTAAACATTGGTACACCACGTGATTTCTTTAGTATTTTTTATTCTGAACTTTTTCCCTTAACTGTGACAATAAAATACTCATTCGAAATAATAAATCTAGACTTTTTTTTTGATTTTTTTTTAAAAATTTATTCAATTTAACTTTTAACATATGTACAAATACATGAATAATACAGTTCAATTATAAAACAAATTGAACTAAAAATAGTATGAAATGCCTAGCGAAGAATGAAGCATGATTACAATTTGAATGTTCATATACATTAGCGAAAAATACAATGTTGCAAGCTTCAGATTTATATAGAGATCAGCCTTTTCCGAGAAAGCTATCCAGTTTGAATAAACAGTGTAAGCAACAATAGTCAATAATAAGTCTCTGAACATTGAGATCTTGTTTTCATGGATTTTTATATTCCCCAGTACAATGTCCTGCCATCTGATATTAAGTTTTAGTATTTTTTCAATTTTCTCCCATATTGGTTTTATTAATTCACAGTCAAAATCTGTAATGATTTTATGATTCAACATTGACAAGTATCTCTTAATACGTTTAATTAATGATAATCATTTAGATAGTATCACTCAGACAACTTCTTCCACTGTCCTCATCCACTGTGATGATTTTTTGGAAATATATAATGTTTATGGAGTTGTTAGACACTTCCAAATGGTTTAACCTCAATTTGTTCTACAAGTCAGAATCGTTCCAATAACAAGTCAACATCATTAACTGGAATATTTTGGTCACGTCCAAATGGTTAAATTTGAATATAGATTCTTTCGACAATTGCTACTTATTTAGACTCTTTTAAATTGTGATTTACATTCACAATATGGCTACTTTCATTATGAATCTGCGTATTCATCGGATACAAGACAGGCTGGGGATTTTCAGGCAAAATAGGTGAAAACACTGACAGAATCGCTCACTTCCCGAAATAACAAGACTATAGCAAACGGTTTGTACGAATAACACGTGTGCGGTTGCCTGACGTTAGGATATATGGTATGGTAAGTTATTTAAATCCAATATATTTACATAGAGTCAAGTGAAAGCAATTTCATAACCAAATTTACGAACCTACCTCTACACTTTTCCATATATCGAGTCCAAATTATTGTGGAAAACAAGTCCGGAACAATTTACGTTGGGTAGTATTGGACACCGTGGAAGTGGTGACATATTGTTATGGTCTCCACTTTTTTTCTGGATGGTGTTTTCCAGTTGGTGTTTGTCAGTCGGTGTTAAGCATCTGTCATCTGTAACAAATGGCAGGTGGTGCCATTTTGCATGTTTATGCCTTGTTGAGATATGCTACACCCTGGTAATGCTGTTTCAAAACTTAGTTTTGCAACAATTTTTCTCTTCCAGGAATTGATTCTACATGTCTGAACTTCCCAGTAGAAGGTGTTGTAAGTGTCCCAGAACCTGAACCTGAACCTACAAATCCCACTACTAGGGACCCGACCCTCCCACTGCCTCTCCCCTGTACAGGAAGTTTCATGGTTGACTGTATCAAATCAGGTGGTACCTGTGGTTTCTACAAAGCATGTTGGACATATAATGATGCTGCAGAAAGCATCACTTTCACTCTTAGTTCTAATATTACCAATAAGTACCTTGCAATTGGACTTAGTAAAAACAGACTCATGTTTGACTCTGATATGTACATAGGCTGGATGATGGACAAAAATGTTGTCATATCAGATCGCTATAATCCAGAAAATTCAAAGAGAAGGCCAAAAAAAGACGAGCAACAAGATGTGAGCAACTTAAAAGGTTCAATTGAAGATGGAATTGTGACACTTCAGTTTAGTAGAGCTCTAGAGACAAATGACAGCAATGATTTCATTCTAGGGGGTGACAACTGTTATCATTTGCTCTATGCAATGGGGGCTCTAGGCAGTGGAGATATCAGTTGGCATGGAGGAAATAAAGGATCAACTCCCGAAATGATATGCCTGACCCAGGAGTCTGTACCCACTACAATTGAACCCCCTACAACCCAATCCCCAACAACTGATCCCCCTACAACCCAATCCCCAACAAATGATTCCCCTACAACCCAATCCCCTACAACTGATCTCCCTACAACCCAATCCCCAAAAACTAATTCCCCAACAACTGATCCCCCTACAACCCAATCCCCAATAAATGATTCCCCTACAACCCAATCCCCAACAACTGATCTCCCTACAACCCAATCCCCAAAAACTAATTCCCCTACAACTGAATCCCCTACAACCCAATCCCCAACAGCTCATTACCGTACAACTGAACCCCCTACAACCCAATCCTCAAGAACTGATTCCCCTACAACTGAATCCCCAACAACTGATCCCGCAACTACCCAATCCCCAACAACTGATCCCCCTACTACCCAATCCCGAACAACTGATCCCCCTACTACCCAATCCCCAACAACTGATCCCCGTACAACTGAACCCCCTACAACCCAATCCCCAACAACTGATCCCCCTACAACATCTGCATCCCAAACCTGCAGAGATGAGTTCACCCATAATTGTAACTCAGATAACACTCGGTGTACATATCACCTGCAGTGGGAATGGAATCAGGAAACAGATGACATACTGTTCACCCTGAGGTCAACAACTCCTGACAGATGGGTTTCCGTAGGCTTTAGTAATGACAAACTCATGCCCAACACTGACATTTATATTGGTTGGCTGGACAATGGTATCCCAGTTGTCACTGACAGATATGCATCATCGAGGAGTGAACCCCAATTGGATAGCTCCCAGGATATTGGAGTTGGTGATGGGGGCTTGCAAAATGGGGTCATGACTCTAAGGTTCAACCGTAGTAGGAACACTGGTGACAGTAATGACTTTGACTTCACTACTGGCTGCTATTATTTCCTCTATGCCTGGGGTGGGAGTGTAACAGGCAGTGGTACTTCAGCAACCACTGGCTATCATATTTCTAACAGGCGTTCATCTGTTAATAAACAATGCATAGATAGTACTATATGTGAGACAGTTAGGAAGAAACGACATGCAGATGATCACACTACTCATGATGACATCGGTGGTTCTCCAGAGCCTGAACCAGAACCTGAACCAACAGGCAAGTCTTACATTAAAATAGTATAGCATAGAATATATAGCTTACTCTAGCGGGCAAGCCTTGCACTACTAGATACCTAAGTCTTGCTTCAAATTTCTGGACATCCCCCTTTTTCTACTTCACTACTTGTGGGGGGTATGTGGTTGGGGTCACAAGGGCATGTAGCTAGATATTACTAAATGCAGCACATCTTATACTAGTATTTAACTTAAAGTATCGTAATTCACACATAACAAGCCTTTTATATTTTTTAGCAGGCTAGCTTTACATTTAGCAGTTTAAGCACATTTGGGCAAATAAATAATACATTTTCTGATTAATAAAATCAATATTTAAGTGTGTTGTACTGGAAGTGTGGTCATTGACGCACACACATGGTCGATTCACTTCATTTATTAAATGTTTCTTAAAAATCTTCAAATGTTTAACATGTTGAGTTCACCTCTTCATAGAAGTAACATTATCAGTGTTTTCTCAACTCGAAAACTTATTTCTCGTTGATATAAAGATGTTATGATGAAAAGGATTGTATAACACTTTCAATTCTTAGAAGAGGTTTTAAACCATGCAATCATCTCTAAAGCCAGAAAAGGATTTCTTAATAATCTTATTGTCTCTGTGGTTCAATGTTCCTTTAAGTCTTGGAGTTATTAAGGATGTCTTAAACATTTCTTTCAAATCTTAAAATTAGCAACAAGTCTCATTTAAGAAATATCAAGGTAGACTAAGGTTCATGTTTTCCAAGTTTTACATGAAGCAAAGCAAGTGGCTAAGTAAAGAATTTTACTGCATATTTAGAGGATAAAGATAGCATGTCAGTGATCTACCCAGGATTTTTTCTCAGGTAGGTGCAAAATTCTCATTTTCACAGTTCAGACCAAATTGGTCAAAACATGCCAATTTTCACAATTTTTCTCTTTTTCAAGTGGGTGCAAATGGATTTTCAGGTGGGTGCAAGCCTATTTTCAAAATCTCAGGTGAGTCCACTTGATTTAATGATGGGGAGATCACTGCACGTTATACATTTAGCCAATGCATTTTACATTTAGCAAGTCTATCATTTAGTTAGCAAGTTGTTCTTTCTCTATTGTGAAAGCATATTGGGTTGTACATGATACTGATGATTTAATTATTTTTGCATTTAGATGCTGTAGAGTTACATCCCATGGACTGCACAGATCTTGTGGTTGGTACAGCTCGGGGGATTCTCAGTCGTGTGGGTGACTACTATACCAGGGACCGCTCTACCCCCAGATTTGATGCCATCTATGGGGGTACTGAGAGCCTAACGGGAGCTGTAGGGGCAGAGGTTGATGGATGGACAACCATTAAAATAAGAAAAAAAATCAAAGGTAAAATTTGATATACCAGTACTTATGAGAGATTGTTTCAGTCTTTTTCATCAGTAGCCTAGTCAATCATTATTGGCATTACATGTACATTGCAAGACACGGGCTATTGCATATGAAGGATGTCATATAACAAATCGGCCTCCATGTGCAAACAACCAAGCAAACAAACAATAGCACACCCATAGATCCAACAGTTTTTGTTTACTAACAGCTAGTGAGCAAGCAGACCACAGTCTAGAGGCAGGGGCCATGCATGTCATCTGGGCCAGGGGTCAGGAGACAGACTCCTACAGGCACTATCCAAAGACTGAACTGGACCTTGGGAACGCTTCTGATCTAGGGTTCTATCGAGATGATGAGTTAAAGTACCATGGACGCCAGTCTTCTGGTCACTCGAATAAACAACGTGGTATTGTAACATTGGATTTCCATGGTAAGTTGACACACTTTATGTGCATGTCCTGAGATCACACCTTTAGAAAACAGATAAATAAAGTCCTTGTGACACTTATGGAAAAATAAACTTATTTGTGGATTGCATGAGTTTTATTGCACATAGCGGTTATTGTACTTACCAATTACTGTAAATGTGGCCACCTTAATTTACCCGGACTGCCCATAAGCTAAGTACTTTGAAATTTTCATTCAGAAACTGATCTGTCAACTGGTTTGCCACAAAACATGTAGACAAGACTTTTGAGAAGAGAAGATTTAAGGCCAGAAAATGGAAAATAGCCACCTTAAATTTACCCAGAATGTGGGTAAACTAATCAGTTCAAGATTTTCATACAAAGAATCATCTCTAAAAATTTGAAATTGATCCGTCAAACAGTTAACCTGAAAACACGTAGACAAGACTTTACAAGATTTACAAGATTTTAGGATGGAAAATCCAAAATGGTGCCAATGCTGACAACATAAAAATGAAAAGCTTCACTTCCCAATCCTTATTTCAGCCCATAGAAACTTTGCTACATGTTCAGGGCCTTTGTATGCACACCCCTCAGGTTGCCAGGGTAATGAATGTGACTACCATGCCTCATTTACATATGACAAATACACAGAAAGTGTTACATTCATTGTAAAGGGAAAAAATAGTGGAGACAGATGGATCGGAATAGGATTCTCCAGTAACAATATAATGGTAGGTTTCCAGAGAATCATGCTTATCAAAATGTATCAGGAAGGCTCATAAAAACAAAAACTTTGATGAAAAATGTTGATGCTCGGCTAGCTTCATATATGACAAAAAATTTTAATGTTACATATGACTGTACAGGGTGTCAAATAGATATGTTCTTTATGAACTATTGTGCATAAAAGTGCATCGAGTTGAGCTAGTCATCTGAAACTTTCTTTGAGTTTCTCCCAGAAACCTAGTTTCAGTGTGCCAAAGCACAATTCAGATATCAAGCAGACAAAAAAGTTATGCAACATTATGTGGATGTTAAAGCTAAGGGAGGAGAACATTTTTATTTGACACCCTGTAGATATCACTTGCTTAATTTCTACATTCTTTAGAAAATATTTTTTTATACAAATCAGATCATAAAAAAATATCTCATCTATGATTTTGTTTCATGTGTACTTTGTAAAGTGATAACCAATATTATCCCATGATACTACTTTTTCCCAATTCACCTCCCAATCCCGCTCATGAAAATTGTAGTCACCAACTGGGAATTTTTGATAAACAAAGCTTCCTATTTCGTTCAGTTGGGTTGATAGAGCGTGGTATAATGATGTTCTTATGTGAGGAAGATCATTTTACCATGAAGTTCAAAATAGAGATTTCGAAAAGTAAGGAGAAAGAAGCTATAAAAGCCTATTAACGAATAGAAGGTGAATTGTAAAATATGGATTATTCCTCGTGACAATATCATATTGTCCCTCGGAATAAAGTTTCAATAAACCCATATTGAATCCCTCTCAGTAAATAACCTCTATATACAACCTTATAAATAACATATGCTTTAATACACAGCCTGGCAGTGACATAGTCTTGGGATGGACGAGTGATGCTACTGCTGTTGTGAAAGACATGTAAGTACAAATAGATACAGTTACCTGGGAGCGTCAATATTATGTTAAAAGTCCAAATATATTTAAACTGAAGTACATGTTTAGAAAGTATACGTAGACCTTATCTTTTGTTAAAGTCCTTTCATAAAATGAACATTTTGAGTTAACCACTTATAATATTGGCTACTGGCAAATGTCAAGGCTGATGAAACAATGGGCAAAGCCTGATTGTTGGACAATGAAGGTGTTAGAAACACTCTGACAAACCATGTCATACCATACCAAACAAAACAACATTGCACTGCACCATATCACTATACATATCCTCCCATACCATCCCATACAAAACTGTGACATGTCCTACCATACTCTACTATACCAAACAACATCACACAATGCCATGGTTTTGTATAATATGATTGGTATGGTGTTGTATGGCATAGCATGGTGTGGTTTAGTGTGATATGGTTTAGTATGGGATGGTATGGTGATATGGTATGGAATTGTGTGGTATCATGTTTAGTATGGTATGGGATGATATATAATATTTTGGTGATGTGGTATGGTATTGTTTGGTATAGTATTGAATGGTATGGCATGGCACAGTTTTGTATGGTATGGTATTGTTTGGTTTGGTTTGGTGTGGTTGTAATGGTGCAGTATTTTGTAGTTTTGTTTGGTATTGTGTATACAAGGTATATTATGTTGTGTAGTTTGTGATATATAACGGTATGATATCTTATTTCATTTACTTATAAAAAAAGAATCAAATGATTGTTATAGCTGGATTGCATACTATATCTAGTACTGTATAATCCACATTTACTTAAAGATAATACAAACATCAAGCTCATTTTGTCAGAAATAGAATTTATCCCTCCAAATGTAAATTAAGGTGGGCCAGTTCATGGAACACTCCAAAAGAAGATGCTGAACAAAACCTGGCCTCTCCCTCTATCAGTACCAATGATGGCTTCACCACTATGACTTTCACCCGCAATATAAGGCCATCTGATGACTCAGAGGATACCTCATTGGAAGGATGTGTCTATATGCTATATCCTCTATCAGGAGGACCTGTCACCAATGGGAAGATTGGGCATCATGACCAGGTCCCCATTATCTCACATAAGACGATTTGTATTTACCAACAGTGCCACATAACATGTAAGTATAATATCGAAACAGGTATTTTGTAAGTTGATGACCAAATATGTACATACTAATGCTTTATTGTATCCACCCATGAAACATATAGCGACCTATTTGATCATATTAACTCAAACCTAGTTCACATCGACTTTTGATGATTTAAAGGGAAATATCAATAGGTTATATCCAACTACATTGGCTGTGTATGTACAGTGTAAACACGAGTCTCCATTTCTATTACAGCGATCATAACAATAGGCATTGAGATTCATATAACAAACTTGCAGTACAGTAATGACTATAAAGACTTGAAATCGGACAGAAGTAAAAGTCTTACTAATTTATTAAAGGAAGAGGTAAGATAAGAAATGAATTATTATCTATATATTCAGTACAGTATATGTTAGTCGAGCTCTAAATTAGATAGAAATAAAGTGGTTTAAACTTCACATAGGACCTCTAAAAGTTTGTTGATATCTGCTGTATGTCTCCCTTTTAAAACTAACGAAACTTTGATAGGTTCAACGATCAGATATTTGTCAATTGTACATTGTTATGTCATCATCACTAGAGATGACATAGAGTTATGGTCTCCAACTTTTTTGTTGATGGTGTTCGGTGGTTGGCGTTTGGTGGGATTCAGTGGATGGCATTCGGCATCTGTAACAAATGACAGGTGGTGATATTTTTGCATGGTAATGTCTCATTAAACCCATTGTTTTGTGACTAGTGCTCAGAGTTTGGCATTCAGTGGTATTTCGGAAATGAATTGTTACATTTTTTGTAAGGATTTGCAATAACTTGGTACTTAATAACAGGTGGGGTCATTTTAATGCCTCGTTTCATATACATATGTATGTTGATGTTATAATTAAGGATTGTTTTTAAGTACAAATCAGATATGCATAATAAACATACCTATATTGCTTTCTCTAATAAGAAATCAATAAACGTTTTCAAATAATTGAATAACTTTAACTAGTGTACATTTACATATAATTTGTAGGTTTATTTTGTGAAGGTTTTTGTGAAAATGTTTATTGAAATGCACGTACAATTTATAATAGAAGTGAACTGACAGATCGTTACGCAAAAATATAAACAGGTTTCCAGTGCAACTTTAATCTACATGTAATTGCGTTTCACTCATTGCATGCTTCATTAATATTCAAAGGGAATACTATATGTAAAATAAATTACAGTACATACATGTTTTACAGCCTAATAGCCTTAGAATCAATTTTATATTTGACAGGCAAATAAATTCTTCGCGGACAAAGATGGATATAAGGAAATTGTAATTAAGTATTACAGGTAAGTTATCTCTTGCTTACTTAATAAATGTCTATAGCTGGTATTTTTAGACGATGTATTCCATGTTTAATGGAGATATAGCTTCTATTGTATTTTGTGTGTTAAAGTTGAGTATGAATTACATATTTTTAAATGTAAATGTGATATCCATCGATATGATTTATATCTCCCTATATTTTGAATTTCCCATGAATTTATCTTACATTTGAGATGCCTTATTTGTCTCTTCTCATAAATGACTATTCTCCCATTTAATATCTCACATTTTTGACACTTGACTCAGATATATGTTTCTCCCCACAAAATGAAGAGTGTTTCTCCAAAAACCATGAAATATCTTCTCAATACCAAATAAATATTGGACATGCTTAATATATCCCATGCTTTTAAGTGTTAATTTCAATCCACTCTCTGCATGAGAGGGCATAAAATCAATATTAACAAATAGAATTAATATCTAAGGTATACATGTATGTCATCATTCAGATACTATAACATTAATCATGGGATATGGAATTTAGAGGATCTCTAGTTAAAGTTGCAGGAAGTAACCATATCATGGGATATGCTTCATATTTACTTAGTTTTCTCATGAGTCAACTGAACTGATTTTTAAACAAACATTTATATGGTAATACTTGTATTTTCCTTGAAAAAAGATAGCATAGGCTAGGCATTCATATAATCTTTGTTTATATGTATTATGTGAATCAAAAATTGCTTATTTTAGGTTATTTCCTGACACCACAGAGGATTTAGCTCAGAATTTTAAATCTCAGTAGGATTTTAATTTGATATTGGAAATCTGATCCCATTCTTTGTTAGTATTATGAAAAGGAGTAAATACATGTAAGGAGATTATAAAAATTGGAATGTGATTTTATCCAAAATGCAAAGGAATTTAAATTGTATTGTACATAAAATGTACTTTTGACATCTGTGCTATTTTATTTATATATGGCTGAAGTGGGGTCAACCCAGTTGTCCGAAACCCAGTTGTCCGAAACCCAGTTGTCCGAAACCCAGTTGTCCGAAACCCAGTTGTCCGAAACCCAGTTGTCCGAAACCCAGTTGTCCGAAACCCAGTTGTCCGAAACCCAGTTTTCCGAAACCCATTTTTCCGAAACCCAGTTCTCCGAAACCCAGTTCTCCGAAAATTAAAAAATTAAATTTCTTAGTAACGAATCTTGTCGCAACCTCGCGAATCAGGACAGCATAACATTGGTATCACGTTGACATCGGTTAGCCCGGTCAATAATGGGTCCGAAAGTTCACGATCATATATATATTCTTACTAGATTCTCGGCACATAGACTTATATGGACATTCTACAAATTTTGAACCGCATTGTCCAGCACGAATCGCACTCCTTCTTGGTGAAAATTCAAGACTGCCGCCAACATTTTAGACAATTATCACAGTCGAAGAGAATATTCTGGCGAAAGGAACATCTATCTCATTAGAATAACGTATGGACGTCCGTGACAATTATATTCATTTGATGATTTTTTTCATTCCCTTTTCTCAATAAAATATGGTTAAATATGTTTTCCAATATCAATTGATAATATTTCTACCCTGAAAAATATCTAAAAAGAAGATTTTGGTTGTTCAGTACCACCCACTGTTAAGATTTCGTCCAAATTTTCGATAAATCAATAAAATATGCTCATTTCGTATAACTTATATATGTGGCATTATACATATCAGATGTCTATCCTTTTTTCATCATAATATAAGAGGTTTGTATGTTTTAGTAGAAACGTAGGCTATTCCTTTCCAAACATTTAGATTTAAGAATTTCTCCCATTGGTGATATTGTTCAAAATCAAAACTGTGTTTTGCGATATATTGAACTGTTGAAGTAAGTGTGTAATAGTTTGTAGTAGAGCCAAGATTTGATTTGTATCATGTACGTACCCTGCATAAAAAAAATCCGTTTTTAGTGTGCCATAGATGTCAACCATTAACTATTGCAGAATCAAAAAAAGTTTTGTGAAAAATTAGGATAATGTTTAAAAATTATACACCGGACAATAAATAACTACTCAATGCAGACAGGGAGTTTTAATTGCCCAAAATCTGAGTATCAAAATGCATTTGTATCTCTTTAGTATCTTGCATGACTCGTTCATATGAATTCTTTATTTCTACCTCGTTCCCAATACATTCTGAGACAGTTCAACCTTTGCCCCACGTCCTGTTCGTCGTTAGTACATTGTCACTCGATATAATTGCCACGCGGTCCTAACTTCGACCGTTAATTTGAATTTTTGACGTACCGGATATTTGAAAATCAAGGATTACGAGTCTCATACTGCACCGTTTTTCTTCAAACTTGTTCCATTCAAAGCATGACAAAATCTCTTTCTGATGGTACGTTATTATCTTAAACAGAGTTCCTACTTCCAGCGTAATTTTGGTCCCCAGCTGTAAGAAGGCCTTCTAACAGCTGGGGAGTGCGGACCAAAACGCTGCTAGAACGAGAGACTCTTTACAATAAAGTAATGCACTGACAGAAGTGCAATTTTGTTTTGCTTTTAATGGTATAGTCTAATGGAAGAAAAAAGGTGCAGTATCAGACTCCCAATCCTTGATTTTCAAGCATCTGGTTGGTCAAAAATTCCAATTAACGGTCGAAGACCGCGTGATTGCAGAAAGTGATGACCACGTGGAAATTTTGGAACTACCCTTTCGGGTAGGCAAGTAGACTCCAAACGGTTCTAAGTACTTCCAATCCGTCCATACAGTTTAAGCCCGTTCTCGAGAGCGTAGTGAGAACTAGTTTGGTGTGATAATAGGGTCAGATACTGAAAGTGTAAGCATGGACGACCTCCCACCGTCCAATGAATACAGTGGGTTCAGAATCAGAACGCGTTTCAGACGGCGTTCTGAAACAGCTCACTATAGCGTATTCCTTAAATTTTGGCCTGAATGCTTTGTACGTTGAGAGACGGGACGGGACACGACAAGTGTGACAGCGCCATTAGCATTAGGCGCACGATGGGCACATTTTAACTTGGTATGAGTAGGGGGTAATTTATGAGGATCAATAGGACTCAGTCGGATTCAAAATGCAATTTTTTATTTTATCATTGGTTGCATTTTCTGTTCCTGAAGAATAACGTGGATTGCATATGTGTCCCCGATTTGTGGGAATTACACCCCGTCACATTTCCAACGGCCACCGTGCGGTCTATCATTTCTGCGGCCAATAGCTTTTCCACGCTCGCCGTAGAAATTCTGCGATCTCATACTTTTGCATTCACATTTCCCACGGCAGCCGCCCGGTGAATTTTAAATTTCTGTTGATAAATAATACGTTTTTCATTTTATTTACATCAGGGCAATTTATAAATGTTATTCATAGTGCTAGGATGTAATATCAAATGAAAAGTGATCGTGAAGCTAGTATTTAGCCTAATAAAAACTGTCGAAAGATGAAAATACAGGTGATACAGATCTTCAAATAAACAAAGTTAAATTATGCTATTCTCATTGCAAAGTGGCGTTTACATATTAACATACATAGGGGTCTACAATTTTTAAACCAATTTTCTTTATGCCCCATGGGGCTTTTTGAGAGGGAACAACATTTTTCCAATGTGTGATGGGCGTTCATAAAAGGGAAATAGTTTTCCCAAGCCAGTGGGCATTTATTGAGTAAAGTTGTCGTGTACATCTTTTGAAACCAGAAATTATTCTTCATTTAGGTACTCTGTTCGAGAAATAGAGATTAAATTCAAAAAGATGAAGTGAGTACATCGCGAAAATGAAACTTCTTGCGAATGGGAGAACATCCAATTTGATACGAGGACAGCCTGTCTTCGTTTCCAGTTAATCCCAAGTGATTACGTTTAGAATGTTTTGTTCTTTTACATTTACGATTTGATAAGAGACAGAGACTAAGAAATTAAATGCGACGAAACATTTTGACAACGTAATATGTGTACTGTTTATTCTTAAAGTTTTATGCGTTAACTTATTTTATCGGTTTCAAAATGTTTCATTTTATTTTGCCTATATAAAATATATTGAATAAGATAAGATCAACTGTTCCGTAATATATATTGTGTTTTGATGACCTTTTTTAGAATCACAATGTAAAATAAATCCCCCGTTCCTGTCATTCTGGTAACGCCGTGTAATGGATGCAATTCAAAGTGAGAGAGAGATCTATACATCAGAATGCGTCCATGCCATTGATTTTGCCAAATACATGACATGAAACTGGCTTGAGGTGCGTCCCCCTTTATCTGGTAAATTATGACTAAATTTTTCGGACAACTGGGTTTCGGAGAACTGGGTTTCGGAAAACTGGGTTTCGGACAACTGGGTTTCGGACAACTGGGTTTCGGACAACTGGGTTTCGGACAACTGGGTTTCGGACAACTGGGTTTCGGACAACTGGGGTGCACCCGGCTGAAGTATAAGCACAGTTGTGAACAGTATAAAATGTAACATTTCCTGTATGTTAATTAATGCTGAAATAGGTCCGTGTTAACCTAGCAATCAATGCAGTCAATAGTTTCTTTCACAGTAAAAGTTGACTTCTTAGAAGGTTTTGACAGTCTCAGTGATCGACCCAGTGTTCTTCTGAAATATGAACTGTTTTTTTCGCAGGTCTGAATTAGTAACAGCTTTTAAACCACATGCTTGGGCAGATCTGAAAATCAAGAGGGAGGGGTCCAATTTCTTATTTTGACCAAAGGGGGTGCCTTCCCCCCAGAACTGCTAGTGACATGATACTTGTCAAGGTGATCATGTCCAAAATTCAACAGTTGTAGAATAAAGATTTCAATTTCATTGCGGGAGGGGGTCTATGACACTTTATTTATGCAGAATTGACTTTTTAATTTAAAAAGAAGGCAAATCAACGTTTTTAGATTTCATTATATGGGATAAATGGGGTTAAACCATAATGAAATTAACTTAGTTTGTCAACATTTGCACACCATCCCTAACAATTGAGAATTCAATAACAGCTGCCATTGTAGCAATCAATCTGATCTATGCTACAGTCCAATGCCATTTCTTCCGTAGCAAACGCACTGAAGCAATTAGTAATGCTTACCCATCCTGCGCAGGAGTCTAGTGTATAAGATTATTGACTACTCGTAGATGCTGCTTACATATTATGACACACAATGTTACTTCATACCATAAAGTGCAAACATCATGGTTACGTATTATGGAATGTTCTCACTATTGCATAAAGCTGACAGCAATTGAGTGGCTATACAGAGTATCAATAAGAACATGAAAAATATGGAAAATCATTGGATATGGTTGATGAAATTGGAATATTCATTTCAATTCCAGAAAAAATCAACGAAGGGCATCTAGTTCTAAAAGGATTATATTTGTACTGGATTACCATTGTTGCTATTTGCTATATTTTCAAAGGAAATACTACCACTGTGATTGTATATGGTACACACCTATCCATGCAATACAATACGATACGATACAATACAATAAAATACAATACAATACGTTCTCGTATAAATAGAGTAAGTTCAGTTCAATAATGTTTCTATATCTAGTAATGAACTTTGTTGAAGTATGGTAGCTTTAGATGAGTAATAAAATGGAACAACAAAGCAAGACAATATAATCATTTAACAATCCCCAAGCTGTAATATACATATTTATTGTATGATCTGTAAAATGAAGCCTTCTGATTGGTCAGTTCTTGTGCTGTACCAATCTGTATTGGTACTGAGATTGTCCCCATTGATCATCTCCGTCGCAAAACAGAAAATATTGGTACGGAGGGGACATTTTCAGTAGCAATACAGAGGATCACACGATAAAAACGTTATAGATTTGAAGTGCAAATCCAATACAGAATATTGAGGTCATTCAATAACTTATAGTACAGGGGATAGACAGGGGATAGTTTTATACCGTCTGTTTATGGATAATCATCTCATGTTAAGGATATGTCATCGGTGTTTTAACTACTCAGAATTGAATAGTTGCCATGTACCCTTTGCCAGTTTGCATTTGATTGACTTCAGGATCTCCAATTGGTATAGTCTACTGGCATTTTGCATAATGCCTTGTCTACATTGTATCTACAGGGTGTCCCAAAAGGATTGGACCCCCTAGGCAGACATAGACCAATATCTTCATAGTATGTGTTATATATCATTTTAAAGCATATCCTAAGTTACATTGATTTGCCGAGTATCATGGTTCAACTCAAAAATTTGAAAAAGTTAACAGGCATTTCAAAACTTAGTGTGCAGCCAAAATGTAATTTCAGTTTTGTATCCTAGAAACAGTTCTGACCTGAATGTGACCGAAAGGTTGGGTGTTATCCTAAAGGATAGGATGGATATTGAATTGGAAAAGAGGAGGGTGAGGGCATATACTCCAAGAAAACTTGAAAATTTTTCTAAAATGCTTTAAAAAGGTTTAGGAGGATTACAAAATACCACACCCCTATTATATTTGAAGCATTTCTCAGGGCATATCCAAAGAATTGCTGCTGTCAACATGGCCAAGGGGGAACACACTGACTATTGATTTGTTGTAAAACTAAACTTTAATTTTGGCTAAACACTAAATTTTGAAATGCCTACAACATTTTTCAATTGTGAGTTGAACCATGATACTCAGTAAATCAATGTAACTTTGGATGAGCTTTGAAATGATAAATAATACATACTATGGAGACATTGGTATATGTCTGCCTAGGGGAGGTCCCATACTTTCGGGACACCCTGCACATTGTTATAAGCCTTTGGCTCGGGAAAGCTGTCAAAAGTAACTGGTAGACATCCAGAGATGGCACGCATGTCATACCCTGAGGGACTGCCTCCTCAAATCACATTCATTTGTCTTTATTTATTCCAGAAGTGGTGGGCCTAGTGTGAAAGCTGGGTTTGATGTGGTCTATGAGTCAGGTTACTATGACGCTGCAAGAGTGGAGTCTGAGGTTAGAGTGACCCTAAAGAGCCAGCTAGCAACAGGTCACATAGGGTCTCTAGAGGTCAACACAACATACCTGACAATGACTGATCCTGTTACTATTGTCAAAGAGGAAGGTTAGTAAAGGATAGCCCAAAAATATAACCCTCTTATTTTGAACTAGCTCTCACTTACGACTAAATACTATAAGGGGTTGAAAGATAATTGAATGGTGTATCATTGTGGATATGATCAAAGAGATTTGTCCATAAAAAGTGTCAACTGAAATAAAAGATCCATACAATCCAATCTTTATTACATTGACATATTAATTACTAAGTAATATATAAGTATAGAATTACTAAGTATAGAATCATTCAATGTAAGGGATACATTAGGATAGAGTTATTGCCTCATTGGTGAAATAAGGCTCAACTAGAGGTCCAAACTGGATTTCCTTGTCATTGTTCACTTGAGACTCTGGTAATGTTGTCACATTTAGTTATATTGACACATTAACAAGTCAGAATCACCTAAATGAGTAAAATCAATGAATGAAATAACATGTTAATTATCACATGCATGCTATGTCCATTACACATTATTTATTTTTTATTTTAGATGTAGAGTCCTCGACTGTTGGGCTATCAGAGATGGACAAAATCTACATAGTTATTGGGGTAGCAGCAGGATTAGTGCTTCTTTTTATTGTTGTCTTTGTATTCAAACTTGTTGAGCACAAGCGCAATGAGGAAATCAAAAAGAAGAGCGCTGTAGAAAAACAAAAGGTATGTTGCATTAGTTTATTTGCTTTCAGAGTCCAAATATGTCATAACTTAAACAATGTGATTTGTGGAAGCAAAAACATGATTATATGATTAAAAACAAAATAGATTAGATTCATAGATTATATTGGAAACTGTATTATCTTTACTTTGGCCTAGAAATTGAATAATTTATTTTAAGAAAAATTTTCCTGAATACGCAGAGAATAATTTGTGTGGCAACCAGCTCATGACCGTATCTCTGCTATAAATATGAATATTTTAAAAAACTATGATATAACTGAATCAAAATACTCATGATTCCTTGAATTCTATGATGTGTCTAAATGTAAGGCCGTAGGGAGAGTGGATTTTAGGGCTCATGCAAAGCCCCCCCACCCCCACCACAAATTACTCTTTAAAGATTTCGATCCACTCTCAGCAAAATTGTGTGTAAATAAGAATTGTCCTTATTCAAATTAAAACCCTTGTGGGTGATTGGATTTTTACGTCGGTTAACTTATAAAAATCGCCTGATCGATATACATGTACTGAAGCTTTATGGGAGGAACCTTAACATTTATATTTATGTAACAGGATATGTCTAATTACCAGTTTTTGTATTTCATCTGCTTTCGTATTAACATTTTTATTAGTATTTTTTACACTGCAGCAAATTCTAAAAGAATTCCGTGCTAAGAAATGGGGCTCTTCAAATGGAGAGGTAGTTAAGTTTTGTCAGAATGTGGATATTTTTACTTGTATTATATCTGTGTATCTCTCCCTTCTCTACTCTATTTGTGAAACTTAGCATGTTAGACTTTTACGTTGTACACATGTAAATGTAGTTCTTAAATCAGGGGCAGATCTGGAAAGTTACTAGGAGGGCAAACTTTTTTTTTTAATTTTTACCTTTTTGAAAAAATCTACTTTTTGAAAAGCCCACATTTTATCAAAAAATATGCCAATTTTTGAAAACAAGTCCCAGGTCTGCCACTGTTATTCATTAGCTGTAGATGTCGCTTGTCTTTACTTTTAGTTTAATTGGCTATAATAAGTTTCCCCTCTCGATAATATTTTTAGTTGCTGAATTAAGTTAATTTTGAATATTGATTATTATTCACACACATACATACGTTAGTTGCATGCTGGACCTTAGAATTAGTTTAGTTCTTAGTCCACATGGTGTATAATTTGGCACCGTTCAAAGTTTAACCTCTCACAAATAATCTAGTTGGCTTAGAATTCGGAACTATTGAATGATTGAACATAAAAAATATTATTGGAGAAAAATCTCTGTGGCATGCTGTCATTACTTTTACCTGTGTTCATGTCCAACAAATCAATTGTCTCCGCTGCAACCTTAGGGTTGTTTTCACTCCCTTAGGTGCTATATTGTGAGGAATGTTATAAAAACCCTTCGACCTTCGGCCTGCACCTCGGACCTTCACCTTCGACCTACAGGGTGTCCAAAAAGAAAATATTATAGAAGCTATTTTTGCCGATCTCAGACCACGCAAGAGTCATATTTTCTTTCGAAACTATATAATATTTCCATACAAGGATTTCCATATAAGTCATATACATGTAATTGTAAACACGTATATAAGTAGGCCTATTAGGAAATACGTTAGAAACATTCACTCAAGTCCATGTCTCAGACGTGACTATAGCAGGCCCGCAGCCAGGATTTACCACATATTGGCTATACTGTATGGGGACGTGCCGCTTAAGTGGGTCACTTTTTCACAGGAAAATCCCTAGATGTGGGTCCCATTTTGAAGAAAAAACACTAGATATGAGTCCCATTTTGCACCCTCTCCCCCTGTAAAAAAATTTGACCAGTACACCCCCCCCCCCCCCCCCCCGGCTAAGGCCAAGGGGGAGCTTTTTAATAGTGTTGGCTAAAAATCATTCCAATTTGCTCAAAACTGCACGTGTTTGAGAATTTCTGGCTGTGGGGGGGGGCTTATTAAGTAGACTATCTTCTTGTTCACCAAGGTGTCGCTCCAGTAAAAAGAAAAAATCTTCAAAAAATCATAGAGCTCGAATCAAATTTAATTTACCGTCATACTTAGTAATTGGTTAAACAGACAAATTTTAATAGATACAGATGGAATGCCTTCTTGCAGCCATAGAAATATTATATACATGATCGATCAACATTCCCGCATCGATTGGAGACTATAAAGATTATCATTCTCTTGTTTACAGTAGCGACACCATGACTTCCAGTGTATTTTCATGCAGGTAAGCTTTTACAAATTTACGAAGAAAACAGGTATTATCGTGCTATATATCCAATTCTTTATACTCTTCAACGGAGGAGGCCAAGAAACGATCGATGGAAATCATTTGCTTGAATTCAAGAACTGTTTTCATTTCTCCTGGGACACATCGTTTACTAACTGCATGCATAACTGAGTATAAAACTTCAATAAGTCAAAGGTGCAGGTCGAAGGGTTTTTCTAACTTTCTTTTTGGCCCTCTTTTTGGACACCCTGTAGGTCGAAGGTGAAGGTCGAAGGTGCAGGTCGAAGGTCGAAGGTTTTTTATAACATTCCATATTGTGATCAGTTTGTTGTTTCAGTTTCCCACATAATGTAGTCGGGTTTGAATAGGAGATAAGTTCACAGAATATTTCAAAAATATATAGAAGCAATATTTAGGTGGATTTCAAAACTTCATACCATCCTTTTGAGAACCTGAAGTGGCACCAAGCAATCCATTGACTGTTTCACCAAAAATCCAAGATGGCCGCCACAATGTATCGGCAAATCACTAAAATTGACTAATATCATCATTTAATTTGTCAAAATAGTTAAATACTGATCATACATGACTAATCATAGTACCTATTAGATGGTCATATGCATTTAAAGTCACTAGATTATTTTTGTGTGAAAACTGGAGTCCTACAAGGCTCAACTTTATGTCCCCTACTTTTTTAGTCCAATGACTTTCATTGACCATGGCATTTGTACATTGCAATGTATAGAAATCCATTTTTGTAACTTGTGCACCTAGGACCACATTCCACCTTGCACCCACACTTGATCAATGCTTGGCATGCCTTAGCTGCTTGAGGAAGGGATGTACATAGTGGCATCAGGAGGGACATGTCATACTGCCAGCCACATGTTGTGAACTCGATAACCATTTTGGTTATGGCACCAAACTATACCGCCTTGGTTAGCAAGTTAAGATTTTCTGTGCAAGGGTTCCTTTTGTTGGTGGTATTTGTCAATGACTGTATGACCGTTACAGAACATTAGCCTTCGTGCTGCATTGATATCTCTCTGGTTGCTGGTTCGATCAATATCATAAAACAGTAAAATGTTCCAGGGACTGAATGGCTTGAACTGACAAAGGCAGGTTTGTTGTAACCATTTGTGCCACTTGCAGAAAAGCTAGAGTAACTTCCTTGAACACATTCCATAGATTGAAGGGCAGATTCTTTTCTATGGCCAAAGAATGGTGCAGTTATATAATATAATTTAATACCTGTAATTTTTGAGAGGTCCGAAGGCAATCCAGATTGACACCTATTGCGCCCTAGTGCTGCAACTATGGCAAGAAAAGGGACATCAGTATCTCCACTTCTGATTATAAAGTCTTTTTTACCCTCTGAGGTCATCTGTTTTATATGAACAAAGAGCCTAGTGTCAGCTTTTTCATGAGTACAAGGTTCAATCATTGCTGTATCTGGCAATTGAGGAAAGCACTGAACAGATTCCCCAATAGTAGTTATCATTTGCTTTTCATTAACATCAACCTCAGACATAAAGTTGGCCAGGAATGCAAACAGCCTAGTCTGGTTCCATTGGTTGTTAGAAAGGCTGGTAAATTCTTTGGCATTTGTGCATCTCTGCATAAATCATCCTTCTAGCACCAGTGCCACGATAAATCCTTGTTAGGGACTTCTCACTGTTTTGTAGGTAAACATTCCAGACAACATCTAATCTTGGAACACCTTTAATAAGCTGCCTTAACTTGGGATGAAACACCAGAAAGGACCAGAAAGGGGCAGTCTATTAAAACTGCATCTGCAGTTGGCTTTTCCAATACTTTGGGTCCATCTGGCTTAGTTTCTAGGCATTTAAGTAGGTCATTTAGTTGTAAGTCTCATGGCTCCATGTTTAGCTAGGGATGGCGGGAACTCATGGTTTTCATGTTTGAAAAACTCAGACATGTAATGTGTTTTGATTGTCAAAGGCAAGTAATATAGTGCATAGCAAAAACGTAATTTTTTTCTCTCAGTTCTTTGACTTCAGGAATCACTGCAGATGATTCTTTGTTTTTTCTTCTCCCTAGACCACACCAACTATGCAAGCAAGTGAATCCTGAAGTCAAGGATCTGAGAAAAGATTATGACCTTTTTGCTATTACTCTACATTGCATGCCAATCAAGACACAATGACATGTCTGAGCTTTTCAAATATGAAAATCATGAGTTCCCGCCATCCCTACATAACCACGGAGCCATGAGACCTACAACAAAAGCAGACTTTCTTAAATGTCAAGAAGCTAAGCCAGATGGATCTGAAGTATTGGAAAAGCCACCTGCAGATGCAATTTTAATAGATGGCATCCTTCTGGTCCATGTGATGCATCCTGGTGTGGCTACCAACTTCCAAGAATATGGTACCAATGTCTCATCCCAAGTTAAGGCGGCCTTTGGAAGGTGTTTCAAGATAAGATGTTATCTGTTATCTATAAAACAGTAGGAAGTCCCTGACAAGGACTCATTGTGGCGATGGATGGTTTATGCAGAGAATGTGATGCCCCAGTTTTGGTTAAGCTTCCTAAGAAACAACCAGAACAAGACTGAGCTGTTAGCATTCCTGGCCAACTCTATTTTTGAGGTTGACATTTATGACTATTGTGGAATCTGTTACGTGCTTTCCTCAGTTGCCAGTTACAGTAATGATTGAACCTTGTACTCATGAAAAAGCTAATACTACACTAGACTCTTTGTTCAGGTAAAACAGATGACCTCAGAGGGTAAAAAAGATTTCATAAAC